AGAAACATATTTCTATATCTAAAAGGGAGATGTATTGTGTTTCTGTATTTCCCAACACAGATATGATATACCATGTTGCTTAATTTTATGTTGGTATATTTTTGTGCAAGCTTTTGGGGGTTGAACCTTCACGGATTGAGGACCAAACTGTATGAACGTCAATGCTTGTGATACACCTTTATGAATATATATTTTTATCATCTAATGGAGGTTGTTATCGGTGCAATACATCAATCTGATAAACTTGGTATCCAAATCTGATAACTATGCAAATTACGTCAATCAACAAACTACTTTCACAAAACTCCATACACGCCATGCGAATCCTAAAACGTTAATATTTCATTGATGACGTCGTCACGAGTTTACATTGTTAGTAAACAAACATGGCTGCCCCCATTCTCAAAATTGGTGATTCTGTAAGAATTGATGACAGAGGTTCTGGAGTCGTTACTGCAGTAGTTGATTTTGGAAAACATGAAACGGAGTACTTCGTTCACATTGAAGGTACGGACTATGAGGCACGACTGAAAGGCAATAGTATAAGAAAGGTACCAACCACGGATTTCGATCTATCGATCTAAATGCAGACGACGAATCGATTCCGTCAGGTATCAGAAACTGATATTGATGAGGTGATTACCCGCAATGAAAATAGAAACACTTCCAGGAAAACCCTGCCCGGTTTTGTTGTTCCTTTTAGACAGAAAAATCTCATTTTAAGCATGAGTTTTGTTTGCACTGTATTAGCAACTAGTCACAACCATATGCCGCCGTCATGAACGACCTTCACCTTGGTGTACCGCTAAGTATTCTTACGCGAAAGCTCGATTCTCTTCATATATAAATTCACATTTGATTTGCTTCATTTGTTTTGAGTAATATTAAGAATGACATTATATGATATAGAGATTATTAACCTTGTGTGTTTCTGTATCATTAATATCATATATTAAGAATAAAAAATTATGTATTATGCTCGCCAAAGGCTCACATAATACAGTTTTTATTCCTAATATAGGATATTAATGATACGGAAACACACTCGGTTAATAATCTCTATGTATATCCAGGTGATCTATTATCTTTCTGTATTACCCAAAAGAGATGTGATATACTATATAACCTACTTTTATGTAAGTGTGTTACCCAACAGTTAGACTATGAACATACAGACTACAGAAGCTTTGACTCAGTTAAGGATACTACATGGTATAAAGAATTGTTAATAGTTTTAGTGGCCATCTCATTCTTCAGGTATGTCCATTTATTTTCTGTCTACTACTAGTGATACTCGCCGGAAATACCTGGCTTAAATATGTCAAGAATGAATGGATGGAAAGATGAAACAGGACAGGATGAATGAAAAGACAGGGTAGATGAAGTATAATTAAGGCCAGACATATTATATTTCTTGTTTTACAGATCCTCCTGTCGTATTTTTTCAAGAATAAGGAATTGGTTTTTTTTAAATCCCAAATCAAAAAATAAAATCCTAATGTTTTTACAGGCCAAAAATGTAAACTTACAAGAAAAATGTTTTTTAGATTGTTTTTGCCCCACATACACTTCATAAATTGCCAAAAGTAAAATACTTTGAGTATTTAGAAGGAATATTACTTTGACTGGTGATTTTTTTTTTTTTTTTTTTCCTCCTGCCTTTAGGTTTTCTGAGGACAAAAATCTGTAAAACAAGAAATGAAATTAGGTCTGGACTAATGTGATATATGATGGATGGATGAAACGATGAATGAAAACAGGAAATGCAACAATAGATTTACAACCATATATGGTTTTATTACTAATCCGTTGAAGATATCACTGTTTAATAATTTTACAATTTTATTACACATTGTGTAATAACATCGCGTGATGCTGTACATATGAGGTCAAAGTGGTTTACATCTATGATGTCACAATGCTAACACCTCTGTCACAATAGTATTATACCTTTTTTGACTCACGGAAAGTTGAGAGTCATCACACTCGTTGAATTCTTAGGAAAGAAGTACTTTGCTCGATATTATTTTGCTAATGTTGCGTGAGTAATAAATAAAATACTAAACAATGTCCCGTGTAATACCATATTTATGAAACAAGTGAATGGTTTGGTATCTAACGAGCGAAACCACTAGGCTTGTTTTGATAAATAAAAGATGCATAAACTTGCATAATTCTCTATGGTCAAAAGATAATTTCTGAAAAATGATAAATAACAGACTGGGGTCCTTAGTTATACTGTCCACTTATCTAGAATTGCCTGTTAAAGGATAGAATTACTATATACATCCATGGGCTCAGCATTCAGTACAGCCTTGGAGTCTGAAAGGTTTGAAGATGTGTATGGTATTCAATTTTACAAACTGACCCTTAGTTTGTGTTTTGTGTCATTTGTAAAAAGTAACCACAATTCTATATTAATGGTGGGCACAATGTGTGAAGCCCATTTGTGGTGTCCCCTGCCGTGATATTGCTGGAATATTGCTAAATACGGTAAAACCATACTCACTCACTCACTCACTCACTCACTATATTATTGGTACAGTTTAACTTGTAAAGAGAAGTAAATATTCAAATTTTGGTACAATTTGAAAAAAAGAGAGTTCAAAAATTAATTCCATATCCAAGTCTTTTCACTGCTCATGATTTCATCTTAAGTCACATGAAATGAACCCACATTTACAAGGGTTTCAAATGCATGTGACCAGAAACAACCAATAACACCGAGGATGATGTGATGTTCACATGCAAGAACATCATGGTCTTTTGAAGACAAGACAAACCATAACACTACAATTATTCTGTAGATTGCTCAAGATTACAGGTAAATGTATTTTCAAGTCAAGGCTAACAATATCAAATAACATTTCAGAATAATTATCCCAAACATACATTTTCAATACATACCTTGCTTCATCAGTGTATCCTGTGTGAGCCTCCTGGTAAATTCTTTCATGTGTTATGTAAATAGCTGCCATGCATGTGACTGACATACTGAGTGGATATCCTTGTCTGTGTGAGCTGGGCTGAAAAACCTCATCAAGACGTCTTTTGTGGGATATTTTGACTAGGTCAGGTGCAAAGTCCTAAATTACACATTTGACAAATGTACCTGTCTGAATAGAGGCTAAAGGATTATATAATTCAAACCTGGCCAAATTAGATTAATTTGTTGTTTTACAGATTTTCTTGTCCAATAAGTTCATGAAGAGGGGTAAATAAATTGTCAGATTTGAAAATGAAAATTATTATTAAAAATTATTATTAAATTAGTATTAAAAATGTAAGATAATAATGTAGAAATAATAATGTAATTGTTTTAGATAACTTTGATGAAAATTGGATGCTTTTTATTGTAGCTTAGCTTACTGTAAAAAAATATCACTCTCGAAATGAACATATTTTAAAACTCATTCATTCATTCATTCATTCATTCATTCATTCATTCATTCATTCATTCATTCATTCATTCATTCATTCATTCATTCATTCATTCATTCATTCATTCATATTAGGGAGACTATTGCAATATTCCCTGCTTTTGTTTAAGAAAGCGCTTTTAAGGTTGATTTTATTGTTGGGTCAGTGTGTGCTTAGCCAGAAAGTACAGGGCATACAAATCTACTGGGAAGGGTAAGACATTTAAAAGTATGTGGCATACAAATGCACTGAAAAGAGAAGATTTGTAAAATGGCGTACAAATCCACTGGAAAGGGGAAGATTTGTAAAATGGCATACAAATGCACTTTTCAGCCCTCTCCCCATCAAAAAGTATGCTGAACAATTTTGTCATGGCTGGCATTAGTTTGATGTATTTAATTGGAAAATATTCATTGATATTATTTAATTAACATTCTGTGTTAAAAGCAGCATAATTGATTCAGCAAAATTTCAAATAGAAACGATTTAGCAAGAATTTTGATCCAAAAGGGCAGCGTAGGAAAATAAAATGGAAAAAAAAATACTGGATACTTGATAAATTGTCCTTCGTGAGATGATTTCAATTTGTTGTTTAGAAAGCTTCCTGAACTAATTAGCCAGCACTGAGCCTTGGGCTGAACCACTTCCTCTCCTGGAGGGTCTGAAGCTCCGTTTTCCCCCCGATTGTATTGTCTGATAGTTTCCCACCGTCATCTCTAGGAGCATTGTGCAAAACTCACGTGTGTTTGTTACGTATACGTGATCGGATCGCAATTGAGTTGCGTCAAGAGAGTGTCCAGTGTTGGCGCCCTGAGAGGCCGGAGTGGTTACTAGCGACCACTTCCTGTCAGTAATTATGATGCCAGTTCTTGTGACCTATCCGTTTCATGACTGTTGTCATGTTTAGCTGGCACACGAGTTGATGGCCAGTTTGTGTGCATGTATACTCAAGAAAGGAAGTAAGGGAACACATGTGAAGTGAGTGGGTGGATTAGGTTGTGCTCTGCTTTGAACAAGAGAATGTATTGACAGGGAAGCAGGTTATATGCACAAATCTGCTGTGAAATTGTTTGCCAATGTAGATTTAATAAACGACAATGAAAAATGTTGGATTTGACTAAAAAGATTTTGAGCATCTTTCATACTATCATTTCAAGGACATTATGTAGAAAATTGCCATAAATAAACTTATTTGATCTTGGGTGAACTGACAAAACTAGTCTTTGAAGCAAGAAAGGAATCTTGACATAGATTGTGTTTTGTCAGTATTTTTGTACATCCGTTGTGTTCAAGCTGTATTCTTGAACATGCATTGTATTCAACGTGTATTTTGGCACATGCACTGAGTTTGAACTTTATTTAGGAGCATGCATATGGTTCAATATGCATTTAGGGACATGCATTGTGTTCAGCATGTACATAAGAACATGCATTGTGTTCAACATGTACTGTAGAACATGCATTGTGTTTGACATATACATTAGAACATGCATTGTGTTTGACATATACATTAGAACATGCACTGTGTTGGACATATGTTCAGGAGAATGTTATGGGACATGAATTTTCAACGGTTTCAGATCATCATTGATGATGTGGAAATGGGCTCGGTGTATGAATTCCCATGTGGGAGATGGTTCGCATCTGACGAGGATGATGGACAGATATCACGTGACCTCCTCCTCAACGTTGGACCAATGGAAGCAGCCCCTGGTGAGTGAAGACAGAGTCAGCCTATGTTTTAGACATAGTCGATCACTTTCATAGATGCCATCCTCAGTTATCAGGGGTGTTATATCTCCAGACTGTTGCCATAAATACCCTGGACTCCTTTGCAACCAAAGTGATGTCACCATTTAAATCTTTCCCATGAACTTAAAACAGAATTTCACCCATGAGCTTGAAATCAACAACCAATCAAAAAGCCACTTTTAAATGCAAATTTGATTTTCATGATTATGGTCTTTTATAGTTGAATACGGGGCAGTGGGGTAGCCTAGTGGTTAAAGTGTCCACTTGTCACACCAAAGATCTGGGTTCGAGTCCCTACATTGGTAGAATGTGTGAAGCCCATTTCTGGTGTCCCCCGCCATGATATTGCTGGAATATTGCTAAAAGCGGCATAAAACTAAACTCACTCACTCACTACAGTTGAATACTCAAGATATTTAATCAAACCATGAGACTATTGTACATTATATTTCTGTTTTCATGAGTATTTAGTCAAAGAGGGAAGTCGTTAAAAGCGGTGTAAAACAAAACTCACTCATTCTGAGTTAACCCAACTGATGACAAAGCTAGGGTAACCTATGGGTCCAAGATGTAATATCGTGGTAACTTGGACCTATAATACACTGATAAATGAGGCTGCATCAACAAGTGAGAATTTAGTGTTTATTGTATTTTTATCATTTTCAAAGAGTAGTTTCATATTCCATGTTAAATTTTACATTTATATTTTATTTAAATTCCTCCATATCAAACCTTTGCTTTTAGTAAATTCAGAAGAAAAAAATACATTAGCTATAATATTTTGTTGAAGCATTTACATTCTATTTTCATATGCATAGCCATTTCTTACGTTTATTTTTAACACAAGCCAGGATGTTTCAATACATTGAAATTGAAATTTCAATATTTTTTATATTTTTGTCATCAATATTTTTCTAACAAATTCCTTTGTGTGACAGAATATTGATTATTTTGAACGAATATGTATGATTGAAAACAGCTAATTTGAAAAAGTTTAATAGTAAATGAAACTTTATTAATAATTCAAAAAACATATCTTAATTTTCCTTTAAGAAGCATTAGTTACTTGTAATTAATCAGCGATGATCATCCTGACTGGTGTTAAGTGTGCCCTAACCTTTTAATTTATCGCCATTAATAACAGTGTGTTTCTTCCTCTCATGCTTTCAGATACAGGTAATTATCTGATGTATTCATTTTCATGTTATGTTATAAAGAAATGAAATGTTAGTTCTCAGGCAGGATTGTTAATTGATGTTGTCAGGTGGCCTCTGTTTGCCACTGTGAAAATGTATTGAAATGAAAACTTTCATATTTTGTTTTGAAAATGTATAGAAATGAAAACTTTAATTTTTTGTTTTTGGCCACTCAGTATATTATATTCTTCATGAGTTCTTTTAGCTGATTTTTTCCTCACAAGAAAATAGTACAATAGAAAGCAGCAAGCATTAAGATAATTAAAGTTGGAGAAATCTACACAAAATTCCTGAATAAAGAATCCTGGATATTATTTTGAAATTTGAAAATATACTATTTATAATGAAGCTAATTGTTGTTCTTGAATTGAAAATATTAAGTGTGGGCACAGGTGACAAGATGTATAGGGTGCAACAATTAGCTGAATGTATTTGCATCGTCAAGTCCTGATAAAACCCCTTAATCATGGGTTCAAATCTCATGACCATTTTCGTAAGTTTTTCAGAACCGTACCAAGTGCTCATAGGTAAACATCTAAGAACTGTATCATTTAGTCCCGTATGAAGCTGACACAATGCTACAACTGAAATACTGTTGATCTCAGCTTGTGCCCTCAATAAAGTGTATGGGTTAAACTGATGCTTTGTGAAAATCGTTCCTTTACTAGAGACTCAACTAGTGTGGCCTGAAACAGAAATAGAATTCTGTATACAGTTTTAATTACCAAAACACTGCCTGAGAACCAGACACTTCTTGTTTAAATCCTTCAATCTGCTGTAATGCATGTCAAGTATCTGTAGCAGACATCTGACTCTCGTCTTTCTGAGGCAAGGGAGTTAACTCTGTAAAAGTCCAGTATCCACCCTTGTGAAACTTGGCTGACATTTCGTGGCTTGATCAAAGTGCGACAGTGGCTATTATGAATTATGTCCTTACTACTGACCAATCAGAATCCACCTCTCAGGTAGCCTGCATTGACTTCAAACAAAATGGCAGTGCACAGTAAAACTATGTGATTGTTACTGAAGATCTCTATGGCAATAAAACAGAACTTACATCACAGAGTGCATCATATCACTTGATTAAAAATATGAAAACTGGAAAATGTTTGTCAATGCCTAGCTGACAGTTGACAAGCTCTAAATATCCAGTTATCAAAATCTGTAGCCAAGATTTGTTATTCCGGTCATAATATGACTCCATCCTTCCAACCGAGTTCTATCAGGGTGGAAACTTGACATTAATCGAAATACACAATGACATTCAATGACATTCATCGTCAGTTACCTCCCTTGCCTAGAGAAGACATGAGATTTTCGGCTAATGAATTAACTAATTTTCATAACATGTTATAATGTTTAGTCATTTGAATGCTTTTATCAGGTTAAGTCAAGTTCATCTACAGTCCACGTGTGAAGCTTTTTGTAGAAAATTTGTTGTGTGAAATTTTGCTTGCCTAGTTCCTGCTAGGTGAGGTGTGTTGTCACAAAATGTGCTTTGATCACTGCAGTAAAAAAGTACAAAAATTATCCTAATTGTATGAAACTTTATATTCAGTATTGTAATAGATTTTGTAAATATTTCACAGATGAGGATGAAATAAGTATATCACTTCTTTAACTTTTTAAAAAATTCAGACAAATATGTAAAACAATTATAGAAAGACCTCATTCATTCATCTTTGAATTTTGAAAATCAAGCTAAACTGTTTAAAGTGCATATTTGTCTGATTTGAATTAAATATTGTCGTTTAGACAGATCTATGCATGACAGATGTTGTTTATCAAATAAGCATGCTACCCAGGCATATTGGAAATATATAAATGTGTATGCTAGTAAATTAGATATGTGAATATTTTTGCATATATAATCAGAATGAAGAATGCTGCATGTGTATTGTCAGAAGCTAGGATATTTGCATCAATGCTCATGTTATTGACCTTTGGATTTCCTGTTTAAGGTCATATCACAAAGCGAATCACTCTAGCATTTCACACCAAACATTATTACTAAGCATCCTCTCACTGTAAAGCGTTCACTCGTCACGCCGAAGACCCGGGTTCAATTCCCCACATGGGTACAATGTGTGAAGCCCATTTCTGGTGTCCCCGCATTGATATTGCTGGAATATCACTAAAAGCGGTGTTAAACCAAAGTCACTCACTCACTCCTCTCACTGTAGATACACATAGATGTTTTGGTGTGATGGGGAAGCCTAGTGGTTAAAGTATTCGCTTGTCATGTCAAGACCCGGTTCTATTCCTACATGGGTCTGTGGAGCCCATTTTGGTGTCACTCACCATTATATTGCTGGGATATTGCTGAGAGCAGTTAAAGCTAGACACATTCACTTGATATAAAATTCATTCTTTATTTGTATTTTTGTTTTAACAATTCAGTCATTTGAGAGAAATTATCAAAATATTCACTAATTGAAAAAAATAATTAAAATATTATGGCTGAATATTTTCCTTGATTTTCAAACTTTTATTTGTTTCTTTAACCTGAGAACAAAATTGTCCCAGGTCTACAGCAATGAACCAGAAAATGAAAAGTTTAAGAACGCATTTGCTAGGATTTTATGTGTGATTCAGCAGATACTGTTTTTCTTCCAAAAATTGATGTGATAGTTGAAAACAATGGAATCTCACTTTCATATGAATTGGTGGTGGTGGTGGAATTGGGTTTAACGTCGTGCTTGAGAATATTTCGCTCATATGACGACGTGCATGCATGTGTATGTGTATGTGTGGCTGCTTGTACTAGCCCAGACTTAAGCTGGTTTTATAGTGCTAGCCCACTGAGATACCATACCGCAGTGAAGCATGAATACCCCACTCAGACACATTATACTGACTCCGAGCCGACCAGTCCTTGTTGTACCCATTAATGGCAGGGACCAACAAGTACCATATTCTAACGTCTTTTGGTATGACGCGGTCGGGGATCGAACCCTCGACCTTCTGCACTCCGGGCGGACGCTCTAACCACTACACCAAGGAGGCGGTCTGATATGAATTGACACAGACAAAGTTCGTTTGTGAGGTAATTTAATGTTTTCATTATTTATTGTCTGCAATGTTCAGGATTCCTTGAGGAGCTACAAGGTAGCCCAGTGGTTAAAGCGTTAGCTCTTAACACCAGATATCCAGGTTGATTCCCCGACTGGATACTATGTCATGGGGCTGGAATGTTGATAAAACCAGAATGAAGCCTGTTCACTCGTAGGTTATAAACATATGATCATGTTAACCTTTTAGGAACTTAAGTCCTAACTTTCTGTCTGTTTCGACCGCCTCCATGGTGTAGTGGTTAGAGCGTCTGCCCAGAGAGCGGAAGGTCGCGGGTTCGATCCCCGACCGCATCATACCAAAAGACGTAAGAATATGGTACTTGTTGGTCCCTGCCTGGCGCTCGACATTAATGGGTACAAGAAGTACTAGTCGGCTCGGAGTCAGTACAATGTGTCAGAGTGGGGTATTCATGTTTCACTGTGGCATGGTATCTCAGTGGGCTAGCACTATAAAACCAGCTTAAGTCTGGGCTAGTACAAGCAGCCGCACATACACATACACACGCATGCACGTGGTCATATGAGCGAAATATTCTCAAGCACGACGTAAAACCCAATTTCACCTCACCTCTTTCTGTTTCACTTCTTTATAGTCACGTTAATAATAACAATGTTCAAACTGATACACCTGCACAAAACTAAGTTATCAGGTTTCACATAGACATAGACTGTTACCATGGAGACTGCCTCAGAGGCAGAGTAGACTGAAGGGTACACTTTCACACAAGATCCTGATGGCCCAGGTTCAATCCCCACTCATGTACAAAGAAGCTTTCGTGTTCATCTTCTGGTTTCATCCTACACAGGTTTCTTAGTTCATCGACCCGTGAAGGTCCGGGTTAGAATATTGATCTTCAGTAACCCATGCTTGTCGTAAAAGGCGACTAATGGGATCGGGTGGTCAGGCTCGCTGACTTGGTTGACACATGTCATCGGTTCCCAATTGCGCAGATCAATGCTCATGCTGTTGATCACTGGATTGTCTGGTCCAGACTCGATTATTTACAGACTGCCGCCATAAAGCTGGAATATTGCGGCGTTGAGTGTGGCGTAAAACTAAACTCACTCACTCACTCACTCACTCACTCTTAGTTCATCAACACCATACCTGTTTTAGTGGGCTCCACAAAAGTGGTAAACATCTGAGACTGGCATCACTTTGGATTTCATCTCCCTTCAGTTTGACTTGCAATGGTTTAACATGAATACTGTTCAAAGTAGACTAAATCACAACTCACTCACTCACTCACTCCTTTATGGTAGTATCGATGCCATACTGCTCAGACTGGCATGAGACTTCTCTCACCCACTTACAATATCCCTGCATGTTACGGGTATCATTCAGATTTGCATGAAAGATTTGTTGCTATGGTGACATGATTCCACTGGTGTTACCATGGCAACATTTTAGTGTAGTTTTAGCAGGGAGCTATGTTACCGCTTAAAGTTGTAAGATACTATATACATAAACAGTTGTCTATGTCACATGTTTCAGTCAAGTTTTTGAGCAAGAGGAAAAATTCTTTTGTTAACTTGCAATTGGTGGTCCCTTGGTTCAGTCTAAGTAAACTTCAGTCTAAGTATAAACTGCTATACTGAGTCTAATAAAACCCTAGTAGAAGGACACATCAGTTAACCTTTTGAATTGACAAATCAGAACACAGCTTACCAAATCACGAAAGTTAACATTTGCACATACCGTTTGAACTTTTACCTCGAAAACGTTTGTACTCAAACGATTCTGAATGCTATATTCTGCACAATCGCCTCCGAATGACACACATGGAGGATGCTAGGGAGTAAACAGTCGCTGAAAATAGCGTTTTTGTTAATATTCCAGAACGTCATCTTACGGATATGTAAGCTAATAGTAATGATGTCATCAGACACCCCAAAGCGTATATACTGCAGGTCAAATATCTGTGTTTAATGCTGATTTTCGTTTGTTGAGAGATCAGTGTCAGTGACCGGGGATGACAAAATCCAAAAACCATTTGGTAAGCCTATCCGAACCCTAAAATAGTAGCTGTTGTCTGATTGGATAAATCTGTTTGGCCGTCTCCTGTTTGATAGAACGGTCATAGGTCGCTCAAGGGTTAGCTGACGCGACCTTCTACTAGGGTTTGTTAGACTCAGTATAGCAGTGTAATGAATAATACAGAGCCTAAGTTCAAAGACTGTCCCTTGGTTCAAAATTAGGATATGTTGTCCTACACACTGTCATTGTAAGTATTGAATGAAAATCATTAAGCCAAACATTTATATGCTGTAGTTATATACGATATATTATTATCCTATTTTTGTTTAATATGACTATTTTGATTACAGCATTATGTCAGCAGGATTGTTAGGAAGAGTATCATCAAGGGCTCGATACTTGTGGCGTCAAAGTTGACTCCTTAATTTCGTGATTGTTAATGAGTTAAAATTTAGTGATGTTTTTGTAAATAGAAATAACATTAACAAATTCGAAGATGTATTGTTATTAATGTACATGATTTAATGTTTATTATTCTGTGGACAAAAGGCCACCAGGATGAAGTATTGATGCAGAATAATTCATTTACAACAGTTTGTATCAACTTTTTATTGATTTAGTGTTTAATGCTGTAAAGTTTATAATGACTTTGTGTTTTCAGTTTGTAATTGAAAATTTTCACTACAGGAATCCCATACATCATCACCGTGACAACGGGAGACAAACCCAATGCCGGAACTGATGCTCGCGTGTACATGGAACTGTTCGGTCGAGAAGGGGAAGGAGACGAGTGGCAAGATATGGCTCGATAATGGAAACTTTGACAGGAACAAAACTGACATTTTCAACATCGGTGTGGCCAGAATGCTGAGTCCTCTTGACCACATCATCGTGGGCCATGACAACAGCGGCGCTGCACCTGGATGGTACCTTGATAGCGTGTCTGTGTACTGTGCCAGTGCAGGTATTGAGCAGTTCTTCTACTGTGGCAAGTGGCTGGCGAGTGACGAACATGAAGAGGTCATCCAGAGGACGCTGTATGAGCAGGTGTCTCGCAGGAAGAAGAGAGAGAAGAGTAAGTCTTATCTACATTATATTGGTTTTCTCTAAGTAGTTGCTTGGTGATCAGTCAGTGGGTCTTGAATATTATCTTGACATTCTCTGGAACTTGCTGTCATGGTGATCAGTCAGTGGGTCTTGAATATTATCTTGACATTCTCTGGAACTTGCTGTCATGGTGATCAGTCATTGGGTCTGGCAAGAGTAAGTCATTAATATTATCTTGATCTCTGAAAATAGTTGCCATAGTGATCTGTCTGTGGGTCTTGATTATAACCTTGACATTCTCTGGAACTTGCTGTCATGGTGATCAGTCATTGGGTCTTGCAAGAGTAAGTCATTAATATTATCTTGATGTTCTCTGAAAGTAGTTGCCATAGTGATCAGTCAATGGGCCTAGCAAGAGTGAGTCTTGAACATTATCTTGATGTTCTCTGAAAGTAGTTGCCATAGTGATCAGTCAATGGGCCCAGGAAGAGTGAGTCTTGAATATTATCTTGATGATCTCTGAAAGTAGTTGCCATAGTGATCAGTCAATGGGCCTAGCAAGAGTGAGTCTTGAACATTATCTTGATGTTCTCTGAAAGTAGTTGCCATAGTGATCAGTCAATGGGCCCAGCAAGAGTGAGTCTTGAATATTATCTTGATGATCTCTGAAAGTAGTTGCCATAGTGATCAGTCAATGGGCCTAGCAAGAGTGAGTCTTGAACATTATCTTGATGATCTCTGAAAGTAGTTGCCATAGTGATCAGTCAATGGGCCTAGCAAGAGTGAGTCTTGAACATTATCTTGATGATCTCTGAAAGTAGTTGCCATAGTGATCAGTCAATGGGCCTAGCAAGAGTGAGTCTTGAACATTATCTTGATGTTCTCTGAAAGTAGTTGCCATAGTGATCAGTCAATGGGCCCAGCAAGAGTGAGTCTTGAATATTATCTTGATCTTCCCTTGAAAAAATTGCCATGGTAATAAGTCAATGACTCTGAACAAAAGTAAGTACAATTACTGGTAAATACATTCTTTGAACGAGCTGTAATGATGTTAAAAGACACAAGGTATTCATGACACCTCCACCTTCCAGAAATGACATGGTTCGTATGGGTTCACACTTCGGACATGCAGAACGCGGGCACGGATGCGAATGTGTACGTTACAATGTATGGTGAGAAGGGAAAGACGGATGACCACCTGCTGGAAAACAAGGGTGACACCTTTGAACAGGGTAAAATGGACCGCTTCAAACTGGACATGACTGACATCGGCAAACCCTACAAGCTTCGTGTCTGGCATGACAACAAGGGAGCTTTCTCTGGATGGCATCTGAGCAAGGTGAGGACATCTCTGTCTGTGTGATGTAGAAAAGAGGTGCAATGCACTAGATTTTAAAGGCTGGCTGTATTTATATTAAATACCAATGGTATATCCCTCCCCTCCTTAGAATTCAACATTTCAAAATACAAATGCATTCTGTGATGCAATAGCATTGCTTCTTGATCTTCAATAAATTCTAGACATTGTCCAGATTATTTGACCACAACAGTTACAAATTCAAACTCTCAAAATAAGCAATGGTGCAATAGTGAATTGTTGTCATTTTTTTTTAAATTTCAAAATGTGAGTGAGTGAGTTGGGTTTGATGCTGCTTGTAGAAATATTCCAGCGATATCATGGCACCAAAAATGGGCTTCACACATTATGCCCATTCAAAATATGAGCATAATCAATGCTGCAATAATGAGCTGCATTTAAGAATTCAAAATTTAAAATTATGAACACATTATCTGATGCAGTAGTGAATTGCTGCAATTGCCAGTACAATTCCGGACCCTGTCCATCACATTTTCATTGTGCTGCCTCTATTTGCAGATTGAGATGGAGAACATGGTGACGAAGGATCGGTACATCTTCACATGTGACAAGTGGCTGGCCACGGATGAAGACCAAGCAGAGACTGTCCGGGAGATGCCTGCTGAGGGGCCCCTCATAAAAAAACCTGCTTCCTGTAAGTCACGTGTGCAGAGTTGTGTCCTTGATTGTGTCACCTGTAGAAGGTCCAAATCAGAGCTGTGTCCTTGATTGTGTCACCTGTAGAAGGTCCAAATCAGAGGTTGTGTCCTTGATTGTGTCACCTGTAGAAGGTCCAAATCAGAGGCTGTGTCCTTGATTGTGTCCCTTGATTGTGTCACCTGTAGAAGGTCCAAATCAGAGGCTGTGTCCTTGATTGTGTCACCTGTAGAAGGTCCAAATCAGAGGCTGTGTCCTTGATTGTGTCCCTTGATTGTGTCACCTGTAGAAGGTCCAAATCAGAGGCTGTGTCCTTGATTGTGTCACCTGTAGAAGGTCCAAATTAGAGGTTGTGTCCTTGATTGTGTCACCTGTAGAAGGTTCAAATCAGAGCTGTGTCCTTGATTGTGTCACCTGTAGAAGGTCCAAATTAGAGGTTGTGTCCTTGATTGTGTCACCTGTAGAAGGTCCAAATCAGAGGCTGTGTCCTTGATTGTGTCCCTTGATTGTGTCACCTGTAAAAGGTCCAAATCAGAGCTGTGTCCTTGATTGTGTCACCTGTAGAAGGTCCAAATCAGAGCTGTGTCCTTGATTGTGACACCTGTAGAAGGTCCAAATCAGAGGTTGTGTCCTTGATTGTGTCACCTGTAGAAGGTCCAAATCAGAGGTTGTGTCCTTGATTGTGTCACCTGTAGAAGGTCCAAATCAGAGCTGTGTCCTTGATTGTGTCACCTGTAGAAGGTCCAAATCAGAGGTTGTGTCCTTGATTGTGTCACCTGTAGAAGGTCCAAATCAGAGCTGTGTCCTTGATTGTGTCACCTGTAGAAGGTCCAAATCAGAGCTGTGTCCTTGATTGTGTCACCTGTAGAAGGTCCAAATCAGAGGTTATGTCCTTGATTGTGTCACCTGTAGAAGGTCCAAATCAGAGGTTGTGTCCTTGATTGTGTCACCTGTAGAAGGTCCAAATCAGAGGTTGTGTCCTTGTTTGTGTCACCTGTAGAAGGTCCAAATCAGAGCTGTGTCCTTGATTGTGTCACCTGTAAAAGGTCCAAATCAGAGCTGTGTCCTTGATTGTGTCACCTGTAGAAGGTCCAAATTAGAGGTTATGTCCTTGATTGTGTCACCTGTAGAAGGTCCAAATCAGAGCTGTGTCCTTGATTGTGTCACCTGTAGAAGGTCCAAATCAGAGCTGTGTCCTTGATTGTGTCACCTGTAGAAGGTCCAAATCAGAGCTGTGTCCTTGATTGTGTCACCTGTAGAAGGTCCAAATCAGAGCTGTGACCTTGATTGTGTCACCTGTAGAAGGTCCAAATCAGAGCTGTGTCCTTGATTGCGACCCTTAATCTGAAATAAACATTTAAACCATAATTATTGGTTACATCCTCAGAATGATGTATATATATACCAGTTGCTCATGCTTTGTGATCATGTGACAAATATAAATGACCTCTGTTATCATGAATATGGGGCAAGCAAACAAGTGGTTGATACCATGAGCAACTTTTAGGTGTTCTCATCTCATTTTCTCTTCAGTGACGAACTATTCAGTGGAGGTCCACACTGGTAAGAGACAATACGCTGGCACCGACGCCAACGTCTATGTCAACATCTTTGGTGAAATGGGTGACACCGGCAATCGGAATCTGAGGAAGTCGAAGAACAACATCAACAAATTCGAGAAGGACAAGGTATGGTTTCCATTGCAATTATTCCTTATTTTGACTTATCCAGACCAATCGGTTTTCTGGATTTATGATTTTCTGACCTCTTCACATGAGCCATACTCCATAAATAAAGGAAAGGTTGATCTGGATCTTTTTTAATTGCCTGTGGGTTGCTCTCTGAGATTGTTTGGTGTTTGACTAATATCCTTATTCAAGGTATTTCATTTGTCTTTGGTTCAGATTGATCTTCTTGAATCGGTAAACAGTTGTCAAGGACATGAGTATTAACATAACGTTACAAGTTTTTCATGAATGTGTACCATTCTCGACCATCTCCAGGGTATACGTTCCCATAAATCTCCACTAGTACCCTGGATGCATCTACGGTTCAGCCTGATAATTGTATTACCTCCCTTTGCTGGCGCCGCCTTCTCACAGTAGCCAATCAGATAAGCCATTACAAGCAAGCTTGCCAGCGTCATCAAAGATAGCGGCCATAACTTCAGGGTTTGCTTGCTGTGTGACTCAGATTTAGGGAAAATATCATAAAGACAAATTGACAGGTCTGAAACCTTAAAAAATATATGCAAGAACTCCTACCTCTGTCAGAGTACCTCTGCAACAATTGTGTTGCCAAGTTTAATCGGTTAGATAAAAAAGAACCAAATGTGAGTTATGATAGAAGCCTTGTGATTGGTACGTTCAACTTCCAGGGCTGAGACACCTGATTGGATTAAAAGCCAGCAATGGGAGGTAATACAGTTATCGGGCTGAGCCGTAGATGCATCCAGGGTACTACTTGAGATTTATCGGAACGTATACCCTGGAGATTATAGAGGATGGAATGTGTACACAGTTTGAATAATGTTTTAAAACGTATAGTTACATAAGTCAAGACAACTGACCATTCATGACATGTTAGTCATTCACTGTAGCCTTTTATCGTTGAATATGTACAAGATCCATGACTTTGATCACAACAATGTGAAAATATACCCCTGAATCCAGAGGATGCACCTTAACTCTGCAGTTGATTTTATTGGTTATGTTTATTTGAAGAACTCTTGCTTAACCTTTATTTCAGTCTGAATTAATTTAATATCTTAGAAATATCTATTCTAACCTTCTGAATTTCATTGCCCTCTTTGATCGGATATATTTTTCAAATGCATAGCTTTCATTCCTATGGCACATTTATATGTGTTGATGATCTGTATCTGTAAAAATTTTCAAATACTTGAATTTTATTTATAGAAAATACATTTGGCTGTGTTAAAGGCTGTGTATTGCTCTCATATTTCATACATGAGGCTACCAAAAATTATGTAACAAATTTATTTTTTTCCTAATTTGAATTTAAAAAAAACACTCAAAAAGATCGTTTCCATCTCTTTTCTCACAATTATATTAAAACTCTTTAAATAAATAAATTACTATTACGAGTATATATATAAAGTTTATTATTAAGGAATTAATATGTTTCTTTCTATATCCATGTATTTCTGCACTGACTGTTCTTTTCTGTCTAGTTTTCCCCTGGTCAGGTAAGAGTTATCTCCCCTCCCCACCTTCAGATATGTGACATCAATGTTGTCATGGTGGCAGTGAATAGCATCTGTTAAACTCCAGTTAGATTTGAAGGAATCTTTATGAATCTACCGACTTTTATGGCTGAACTGTTCAAAGAAAACTATGAGCACTTTGGTATGAGGAATTGTTAAGAGTATATATTATTCAAACAGGTTGAAAACAGATAGTTGCCTTTATCACATTAGCTATGAATGCGACTTCATCATCACAGGACAATGAACTGAATCACGATGGAAGCTTGTCGGAATGTCATTCATTGCCTGTGACTTGTAGTCAGTGATAGCACTGTGAACGGTACATAGTTGTGCTTCCTTTAAAACTGCTAGAATAACTGCCAAATTCAAAAATTAAAAATGGAATTCATGGCACTATAAAGATGTAGGACCAATGAAAAATATTTTCAAATATTAAAAAAATATTTAAATGAAAAAATATTTCTTATAATTTAGGTTACCATAGTAACTGAAATTAAACTATTAAGTCAGTGACTTCCTGCTGCCAGTATATTGATGTCTCAGCTTCAATAGCTTGTTCAACTGTTATTTAGTTAGTTAGACACACATGGGATGCTTGCAAAAAGCAGTCTTAGCTCGAGGCTTTAACTGGTCACAAAATTGTCAGTACTTTGCAGTACTTTGTCTCACAGTTTTAACTAGTTTTGTCGAATAAACCCTGAGACAAATATTTCTTATAAAACCCATTAAATGAAAATCTATTTCCTGTTGGTATTAGTAAAAATAATTAGTTTAATTTAATCATTTATCTGTTATATAGTTGGGTCTCTAGACATTCCTTTCATAGAGAGATCTTTGTCATGGCGAGAGGCAATTCTGCATGGCATAATGTCGTAATGTAATAGTGTGTCATTTCATTACTTATGATAGTCCTCAAACTAAGATTTCTTGGTGCAAGTGTCCCTGGTATATTCTTCAGCCGGTGCATGTCTGGTTGTCGGTGTTGTTGATGTTGTGTTGATGTTGATGTTGATGTTGATGTTGATGTTCTTGCATCCTCAGTGATCCAGTGTCATATATCTCCATTCTATTATAATAAATACTCTGGACCTGTACACCTCCTTCGCGTCATTCTGGTGGTGACGTCACCAGTTCCATCTCTCCTATAATTGAACTCACACAGGATTTCACTCGCTGATGATCTTGAAGTCAATAACCAATCAAAAGCCAGGTTCTGAAAACAATCCCAGTATGCATCTACATTCAATATCGCTGAAAAGTAACTCAAGCTGTGATGTTTTTTAAATCAGAAGACTTTAATTAAGTTTTTAGCTCAGAAGACTGTGAATAAATTTTTGTAATTGTGACAATATGCAGAAGTAAAAATGTTTCTGTTTTGCCGCTGTTTAGTCATGAAAGAACAGTAAATTTGTAGAGATGTCTGTATGTAATGTAATGTTTAAATGAGGCATTGTGGGTCCAGAATGTATTGTGCAACCGAATGAAGATATGCACTGGATAATGCAGGAGGGGAGTTCATGGTGCTGTTTATAGATGTGTGTGTACTGATATTTTATGTTGTTTTGTTCACCTGTTTTGTCCACCTGAGTAGGTCCCCTGTATCTCTTTCTTGTGATTTTAGTGGATACAATGGGGATGTGTAAGAAATGGACGACGTCTCTCGCACTGAAAACCTTATTAGCTCTCTGCTAGCAGACCTAACTCCCATACCTTAACCTGGACTTAACCAGACTGTGACTTGTGATGTGCATCCCCATTTTCATCAAACACCTAAAATGTTCACGGAGACCCCAGCTCGGTCACACGTGACTTGGATATTACGTGCATCCCAACCTTTTCTGAAATCCAGCATCTACCTGTGTATATCGATGGAGTTAATGAGTGGTTGCCTAGACGATGATGAGCCTGTCCAGATACACCAACTATCAGGGGGCGTAGCTACCATTATTAAAAAAAGCCCGGGGTTACACATGATTGATGCTAAAAAGGCTGGACAAGCCCTCAATGTAATCTAACTATAAAATTTTGCAACCTGTCAGGCTTACACGAAAAAATTGGCTTGGTACGCGCCTGACGATGTCATGTCAGTCATGGGTTTATCTGGTCCAGATTGGATTCATCATGGGCCACTGCAATATTGAGATAACAATAAACAGCATTCAGTCATTCAATATACGCATAAGTCAAGAAGACAAATTCATGCACATCAAATGTCTTCTCTACATTGGTTACAGTGTCAGACTATAAATTATTTTCAAAATCTCAAACTGGATTTGGACCGCCTCTGTGGTGTAGTGGTTAGAGCGTCCGCCCAGAGAGCGGAAGGTCGCGGGTTCGATCCCCAACCGCGTCATACCAAAAGACGTTAAAGTATTGTACTTGTTGGTCCCTGCCTGGCGCTTGGCATTAATGGGTACAACAAGGACTGGTCGGCTCGGAGTCAGTATAATGTGTCTGAGTGGGGTATTCATGTTTCACTGCGGCATGGTATCTCAGTGGGCTAGCACTATAAAACCAGCTTAAGTCTGGGCTAGTACAAGCAGCCGCATATACACATACACACACATGCACGTCGTCATATGAGCGAAATATTCTCAAGCACGACGTTAAATCCAATGTCACCTCACCTCACCTCATCTCAAACTGGATTTCATTCAAAATATGTCAAGTCTTTAATATTATCTTTCATCAATGTAGGTATCACATTCATTAGATTGGTTTGATTTTTCATCCTATTTTTGTATTCAGATCATTCAGTTTTTAACATATAAATTCCCTCATTTAGGTTGTAAAGTCATTTGGTTTTGCGTTTTTCATCACATGTCTGTTGACACGAATCACGCGAATCAATAATTGCCAGCATCACTTGGTTTTCATGCATCACATAAGCTGCTGAAATGTGCTTAAACCTACAATAGTAGTGGTTGTGTTCAAGAGCTATTTTAAACACTATTGCAGTATATTTATGCATTCCCCACACTCAAAATAAATAGAATTTGTAAAGGAAATATTGTATATTTTAATCAAGTGAAGACATGGGACAATGTTTGTGATTTTCAAACAATTCAGATAAAAATTTACTAAATTTATCTGATCAAATAATCATAATACTATGTAATATCAATTATTTAAATGGTGTAATAGAGAGCATGTGTGTTATAATTGGTACCCTTGTTTATTTGTTGACATAGTAGCTATGTTGGATCCGGACAGTTCTTACTGGGATCACCCAGGGTGATACGCTACTCCCATAGTTATTATGACATATTTAGGCCTTAAGTGAGTGAGTATGGTTTACGCTGCTTTTAGCAATGTTCCAGCAATATCACAGCAGGGGACACCAGAAATGAGCTTCACACATTGTACCGATGTGGGGAATCGAACCCATGCCTTCGGCATGACAAGCAAACGCTTTAACCACTAGGCTACCCCAACACCCTGTAGGTTTATACCACAACATTGTGGTAACTAAATGTGTTGCATGTTATAACAACATGTACAATATGGCATGACTTATACTGGTGTAGTTTAACAACTGCTTGCTTTGTACAATTTGACTGGGCTCTGTCTATTCAGTAAAAAATCCATGTGTATTGTGGTCCCCAGTGATTTAGTGATAAATGCATGATATCTGTTTTTAATGTAAAACAGATTGAGTTTTAACTGTGTTTTAGAGTTTGTTTTTTCATGCATGTATTTTATCCATATTAAATTGTTGGTCATATAATAAATGGAAATATTTTTAACCAGTTTGGTTTATATTACCCTCAGGATGTACTCTAAAGATTGTGATACAAATATGGCAACTCAACATGTGAAATATTTTTCGTCAAGGTTGTCATGGTAATAGTTTGACTGTCCTTTTCATTTACAGGAATCATTTGCATAGACATGTATTATCAGCAATATCTTCAGCATATCTGAGCCGTGTTTCACACTTTGTCCTGTCTGTTATAGGTTGACTCATTTGAAATTGAGGCTGTGACCTTGAAGAAGTTGAACAAGATCCGCGTTGGTCATGATGGAACAGGCCCAGGGAGCGGTTGGTTCCTCGACAAAATAATTGTGAAACAGATTGGTTCGACAAAATATGACACCACTTTTGAGTGCAATAGGTAAAAACTAGATTTCAAGAGATGATAAAACATTTACAGTTTTGGCAACAAAATAATGACAACATTTTTCGGATTCACTTCCACAAATTCCTGAAAATATAATCACCACAGTTATTTTGTTTGGTTGTGATTTTATTATATAATTTTTATTAGGTTACTTCATTTAAATACTGGATTACCTAACTGGTCGAAAACAGCATGCAATACATTTCTGTGTGCTGATTTTAACTATGTGAAAAATAGGTGCACTTTGAAAATCAACGTTGTCTTAAATATGATTGCTATTCCATAAGTTGCAAGGATACTGATATCGAATGCCATGAACAAAACAATATTTCTTGCTGTATCAAAGAGAAATGTTTAGAAGATATATCATGGTATCACATGGAAATCATTACAAAATCCTCACTTTGACCATGATTAGGTGGTTGGCAGAGGATGAGGATGATGGCAACATTGAGCGGGACATCACAGCCAGTGGTTCACAGATGCTCAGTAGTAAGTACACTCAGTAGAAGAGTTATCTGCCCTTTCATTTACTCCCCGAACAGTTAGAGTGATCTGCCCCTGTATACACAGAAAGGAGACAAAAATTATAAACATATTTTGAGATGTTGATCATTATGATGGAATGGTGGTTTTTGTTTTATTTAATAATCTTTGAAGTTGGTTGGTTTTTCATTGACTGAAAGTGGTTAAGAGGACTTTTAAGGGACCGTTCATAATTTATGGCTAGGGGGTGTGATGATGATGATTTTAAGGGGGGTCACCCATTTTGTTCTAGGGAGCTGGGGGCAGCAATTTTGTACACATGTACTAGGGGGGTCAGCAATTTTGTACATAAAAATATGTATAAAATTATGCTTAGAAATTATGGGAAGGGGAGGGGGGGGTCATTGATTTTGTACATGACATGTAGGGGACGTCACTTATTTTGTACATAAATTTTAGGGGGTCTTTCTCACAATAATTGTACATGCGTCTCCATAAAAATCATCATCACCCCCTCTAGCCATAAATTATGAACGGTCCCTAAATGTAGTGCTAACTAGAGGAAGTGATAAAAAAACATTTGTTGGACAAGTGGCAAACCACACAAAAGAAATAGTATATAGGTATATTTTATCACTACTGCGGTCATAGCACTATATAAATGGATATACTGCTATATACTTTGAATATCTGGATTAGAACTCGGAATCGGATGGTCATGCTATCTGACTTGGTTGATACATGTCATCATGTCCCGATTGAGGAGATCAATGTGATCGCTCATGATGTCGGTCACTAGATTGTCTGGTCCACAATAGATTATGTGCAGACTGCCATCATATGGCTGGAATATTGCTGAGTGTGGTATTAAACAACAAACAAACAAAATAAATAAACAAACAGGATCTACTGCTATAGGGACAATATACACAATATTGGGACAATATACACCTTTATTGTCTGGCTGATGCATAATTTTAGTTCAGTCCTTAAATATGCCAAATGAAGGGAGACAACTGTCTTGTTTATGCATTTGATATGTCCCGTTGTAGTATTCTCATGTATAGACCATCTTAGGTTTGAGAGTTGTAGATAAATTGGAAAAAAATATATTTATTCAGCCTTCTACATCATTACATACTGGTATATAAACTCAGGTAGTTGACTCAAACTAGCCTAGGTAGTGAAATGTTTCTGTGTAAGTATAAACTAAGACATCAAGCGCATGCACGACAAGCTTGTGAAAGACCGGATGTTTATGTCTCCATAGCAACCAGGTATGTGATAAACGTGAAGACGGGTGATGTACGTAATGCTGGCACCGACGCCAATGTCTCCCTGAAGATATTCGGCAGCAAGGGAGACACAGGCAACATGCAGCTGAAGTCATCCGAGTCGTCAAGCAACAAGTTTGAGAAGAACAGAACGGACAAATTCATCAAAGATGCTTCCGACATTGGAAAGGTATGAAAATATAGTAATGATAATTCCACAGTAAAAATATAAATTGGTTCATTTCATCTACAAACTACAGACAGGGGAGTATGATATGAATTTCTACACTTGGAGATTTAAAGAGGTGGCATTTGGAAATGACAAATGTAGAGATGAAATGTATTAAAATAATTTTTTTATAGCCATGACAAATTTTATTAATGAAAGCGATTGATCCGATGTGTTTCAGAATTGTGTAGAAAATGTAGTTTTGTTATCAGGGACAGGGTGCCTTTTCACAAAGCAATCTAAGGGGGCTGTAAATGACATACCTTAACATGGACTTAAGGTTGTTTTGTACAATCTTTTTACTGAAGTTAGCTACTGAAAAATGTACTTTTCCTAAAACAAAAGTCTAAATAATTTCCTTTACATCCACACCTTCAAAGATCAAGAGTATTCGAATCGGACATGATGGTTCAAAGCCTGGTGCTGGTTGGTTCCTAGACAACGTCTCCATCGACATCCCCTCCCGCGGCGAGCATTACTACTTCGCCGCTCACCGATGGCTGGCAAAGGACGAGGAAGATGGCCAGCTGGAGATAGATATGGACCCGTCATCCACGGAGCAGCGGGAAAAGAGTAGGTCACGCTGGGGTCAAACACATCGTCACAGTATTCAAGTAGATTTATCTGGTTGTAGTCATGTTATTAAGTGAGTGAGTGTATTTTGGGTTTTACATCACTTTTAGCAATGTTCCAGCAATATCACTGTGGGGGACACCAGAAATGGTCTTCACCCATTGTACCCACATGTTATTAAGGGTGTCCCTAACAATGTAAAGATTTTATAAAGGTTATGTTAAGGAGGTATGTGTTAACCGGGCTTATCAGCCGATCGCCTATTACAAAATATAATGCCAGATATAACTGTGATGGACATGTGTAGGTTTCCTTTGAAGAGGCATAATATCACCCTGTACCTTCCCACCAATTTTGGGGCAGTGGGGTAGCCTAGTGGTTAAAGCATTCACTCGTCGCGCCGAAGGCCTGGGTTCAATTCCCCACATGGGTACAATGTGTGAAGCCCATTTCTGGTGTCCCCTGCTGTCATATTGCTGGAATATTGTTAAAAGCGGCATAAAATCCAACTCACTTACTTACCACTTAGCACATTTTTGCACAATGTTACACCAGTCACTGTAACTGGTACATCACAGGATTACATATACTTTGTCACGGGATTCTGATGAGCAAAAACTAAGGGTAATTTTTTTTATAAAAACAAATATTTTTAAAATACAATCATCAGGAATTGTGGTGAGATGTAAATGAGGACCTTAAGCCTGACCATCCAATCCACTTTAAAGTATATGCCATGATGTAAACAGTTCCAAAGCCTGGCCATCCAATCCACTTTAGAGTCTATTTCGTGATGTTAACAGTTCCAAAGCCTGGCCATCCAATCCACTTTAGGGTATATGTCATGATGTAAACAGTTCCAAAGCCTGGCCATCCAATCCACTTTAGAGTCTATTTCATGATGTTAACAGCTCCAAAGCCTGGCCATCCAATCCACTTTAGATTTTTTTTCATCACACTGCAGAGAACTCCATCCTAATGTAACCAAGACCATGGTAGGATACAGTCCAGTTTTCATCATATTAGTTAGAGACTTGATTCATCTTCATCTTCTTGTTTTTCAGCAATCCCATACGAGGTAACGATCTGGACCAGCAAAATGCGTGGGGCAGGGACAGACGCCAATGTCTTCCTACAGATGCGGGGAGAAGGTCAAGAAGACAGAAGAGATCCAGCTCCGCAACAAGACCGACAACTTTGAACAGGGGGAGAAGGAAAAATTCAAAGTTGAGGCGGCAGACATCGGCCGACTTCAGAAAGTTCGGATTGGACATGATGGTGCTGGTCGATTTGCTGGATGGCACTTGGAGAAGGTCAGTTTTGGGTTTGAATCCCAGTTTGATTAAGGTTCTAGGTTTGATGGCACCATACCAGTGATCATGGGTTTTACCTGAATGCTAAGCATCTAATACCTAGATCACTTTATGCTTATCACTCACATCAAGGTGACTCTGATGTAAATGGAATACCTTTCTCACTCATTTAAATTGTGTTGAAAGTGAAAAAGATGTTTCAGTATGAAATGTAAAACAACCATTAAATGTTTAAGTCATAAACAGGGGGCGGATCCTGATGGCTGGTGCACACACACATGAAAAGATTTTCCCTGAGGAGCATTTCCCCCTTAACTTTGGACTTCATGATGTAGTGCACCCCCCTTCTCCAAAATCCTAGATCCTGCTTTGATTAATCTATAACTACTTAATGCTCACAATGGAAAGATAAGACCTGTTCCCAAATCTTTCCTTCCTCTAGATGCTGATTCAAAGAAAACCGCTGTCTGGTACAAAGAAAAGACGAAGACCGTCCGATCTGGAACGGCGCAAGTACACTCGAGATCACGAGGAGTCTGATTCCTCTAGCTACAGCCCACCGTCAACGCCGAAACGCCGCAAGAAAAGGACGCACAGATCGAGTCTGGAGCGGGTGGATGAGGCAGAGGAGGACCTGTACGATGGAGACGAGACGGAGGATTACTGGTTCTTTGTGGATCGGTGGTTTGCGAAGGGGGAAGATGACAACCAGATTGTGAGGGAGCTGATTCCCACGGACGAGAGGGGGAACAGGCTGAAGGGGACTCTGAAAGGTTTGTGACCAACGTAGTATTAACAAACTCCACTGTTGAAATTGTTCATGGGGTAGCCTAGTGGTTAAAGCATTCACTCATCACACCGAAGACCCGGGTTTGATTCCCCAGATGGGTACAATGTGTCAAGCCCATTTCTGGTGTCCCTCGCCATGATATTGCTGGAATATTGCTAAAAGCAAAACTAAACTCACTCACTGACTGAAATTCATCGTTATATTGTTACTTCATTTGTGAAACCTTTTAGGATTCTTACATATACGTTCTTATGGTTGACAGAGTTGGAGTATACAGTGAAGATCTTTACGGGAGATATATTTGGTGCTGGCACTGACGCCAACGTCTACGTCAACCTCTGCGGCGAGAATGGAGACTCGGGAGAAAGACACATGAAAGAATCAAACCATACGAACAAGTTTGAGAAAAATCAGGTACTGATTACTAAAAGCGGCATAAAACTAAACTCACTCACTACAATGTGGTACAATAAAAAAAATGGCAGTTTGAATAGCAACAAAGTTTTCAGAAAATGATTTTGATTTATCCTGTAGTGTTATGTTGATATGGGATATTTTCAGGAGGACGTGTTCAAGGTGAAGGCCATTGACCTTGGTAAGCTGACCAAGTTAAAGATTTACCATGACAACAAAGGTGGCGGGGCTGCCTGGTTCTTGGACAGAGTGGAAGTCGAGGAGCCAATGAGCAGACGGAGGTAGGAGTACAGAGTTGTGTCCCTTAGTAAAGTGGTAACTGATGTTACAATTCTGAACTGAAGTGCTCCTTTAATGATAAACTGGTTCGACTTAGGAGATAAACATCATGTGTTGGCCAATTTCCGGGTGTTATTGAGTATTTGAAGCACCGGAATTCATTTGGAACCGACTGCGTCAGTCGACATTGTAAACACAAAAGTAAACCAGAAGGTCCACACACGTTTTTGTGTCTGCACTCATTGACATCGAGTACGGGTACAGCAGTGAAATGTCATCAGACGGCCGTTTCGGCTGTCTCCCATGGTAGCATCTGGAACTGCTCATTTGTGACATCTTTGGACTTTACGTCACAATATGATTTTAATGATGTCATCACAGCTGACGACGTAACAATACAATGGTGTGAGCAATGTTTGTATGTATTAATACGCAGTGAATTTCCGGGAATCTAATACCATTTGATCACGTTTTTCAACCAATCAGATTAAAGAACACAGTGGCTTTTGGTTTACAATCTGTGATATGTAATAAAGCCAAGGTTTTATCACACAGGACATCAGTCGGAACTTACCATCACAAACAACCATGAATTCACCAATCTGTAAATGATGTCCAGTTATATAATTCACTATTTCTTTGCAGCTATTTCTTCCCCTGTCAAAGATGGCTGGCAACCAATCAGGACGATGGACAGATAGCACGTGACCTGGTCCCAGTTGACCAGTCACTGCGGAGGAAACTGTCACGGAAGGACTCAACAGCTATCAGAGATGAAATTGCCCTAGAAACTAAAGGTAAATTCATTTGAACAATTCTGAACTACAGCCTTTTTGTTCTGCTTTGTCAAAGAAAATCAGCGAGGCTTCCTAATTTGGTTGAGGCATGTCGTCCTACTCCTACTTAGATCAGTGTCCATGGTGTGAATAGTGGATTCTCTGGTCCAGTCACGATTATTTTCAGTTTGCCATCATATTACTTATATTGCATTAAATAACAGATTGTAAGCTCAGAAAAAGGAAGACACCTTGTTAATTTATACCAAATAGAAGAGGAATTATGATCAATAAAGTTTTGTGTACAAAACAAAAGTAAGCCATATGTTATGTGTTTACTTCAGCTGCCATGACAACGTATCACGTGAAGGTGACAACAGGCAATGTGTGGGGGGCGGGGACGGATGCCAATGTTTACGTCATTCTCTTCGGAGAGGAAGACACCACAGGTATGAATTTGTGTATCATATATATTGTATAGATGCTTTAGTCACGTGTTCATCAACTCACAATTTTAGATTTGAAGGCTTTTGAAATGTCCACAAATGGGAATAAGAATCAAATTCAGTGTACAGGAGGTATTTTATCCAGATCTTCACTGATAAAACAATTATGATCTCAGCCATTAATCTGTGTTCCTACTTGAGGCCCAGGATTGGTCCAACTATTGGACATTGAGGTAGCCTATTTGTTTAATTGTTTGCTCATTATCATTAAACCTTTGTACACTGTACACTGTACACTTTGTGAAGGCCATTCTAGATGTTCATTTTTGTAGAATTTTATCAATTTTGTTGAAAGTCACGTGTAACTGTATACTTTAAACTACAGTCTGACTTTATATTTCTTGGTTGTGAATATTTTAGGGTGAACTATACATTTTTTTAGCTTAAGCAGGAAATTACATTCGGAGCATTTTCATTTTTTCAGGCAAGATGTTTCTTAAATCATCTCTCACCAACAAGAACAAGTTTGAGAAGGCCAAGATGGATGAGTTTATCCTGGAATGTGTAAAGATTGGAGAGCTGAAAAAAATCAAGTGAGCAATTGTTCACTAATTGTGTAGATCCATGAAGATCCGGGGTAGAATAGGTCTTCAGCAACCCATGCTTGCCACAAATGGCGACTATGCTTGTCGTAAAAGGCAACTAACGGGATCGGATGGTCAGGCTCGCTGACTTGGTTGACACATGTCATCGGTTCCCAATTGCATAAATCGATGCTCATGCTGTTGATCACTGGATTGTCTGGTCCCGACTCGTTTATTTACAGACCGCCGCCATGTAGCTGGACTCTATTGCAATATTCCAACTATATGGTGGCAGTCTGTAACTAATTGACCCTTTTACCAGTCAATCCAGTGATCAACAGCACGAGCATCGATCTGCACAATTGGGATACGATGACATGTGTCAACGAAGTCAGTGAGCCTGACCACCCGATACCATTAGTCGCCTCTTACAACATGCATGGAATGCTGAAGACCAATTCTAACCCGGATCTTCACAGATTATATAGTTTATGTACAGCATATCAGACCTAGTTGGCACTAAATTTCCGCTGACTTGGTTGACACATGTCATCAGTTCCCAATGGCGCAGATCGATGTTCATGCTGTTGATCACTGGATTGTCTGGTCCAGACTCGATTATTTACAGACTGCCGCCATATAGCTTGGATATTGCTGAGTGCGGCGTAAAACTAAACTCACTCACTCACTAAATTTTACCACATATAGACTCCCAGTTATAAATATGTGATCAGAACACAATTTATGATGTTCATCACTATCAAGACGTAAAGTGCAGTTTGTAGTATTTGTTTTTTGTAAGTAATATTCCTTTATGCTGGAATGGTTTGTAAATCACTTGTAAAAACATTAGCACAACTTCTGTCGTAATGAATAATGATCTTCGCAATATTTTGTGATTGTATTTCAAATGGAAAGGATGATAGTTTTAACCATTGGTTAGAAACATTTAATAACCCGCTTTAGATAAATAAAAGTCATATGTTTTCTGTGAATATGTTTTTGACCATTCATTCCCTGTGTTTTAATGTCAGGAATCGGTAATGTTCTCACATATCTGTTCTTGTCAGAATTGGCCATGACAACGCTGGTGGTGGTGCAGCATGGCATCTGGACAACGTCGTCATCGACTGCCCCTCCCTTGGTCGCATGTGGACTTTCCCCTGCAATCGCTGGCTTGGAGAGAAAGAGGACGATGGCGCCATCGAGCGGGAACTGTTTCCCCAGGAGCTGGCTACCCAAGAATACATACCATGTAAGAATTGGTGAAACCTTCTGATCAGAGAGAAGATATGATAACAAGAAATATATACCATTCTGATGATTCCTGCTTTTCAGATTCTGACAATCAATGTTTGTGACCGAAATGTCTGAATAAGGATTAGGTTGTTTCACTGACCAAGTGCTTCACACTATTTGTCAGGAATTAAGGATTAGTTTGATATGTAAAAGTATAAAGCGTTCACTCAGCATGCTGAAGACCTGAGTTCGATTCCCCACATGGGTACAATTTGTGAAGCCTATTCATGTGTCCCCTGCCGTGATATTGCTGGAATATTGCTAAAAGCAGCATAAAACTATACTCACTCACTCATAAAATGTGTAATTAACAGAACAAAATCATTCATCACCGAAACTCCTCCCCCTCTGTTGTAGGCATTCCCTATGAGATTACAACATACACGAGCGATCGCTCCGGAGCTGGGACAGACGCAGATGTGTTCATCGTCCTGTATGGCAAGGAAACATGTACGCAGCAGAAGCCATTATGTAACACCAAGCGTGAGAGGAAGGAGAAATTCAACAAGGCGGCGGCCGACAAATTTGTTGTTGAGGTAATCTTGCCATTATTCAGTTAGAAACCAACCACTCTATCGGTACATTAATTTGAGTTGTTTCTAATTTCTTTCACTGAAATAATTGCAGAAGCTCCATGTCTAGTGAACATTTTTTGGGTGTCGCAACTGAGAGCTTTTTTCGCATTGTTTTCATGAACAAATTATTATCTTTTTTAAATAATCCAAGTCCTGTCCAGAATATCAAAGGGTTGGTCAGTTCCTTAGACAGTGTAAACAGGTACAGAGTAATGGCCTCTCCTCAGTTCTTTCTCATTTGCCTATTGTGTTAACAGTTGGAAGATGTCGGTCAGACCATTGAGAAGATCCGTATCGGCCATGATGGTTCCGGGTTTGGAGCTGCTTGGCATTTGAACAAGGTGGATGTCCGCAAACTGCACACAACAGGAAAGGTGAGGGGCCAGTGTATTTCTCAAATAGGAGGATTTGTTGGCAACAATGGCTGCCTTATCTAGTCATCATTGAAATGACGCAGTAGAAATGGAAACTACTCATTTTATATTTATGTCAGACAACACCACAACAAAATCAGGCTGAATTATGGAGTTATCATAGAGACTGGTGTCAGTGTTTAGTACTGTCTCTGATATCCTTATAATTAAAATAATTTGTTAATGATATGCTTCAATACAGATTCAAGTGCATCATGTATCTTTGTAACTTTAGTAAACATTTTGTTTTTTTATAAACAATATTATAAACTGCAAGTTGAAGTTTTCTTGCCTTGTATATTTCTGCTGCTTATCCTTGGATTCAAGAACAAACAACAGGTACTTACATACAGTCCTTCCCAAATATTTTATGAACTGGTTGAAATATCTCTTTTGTCCTTTTTCCTTCACTAAAGTAATTTACTCCTCTCAGTGTCAACCAACACAGCAGTGATATATGTTCAGGAACATTCTTGAACATTTTCACTTCAGCAGTGGTTATGGTTCTATCATATTGATATAAAGTGCACGTTTCTCATAGAATCTGCACTTGGAACACTTTGGTTTTATGACAAGACCAGTTTCATCTAAAGTGAATGTTCCAACTCCACATAAACAATACCAAATGGTCAATTATGTCTATGCAATTGGGTCAAATTATGGTTTAGAATGTTAAAGATCATTGTTTTCCTCCTCATGTGTAAATTTGATTGGACAATTTGCAATAAACAATAAGAAACTGTGATTTGAATATTTGGAGTCCATTATCTCCAAATTAGGTTTTAGTGACATAGAACACATTGGCCATAAGCCATATTGTCAATGCCAGATTGTTCTACCTCCAGGTCATGTGATTCAAACCTCATCAGTGATTGGTCCATCACTTAGAACAATATGGTCCTTTCAAAAACATTGATTGGCCATAATCTGTATTGTCAGATTGTTCTACCTCCAGGTCATGTGATTCAAACCTCATCAGTGATTGGTCCATCACTTAGAACATCAATATGGTCCTTCCCAAAACATTGATTGGCCATAATCTGTATTGTTAATGCCAGATTGTTCTACCTCCAGGTCATGTGATTCAAACCTCATCAGTGATTGGTCCATCACTTAGAACAATATGGTCCTTTCAAAAACATTGATTGGCCATAATCTGTATTGTTAATGCCAGATTGTTCTACCTCCAGGTCATGTGATTCAAACCTCATCAGTGATTGGTCCATCACTTAGAACAATATGGTCCTTTCAAAAACATTGATTCCATGGAGATAAAACAATGTTAAAAGCTAAAAATGACACTTTCATTGCATATATTCATCTGAAACTTTACCAGAAGATAGAATAACACCTCAGCTTTAGTATGATAGTCATAACATATATCTTTTCAAAAAGTGAACTTGGAACACTGGTTTTCAGGCGAACGAAGTCACTGCAGCCTGGTATGCAGAGTTGTTTCCACTGAAAAGAATAACTTTCTATCTTGTCAAGGAACGAAGTAATAAAATCAATGTGACATTCCTGTATAATTCCAGGGTTCCATCACGTACGAGTTTCCATGTGATCGGTGGCTGGCTCGTAATGAGGACGATGGCGCCATTGTGCGAGAACTGTTGCCGAAGAAGGCCACCAAGGAGGTCATTGGGAAGGATGGAGAAGTGAAAGTGGTTGATCATAAACTGCGGGACAAACTACAAGGTATGTTTGTTTGTTGTGTAAGAAATGTTATGTCTGAACCAGACAGACCAGTTAAAGGAAGTCACCAAGTCTGACAGTAGCAGTTTAGCAAACAAGATAGATTTATCTGTAAACATTCATGTCTCTAATTTCAGTGAAAACATAACGCATAGTCCTTTACAGATCCATGAGGGGCGGCAAGGTAGCCCAGTGGTTAAAACATTCGCTCATCATGCCGAATACCTGGGTTCGAATACCCACATTGGTACAATGTGTGAAGCCCATTTCTGGTGCCCCTGCAATGGTATTGTTGGAATATTGCTAAAAGCAGCGTAAAACCGAACTCACTCAGATCCATGCTTGATGATTGTATTGATTTTTGTATATTATTCTGTTCTATCTCTGTGTGTTTGTATTGTAGTATTCTTCCTGTGTGGTTCAAACCGAGTTCCTGTTATTGTATTCCACCATATTGCATGTTTCAGCCAAGAAGTACATCGTGAATGTCCACACTGGAGGTGAGAAGGGTGGAGGGACAGATGCTAATGTGTTCCTGACGATCTTCGGAGAGCGGGGAGACACAGGCGAGAGGAAGCTTCATACCTCAGAGACACACCGAGACAAGTTTGAGAAAAATCAGGTGAGAAAGGGTGACGCTGAAATAGAAATAATCATTATTTTTCCTTATCCTGACTCATGCTCTTTTTGCTTGTCTCCTTCCTCTTGCGAACATAGTGGAACACTTGTATCTCCCTAATTGAAGTTCCCTTCAATGTAAAATCACTAATTAGTACACCACGAGTTACCTCCCTTCCACAAGCGCGGGAACGAGGGCGCCACCTCTACCCATGTGCCTCACTCTCTCCTTCTTCGCCCAGTGAGCTGGACGTGAGAGCGCCTGTGTCTCCCGACACACTATATCCTTTGATTATATTTAGTTAGTTACCTCGTATAGAGATCTATAGAGGTTTAGCTAGTATCTTTCAACAATTATATATTGATATTTAGTCGTGTTTCTACTGTTTATGCACGGGACGCCGTGCTGTTGCAGTGGATTACGTTGATAAAATTCTGTACTGTTGCACATACGTTTTTATTCTGCTGCTGATCCGCATTTAATATGCCCTAGCTGTACTAGCCCATGTTTCATGTGATTCACGTTGCAGTTCTGCGATACTAATTTATCCAATCTACCTTTAATAAATAATTACTTTCTGCGTTTGAGGCGGCGCGGCAGATAGGTCAAGTATGCAGAGTCTAGCATGACTGATACACCTGAACCCCTGCGCCAGTCTACTGCTGTTGGTGAGACCCTCCCGTCTGGTTTTCCGCTAGAATGGTGGAGAGGTGGGGCGTGATCCGCCGCCTCAAGAAGCGTCCTGCTTCCCCAGACATCCTTCGTCGCACTGAGGGGTATTCAACGAAGTCTACTAGAACTTTCTCAGCCCGAGTTGTTCTCATCGCGAATTTGGGCCTGTATGATGATCAGCCGATCATCATTCCTGATATACATCAAAGAATGACTGATGTCGGCAACAGTGATGTCAGCGCAGATCAACATTCGATGATCTTCCTGAGGGTCCCGTCGCTACCAACACTCAACGCGCAGACCGCACTTAGGGCAGCGTCGACCTCTGAGGGGAATTCAACGAAGTCTACTAGGACTTTCTCAACCCGAGATTGTTCCAGCCGCTGAACTTGGCCTCTACGATGATCAGCCGATCATCATCCCGGCGTATGAGACAAGTAGCGACCGGTGACAACTACAATGACATCAGCAGAGATGCGTCATGCAGCCTGATGTCTCTACACTGATGTCAGGCGACTTACCTGAGGGCCCTACCACTAACAGCGCAGAGATGGCACCGACTGCTTACCGCAGACCATCCCAGGCGAGCTACTACGACAAATCATGGTCGTGATGGAGGGTCACTACAGACTGGAGAAGCAGCCAGCCCAGAGTGCGAGGCTTCGCGAAGGCTCAGCTTAGACAACACTCTAGAGGCACCTCCAGTCAGCGTAGCAGCTAAGGCGATGCAGCCTTCGCGAAGGAAGTCGCAGACCACCTTGACGAAGGACCCAGATGTACAGCCTTAGCGAAGGCCTTCATCGCGGCCGGGATAGATCATCACATTCCTCGGCTTCATCCTTAGATGCAGACTCAGCCACCAGACCTCCGCGGAAGCCTTGGCGAAGCTCAAATCGCCGTTCCCCAGCACAACGCAGAGAGAAGCTTCCAGCGAAGGCGTTCATGGCGTTATGTGAAGGCGTTGCGAAGAAGGCATTCAGCGAAGGCACTCGGGAAGGACACGAATATAGATCGTCATTTAACAGAGTCAAGGGGACTACTCAAGAGCTTCAGCGAAGCTGTCAATAGTCTCCGATCTCCTCGTACATCACCACATCGATCGCCTCACAGGTTACCACACAAGTCTACATCACCTTCCTAGAGTGGCAGTGCGGCGCAGACATACCTGATGAAGGAAGGCGGCGCGAGATGCTATCACCCTACCTCCGATCGACCCGATTGCTGCGGTAGCACAGAATCTAGACATAGCATCCCATAAAGCCACAAAAGTTCAGACACCATAATTGCGAACTTTCATTTCCTAGAAGTTTTCCACGCACAACATGGACCCCTTCTTCAAGGCTTAAGACATCGATGAAAACTGGCAGTTGATCATCGATATCAACAATAAGAACTACAATCGTAAATTGGTTCAGTTGAATCCATGACGCGAGACGTATGTTCGTTGGCCTAAATAGATCTAGAGCGATCATTGAGACACTTATCGCCAGATTTCGTAACCACGACTTCTGAAAATGATAAGATGATCCACTCCACTTCGCCCTACTTATGCAGAACCAGCAAGTCCCAGGCGCCTCGGCGAAGGAGCTAGAGCCTCACCAGCTACAAGGGACGGCGGAGGAGTAAGCCGTGACCCCCACATCCTGTTAAAACACAGAGGCCATTAGCCAACAAGCGGCTCTTATATATATATATATATATATATATTCTAATCGGACTTTGACTTCGATACCTTCGTGGTCGCTGTGAAGGCTAAGTGGCTGCAAGTCTACTTCACCAGTAGATCTAGAAGGGATACTTCCGAGAGCTTCATGTGAAGTCTCTCGGCGTTCACCGAGAAGTCTCCTCCAAGGTCTCCATATACTAGCCACTCGTCATATATAGCTACTCCTCAGTCCGTTCAAGACATCGCGCATAAGTTGTCTATCAACTGTATGCCAGATGCGATCTATAAACCTACTGGCGAAGACAATTGCACAGGCTATTTACAACACAGAGCGTCGGCTGTATTAATTTGTCAGCGACGTTTCATAGATCTTCACAGAAATCAACTATTCATGATAAATTGCTAGTATATATGCAATCCCGGACGACGATCACGAATATCTACATGCGTGACCATTCACGCATATCTGCAGACAATTCAATATCGAAATTGAACAGCAGCCTTGTTACAGCGAGTATAACTCATGTCGTCAACATTTCTGAGAAGAAATATGTACAACAAATTCAGCTTTAATTCTACAATTATGGCGATACATTCATGTATACAGTCTACAAGCTGACAACTTACAAGTTATTGTACCTTTATATATAAAGAAGTGGAATTATATTCAAAACTGAAGCACTTTCCGACAGCCAGGAAAATAACCTACCCAGCATTAATATTACAGGCGAGGTATTTTAGCGCGAAGCTTTTACTCGCGTTTACTCCTAAACCTCGAAACTGCGTGGTCTTTCGGGAACCCGGAGGATTCGGAAGAACCGACGATTGTTCTAATATCAAGCGGCGGCACTATATTATACAAGGTTCCTTTTCCTGCTACACGGTGACATCACAGCGGGTACTCTACAGAATCAAAATGCCTTTATTCTGGTTGGACCCGATGAACAACGCCCTACACAGAGGTCGAGGCATAGTTCACAGTTCAAGACATAGGTTGCAAGTGACAACTTTATATCAATGAGCGAGCAGAGCCTCCTTACAGCCCAGTTAACCTGAACCTTCATGATTAGGCTGCTTTCTTCAGGTTAGAGACCTCCTCTGTCAAGTTTAGACAAGGGCACAGCAGTCAGGCGATTTTACATAAAGTTCATCGAGGACACAAACTCCGGTTGTGCACATACATCGCCGTCAAGGACATCATAGCAGATTTACCTGAGCGGCCGTGATACAAGTGGATCGAAATCCACAGCGTTTCGACTACACCTGAATTTCATCATCAAGCTACTAACACAACTAGATGGTTAGTAAACCTACTAAGTTTCTGTTTGGAGAATAAACGGAAGTTTCATTACCAACTTGGGGATATGAATATAGTGCTACACAACACCTCACAAGTGAGGTTTATGAACATGCCTGGATGACATACTTGGACTCCATGATCGATGATGCTATCACGCTGGCCAGCAAGAGCACTGTAAATTTATCTCCACCAAACCAAACGGGAAGAAAAATATACAACAGATTTTTTCCTCTATCATCAACTTACGCGAGAGTGTAGTCTCCATGTATTATATCTCCGTTTGGATCAGAACTGTCATACTCACGTGCATACAAGACAGATGGACCTAATCCGACCCTCCATGAGCTTTAATACTCTTGATATTAGAGAGCTAACTTCTACAATTTCATCTACACAAATGTTATTTGAAATAATGGAGGGTTTATTACTGTAGATCCGATATGGTGGTTGCCAACCATTATCTGAGAGATATCACCACCGAGGACATCTCAGGTATCCACCAATTTGATCCCATGGTCCTTGCACAACAGTTGACAGTTCCTCGGAGAAGATAAGTCAATCTTACAGATTTTTACTTATCTTATAACAGTACTAAATAGCTTCATGCTATATATAATTTGCTTAAGCTCGTTTTTTATCATCACAGTGGTTACATGATAAATACTCATATTGTAAAAATACATTAGCTAACAAACTCTACGGAGTTTTGCTATTATATAGGTAGCTTAAGCTCATTCATATCTTAAGCTCAGTACTATGTTTATATCATATAACTATATTAGCTAACAAATTCTAAAGAGCTTTTGCTATTTGGCTTAAGTTTCATCATATCTTAAGCAATATGGTTACATTATAACATGTATTAGCTAACAAACTCTATAGGTTTTTTGCTATTATATATGTAACTTAAAACTTATTCATATCTTAAGCGCGGTACTATGTTTATATCATATAGGTATATTAGCTTCCATCAAAACTCTAAAAGAGTTTTTGCTATTATATATTGGGCTTAAGTTTTCATCATATTTTAAGCTTTATGGTTACATTATATCATGTATTAGCTAACAAACTCTCTTGGGTTTTGCTATACATATGTAGCTTAAAGGTTCTTCTTATATCTTAAGCTCAATACTATGTTGATACCATATAAGTATATTAGCTATTAAAACTCTAAAAGGTTTTTTGTTATTATATATTTAGCTTAAGGTTTACTTCATATCTTAAGCTCAATACTAGGTCTAAATCAACATAATAAAATGTATTAGCTATCAAACTCTACAGGGTTTTACTATTATATATATATAGCTTAAGTTTAATCATATCTTAAGCTCAGTACTATGTTTATAACATAAAAGTATATTAGTTAATAAACTCTAAGGAGTTTTGCTATATACATTTAGCTTAAGTCTAATCATATCTTAAGCTTAGTACTATGGTTACATTATAAATCTATTAGCTAATAAGCTCTACAGAGTTTTTGGCTATTGTATATGTAGCTTAAGTTAATTATATCTTAAGCACAGTACTATACTCATATTGTAAAAATATATTAGCTAACAAACTTTTACTAAGTTTGGCTATTATATATGTAGCTTAAGTTAATTATATCTTAAGCACAGTACTATACTCATATTGTAAAAATATATTAGCTAACAAACTATACTAAGTTTGGCTATTATATATGTAGCTTAAGTTAATTATATCTTAAGCACAGTATTATACTCATATTGTAAAATATATTAGCTAACAAACTCTACTAAGTTTGGCTATTATATATGTAGCTTAAGATAATTATATCTTAAGCACAATACTATACTCATATTGTAAAATGTATTAGCTAACAAACTCTACAAAGTTTGCTGTTATATATATAGCTAAGCTTATTCATATCTTAAGCTCAGCACTGTCTATATCATATAAATATTTTAACTAACAAACCTAAAGAGGTTTGTTATTATATAATTAGCTTAAAATTAATCATATTTTAAGCTTGGTGCTATATTTTATATCTTAAAGTATTTTAGCTAACAAACTCTAAGGAGTTTATACTAGCATATTAACAAGCTTAAGTCTATTAGTCTTAAGCATTGTATTAATATTATATATACTTATCATAATAAGTACATTGTAATAACCTCTATATGGCAGCTGATAAGCTGGCAGCAGGAATTCATCAGTTCAATGCCTTTATGAAGTTCCCATAGGGTTATTACAATCCTCACAGTTCAAATCACTAATTATTAAAATCCAAAGTATTATATATTCCCACCTCCATCTGTTGGATTCTACAAGCAAAAGAGCATGAGTCAGGATAAGGAAAATATGTAATTTTTTTGAGTAAAATTGATATTTTATACTTATCCTGACTCATGAGTCAACAGCCCTCCCATCCTCCCCAAATAACACTGAAATAGAAATAATCATTTTTCTTGGTCTGTTCTGTTTTAGAATTCAAATACAATTCTTAATAGTCACAGTTCATATTACTCATGGTTCAGCATTTTAGCGTTCCTGAGTTCCTTGTATTCTGTCTTGTTATTTCCTCATGTGATATTAAAAGCTTACTTGCTAGTCGTACTTGTCCGCCTTGTGGTGATGTGCCTTTGATAAGCAAGGTCCACTCACTCACTCTGTTTCTGTTGATAAGCAAGATCCACTCACTCACTCACTGTTTCTGTGTTCAGCATGACAAGTTCAACATGGAGGCGGGGGACCTTGGGAAGCTGTACAAGATCTACATCCGCCATGACAACTCCATGCTGAACCCCGCCTGGTACCTGGACCGTGTGGAGATCCAGGACACCTCTGACAACCAGAACTACATCTTCCATTGTGAGAGGTGGCTGGCCAAGAACAAGGGAGATGGCAAGATAGAGAGGCACCTCTATGTCAAGGTAAGGTTGCCTAGCAACCACTTGGTGGGACAGGCCTCGATAGAGAGGTACCTCTGTGTCAAGATGAGGTTGCCTAGCAACCACTTGGTCGGGTAGGGTTAGATAGAGAGGCACCTCTATGTCAAGGTGAGGTCACCTAGCAACCACTTGGTTGGGTAGGGTTAGATAGAGAGGCACCTCTATGTCAAGGTTAGGTCACCTAGCAACCACTTGGTTGGGTAGGGTTAGATAGAGAGGCACCTGTATGTCAAGGTGAGGTCACCTAGCAACCACTTAGTTGGGTAGGGTTAGATAGAGAGGCACCTCTATGTCAAGGTTAGGTCACCTAGCAACCATTTGGTTGGGTAGGGTTAGATAGAGAGGCACCTCTATCTCAAGGTGAGGTTGGTTAGTAACCACTTGGTCGTGTAGGATATTAGATAGAGAGGTACCTCTTATTCAAAGTGCAGTTGCTTAGCAACTGTTTGGGTTGAGGTTGTCTGTCTTCAAGATCATGATCAGGCACCTGTCGTTGAATTACCCCCATAGGTCATGATGTTGAAGGCACACAGGGGACCAGACAAATCCTGGTATTGGGAGTCTTTGGTCTTTGCCTGGGTCTTTTACAGGTTTGCGGCCTTTACTTTTGCCTGATTCAATCTTATCTAATTCATTTCTGATGTGGTGTGTGTCTGGGTGGTTGCCTGTGCCTGGATCAGGGCCTAAAGCCAGCATCAGACTTCCAAACCATCTAAACATTTATCACCGTACACCTCTCAGTGTTCCTCCCTTGCAGGGCTATGATGGCGAGATGTCAAGTACAGGGACTCTCAGGTCGACCAAGTACGGATCTGTCAGCAGCCTTGACTCCATGAGAACCACAGACCCATTCGGCAAAAGTCCCCGGCTCAACCGTAGACAGTCCCTCATGTCCTCCATGGAGGAAGTACCGGAAGGCCCAAGTGAGTTGAACACATCACAATGTCGCTGTATACATGATTGTCTGAGGAAACCTATTGGGATTTCTGAATAAAACCCTGCAATACAGTGCTTCAGTTAGGTGGAGGAGCTTCAAAGATACTCAACGTATGTCAATTATTGTTTTCGTGACCCTCTGCTCCAGTCAACAGGTAAAAGGCAATAAATTAAACAGACAACAGATTAAAGACAGTAGTTAAATGGGTAATAGTGAAAGGCTGTAGATACAAAGTCAAACGTGAAAAGGTGGTTAATCAAATGTCAATAGTGATAAGGTGGTTGATCAAATGTTAATAGTGAAAAGGCAGTTGATCCAAAGTCAGTAGTGAAAAGATTGTAGATCGAATGGGTAATAGTGAAAAGGCGATAGATCAGAAGTCAATATTGAAAAGATGGTTGATCAAATGTCAATTGTGAAAAGGCAGTTGATCAAATGTCTATTGAAAAGGTGGTTGATCAAATGTAAATACTGAAAAGTAGGCTGATCAAAAGTCAATAGTGAAAAGGCGGTTGATCAAATGTCAATAGTGAAAAGGTGGTTGATCAAGTGTCAATAGTGAAAAGGCGGTTGATAAAATGTCAATAGTGAAAAGGTGGTTGATCAAATGTTAATAGTGAAAAGTAGGTTGATCAAAAGTCAATAGTAAACAAGCAGTTGATTGAATGTCAGTAGTGAAAAAGCGTTTGATCAAATATCAGTAGTGAAAAGGTGGTTGATCAAATGTCAGTAGTGAAAAGGCGGTTGATCAAAAGTCAATAGTGAAAAGTAGGATGATCAAAAGTCAATAGTGAAAAGGCAGTAGATCAAAAATGATAAAATACAACAGTTAAACATCAGTTGTTATATATATATATGTGTAACATGGACATATATGTAACTGCTCCCAACTTTTGTTACAGCTATTCCGTACACAGTGAAGGTGACAACAGGCAACGGCGAGGACAACGGCACCAGCAGCAACGTGTATGTCCGGATCATCGGCCCGAAGAAAGTTGACACAGGGAGACTGTTCCTGGAGCTAGCACAAAAGGAAACCTTCGCTGCAGGATCCGTTGAGACATTCTCCCTAGAGGCCATTGATGTTGATGAAGTGAAGAGGATAGAGGTGCGTTGATCTGGGATTGGTAGAAGAACGTTGACTGAAAGAGAGTAACTCATTCTAAGAAAAATGAAGAAAGTGAAAGTGTCCTTGAAAAACATCAGCTCAGTCAGTTGATTGTTGAATGTGACATCAAGAATGATGGATGACACTATCTTGTATAAGCAACAGTATACTTTTCGAAAGGGATGACTAACATATTTGGGTGGTCAGACTCGCTAACTTTGTTGACACTCGTCATCATATGTCAATTGTGTAATCACAATCACTGGATTGTCTCGATTATTTACAGACTGCTGCCATATAGCTAAAATATTGCTGAATGCGATGTTACACAACAAACTAACAAACAAAAATTAGTGTCAGTGTGCTAATAAGATGTCATGTTGCCATAACATGCGTTGCTTCCAGTGAAAACAGTAAACAGTGAACACAAATTAACCCGTATGAGTGAAACAATCATTACAATGCTCTGTGAGATTTACTGAGAATAATTCAACTGATCCCTTACCCTTATGGGTTATATATGATTTTATAAGGTTGTTAAGTCCTCTGATTGAAATGTAATAGGGTAGCCAAGTGATTAAGCTCCCGCTCTTCATACTGAAAGACCGGGTTTGATTCCCACATGGGTACAATCTGTGAAGCACATTTCAGGTGATTCCTGTTGTGATATTGCTGGAATATTGGTCAAGGTGGCATAAAATCACTCACTCTTCGGAATGGAGACGTAAAAAGCAGTGTTTCTTTGTAATGTAACATGTTGTGCTCTGTTAAGGTTGGCCATGACGGTAACGCCCCTGGTACTGGATGGTTCCTGAAGGAGGTGGAGGTTGATCTTCCCACCAAGGGCAAGCACTATCATTTCACTGCTCAGTGCTGGCTGGCCAGGGACAAGGGTGACGGCAGAATTAGCCGCACCTTCAGCGTTGATGACGGACAGAGCTCTGTCACCTCATACAGACCAAGTGAGTATATGGAATGGGACTAAGAAATGTACCCCTGATTATAAGAGGGGTAGACATGGCTCTGTGGAAGGCACTTCAATTTTCTTTGCAGAGTTACCTCCCTCAGTTCTGCCAGGATTAGATGATTATGAGTTTGAGATTCACCATTTTATGCTCTTGCCAAAGTTACCTAAGTGGTTTAAATTTATGACATGCTTCACACTGAAGCTTCCTCCTTGCAGTGATCCAATTTATACAATACAGTCTTGTGTTATATAAGCTATAATACTAATTGTTTTAAGAAGGTCTTTCTTACTAGCAACCAATGTCCATGGATAATAGCCTCATGGGGAAAGCATTTGCTCATCATTCTAAAGGTCCAGGGTTTGATTCCCCACATGGGTGATCTATTTGAAGCTGGAATATTGAGATTGCTGGAGTGATACTAGAAGCTGCTTGAAACCCAACTCTCTCGGCTCAGTCATGCTTTTCTCACTCTCGACAGACAATAGACAATTACATCACACTTCTATCGTCCCTTAGGTAATCTGATTTTAGTGTAAGACTTGAGTACGAGTGTTGTTGCTGTTGCAGTGTTGCCGTATGAGGTGAGCATCCAAACCGGTGATGTACCGGAAGCTGGAACCGACTGTAAGATCTTCATCACCGTGTTCGGTCAGAAGGGGTCAACATCACAGATAGAACTGCCCAAGAATGAAGACCGCTTCGAGAGGGACAGGACAGACATGATCAAGGTCAGTTCAAAAACAAACATAGAAGCAATTAGATTAGACTCATTAATGTTTCCAGAAGTTGTATGACAGATGGTAAATATGTCCCCATGTTCTGTGAAGTACTGACACTGTTCTACTGTTTATAGCTGGAACTGGATGACATTGCTCCCCTGAAGAAGCTGAGGGTAGCGGTAGAGCCGAAGGCTGGTCGCCAGTCCTGGTTTTTGGACAAGGTGGGGTATATTTCTTTATATTGTTGATACTTCGTAGGTTTGTGTACGATCCTCTATCATCAATGTTTCCATGTTGCTCCCAGTATTGACAAACAAATCGGGACGGTGGGGTAGCCTTGTGGTTAAAGCATTCACTCATCACGCCAAAGATCTGGGTTCGATTCCCCACATGGGTATAAGGTGTGAAGCCCATTTCTGGTGTCCCCTGCCATGATGTTGCTGGTTTATTGCTAAAAGCAGCGTAAAAACATATTCACTCACTCACTCACTCCAAGTAATCCAAGGTTTGGCTTTAATGAGTTTTGAATTGAGTTGATTAGTTTACTAGAAAAACATACACATACCAGTACATTTCAGCTAGGTGGCTACATTGACCGGTGATGTAAGAAAGCAGTAAATCTTTTATTCAAAATCAAATTTCAAAATTATTGCATGATCAAATTTCCAGAGAATAATGAGAATATATTGTTAACAGAATCCATCTTGAGACAGGGTCTGGGGATGTAATACATCAACTTTTGCAGTTTCAGTGGGTAAAAGTTGAAAGTTAATAATTGCGCGGGTGTCTCCTTTCATGATGTGATGTTCTTAAGGCTGTTTGTTTCAATCTCACAGATTGAGCTGCGAAACATGGAGACTGGTGTGCTCTCCGTATTCAACTACAAGGATTGGCTGGGCAAAGGGAAGGAGAAAGGTGAAGGTCGTCTGTCAGTGGATCTACCAGCCACAGAAAGGGGCAAAGCTGTTATTGGAAGTAAGTTGGTGAACTTTTCATATCAATCTTCTCTAAAATTCTGACGTCTGCTAATGTCCAGGTGTCCATGGCTTGGCAGAGCAAGGTCAGGTAATATCTGTCACCTGTGTCAACTTCCATTCAAGTCGAAGTGGATCTTATCATGTTCCCTTTGACCTGGGTGAGAACGTATATAAGTCCTCAGCACTCCTTTGTTGATTATAGGATGCAATTACATTGGATAAAATGGTTACTAACTTCTTTGAGTGGCATTTTAGAAGTTGGGAAGTATAATATAGAATAAACTTTATGGATAACAACTTCTTTTTATTCGTGAAACGTCGCACTCACGAATAAAAAGAAGTTGTTATCCATAAAGTTTGTTCTACCCCGCTATATTAAAATGGTTACTCTTTGGCAGAAAGCATGTGGTACCCACATGAAGTGGATCACTGCTGAAAATGTCAACCACTGTATTATCTTCAAGCTACAGGAGTGGTGGGGTAGAATAGTGGTTAAAGCATTCGTTTCTCACGCCCAAGTTCCGGTTTCGATTCCCGACATGGGTACGATTTGTGATGCTGATTTCTGGTTCCCCACCTTTATATTGGTGGTGTAAACCATAATCATTCACTCACTTTTCAAGTTAATATTATAAGGGTAATGCTAGTTTTGAGGGCATTATCATTTGCAGAAACCCTAGGCCTTCCATTAACTAAAAAAGGCTGAGGGCTTCTGCAAATGATAATGCCCTCAAAAATAGCATTACTGTTATTATTGCTAAAATACATGGAATTTGTGTTGAAAAGAAAAAGGAAAGAATGAAGGAATTTGACTGTAAGTTTACTCGAAACCAACCTCTGACGGGGTTGATTGACCGAATGCAGTTACGTCATCAAACAATTCAAGTGACATCACAACAGAACAAGACGATATTTGACCTTGGCCTTTGGCAAGACCATAGCCTGCACCATGTCAAACCTTGTCAGACACAACGTCAGTTTTCAGTGTTCGGTTTTGGTCGAACAACAAGGTTAATATGCAATTGTTAAGGTTAGCACCAGCAAGAAAGCCAACATTATCGCTACTTAAAGAGGGAATTCGGGTTGCTTTGATTTGTTTGCCCCTGAATATCTGCCAGTCCAAAGCCAATGTCGAATGAACCGTAAGCCCACGCACCCACTATGACATCACTTGACAACAGAACTGATAGTGGCCCGTCGTTAAGGTTGAGCGGTCCAATATCATTTGCAGCGGCCCGCAAATTTCTGATAATAGGAGGGCCGTTTCATGATAATTCCATGTATTTTAGCTATAAAACTGGAATATTGAAGACGGTCGTGTTAACAATATTCACTTACTAACTAACCTTTGTTTGTTACAGAGACTCATTACAAAATCGACGTGCACACATCAGACATCCGAGGTTCTGGCACTGATGCCAATGTCTACATCATTATGTTTGGCGCCAACGGCGACTCGGGTGAAATTAACCTTGACAAGTCCGAGACCAACAAAGATCCTTTCGAACAGGGTAGAACAGATGTGTTCACCATCAAGAACATCCTTACACTCGGGGAGCTCAGCAAACTCCGAGTGTGGCACGACAATAAAGGTTAGACACATTCATTAGACTGCATTTCAGGTCAGTGAGGGCGGTAGGGTAGCCTAGTGGTTAAAGCATTCACTCGTCTTGCAGAAACCTGGGTTCAATTCCCCACATGGGTACAATGTGTAGAGTCAATTTCTGGCGTCCCCCGCCATGATATTGCTGGAATATTGCTAAAAGCGATGTAAAACCATACTCACTCACTCCTAGCACATGGACCAAAGGTCAGTGAAGTTAATCTTGTAAGATCCCTGGCATGCTACAGATGGAAAAGAATAAGAAAATTCAGAATAATATGGAGGTGAAAAAATTTCATGTAGCATATAATCTATGGCTGATTTGTACTGAAGTAAGACATGGATGAATATTAAACATAGGTATGAACAGAGAGCAGGGCTTAGCTATTGACTATTGAAGTTTCATGACCTGGGCCTAGATTTTCAATTCAATTCAATTCTTTATTCTCATAAACCACATTGGTGGTACAAGAGCATATATTGTAAACATATATACAAATACAAATTCAAATTCAAGATGGCAGTAAACAACATATTAACATTTATTTTCTGAAAGAGATGATAGATGTAGGATATATTTTGATAGATTTACTATGTCTCGAGATGTTTTTACAGATAATATTTTTGTGAACTTTGTTTCTTTGGGAAAAGAGGTTAGGTTGGAGGGTAAATATTCTTTCCTCAAAGTATCTAATGCTTTGCAATGAAAAATATAGTGGTATTCATCTGCGATGCTTTTAGAAGTGCATAGTTGACACATTCTCTCGTCCCTTGGAATATTATACCAGCGTCTCAATAGGTAAACTATGGTTACATGTTCTAAATCTCAATAATGGTAAAGAAATGCGTTTTGGAAGGGGGAGATATACATCAAAATTAGGAAATGGCTTTAGGCTGATAGTGTATACCCTTAGGACTAGAAATAATGTCATTGCGCCAGTTTTGGATAAATTGATCTTTAAGAATATGTTCAACTTTTGAGACCAGACACTGGGTAGTACAAATTGAGGGATTTTCAAAAACAAACGAGAGTCCAGTATTGTCTAATATAGATTTTCGAAGCTCTCTTAGCGCTAAGATTGTCGTTAGTGCCATACATGAACATTAACTTACAATTATCTTAGTGCTGAGAGAGCTTCGAAAATCTAGGCCCTGGTTGTTAGACTGCATGAAGTATGTTTTCACAACTTGCAGAGACGCAGCTTTAAACAAGGAGGCATCAGCAAGAACAGTGAGGGAATTAATATTAACATCACATCGGCAATGTCTCATCCATATCGTGACGAGAACAAATTTGACGTTGATAAAGAATGTGTATATATTATAACACCGCTCGTCAAAGGACAGTAAAACAACTAGATTATCACAGTTGGAATTAAAACTAGCATGTTAAGCTAAAAATGATAGCATTATTTGGAAAAAATATAATATAAAAAACAGGCTATAAGATCACCAGCAACTGAAGGGAGATCACCATACTGGGGATTTACAGTGCCTTTGCTACCTGCATGGACCCTAGATGGATTTACACCATCCCTTCAGCCACTGGTGATTGTAGGAAAATTTAGCCATAATTTAAAATCACAAAAATATGTTTTAGAAAATCTGGTAAGTTTAAATTGACTTTGAAAGTTTGGGGACTGAGCAAGAACAGGAGTTAGCCAGTGACTCCTTTAGTTTAATGAAGTGTGTATTAGATTTATAAAGTATTTAATCCCACCACTGAGATGCATATTTTTAAGCGTAATTGTGAACAAAAACTGGGTTTGGCAGTGACTACTGCTGTTTCATTAACTATTTTGTAGATTTATAAAATATTTTATCACAGCACTTGTAGAGATACCGTTTTCATCTGAACGTTTGCCAATTTCAGGTCTGGGGGCTTCATGGCACCTTGCGTCCATCGACGTGGAAGACCTGTCGTCCCATAAGACCTACAACTTCATGTGTAACCGGTGGCTGTCGAAGAGCGAGGATGACAAACAGCTGATCCGGGAACTGACATGCAGCAACCAGCTCCAGTCTGACTCTGCATCCTCGGGTAAAGTCGGTAAGTTGATGCTCAACAGTAACTATACATCATCAATATTGTACAGGTTTGTATGTGAATACTTCATGTCGGAACAGAAGGAAACAGTTGTTGCCACCACAACCAGTCACACAACAACTTGCACATGCTTTTGTGAATGTGCGAGTTTTATGTTGTGACTGTAAGCTCAATTTGTTTACCACTGAACATTGGTAGTGGTGAAGTTAAGAGTTGTTCTGGGTTTCATTTGGATTATATTATGTCTGTTTGGTAGCCATATATTTCTGTATGAGGTAACTCTATTTGTGTGTCTGATTTCAATCTGATGATCAGCATGAGGTGCTGAGGACCCAAAATTTCCACAAGCCATATGACTGATGTTTGTATTTCCAGTGTATGACATCGAGGTGACGACGACGGACAAGAAAGAAGGGGGGACAATCCATAACGCCTGGCTCATCCTTGAGGGATCGAAAAAGACATCAAAACCATTCCACATAGAAAACAGCCCGCAGAACAAAGTGCTTCGGAGGTAAAAATACGATGTTATCATTTTTTATGACTTTTGATTAACATTGTGAAGAGAATAAAGTGAAACCTAAGATTGTGAAATATATTTTGTAGCAGTATCATGATCGGGTGTATGTAGTTTTATACATCCTGCATTAGGTTTTCTGTCACTCGTCTCCAGCTCGTTAAAATTTAACAAATCTAAAAGTCTGAAATATAAATCTGAAACCACATGTACCCAGTGTGATACTGCCACAACAAATTTATCTTGATGACATGTTTCAATCTGTCAAAGCCCCAGGAGTCACATAGGGAAGGAAAACACTTAATTATTGGCGTAAACATTTCCTCTGGGTTGTGCTGGCCATTTCATCCTCCACTACGTGGTGTATTACAAACTATCCGTAGAAAATAATAGACCGCCTCCATGGTGTAGTGGTTAGAGCGTCCAACCGGAGAGCGGAAGGTCGCGGGTTCGATCCCCGACCGCGTCATACCAAAAGACGTTAAAATATGGCTCTTGTTGGTCCCTGCCTGGCGCTCGGCATTAATGGGTACAACAAGGACTGGTCGGATTGGAGTCAGTATACTGTGTCTGAGTGGGGTATTCATGCTTCACTGGTATTCATGCTTCACTGCGGCATGGTATCTCAGTGAGCTAGCACTGTAAAAAAAATAGCTTAAGTCTGGACTAGTACAAGCAGCCGTACAAACACATACACACGCATGCACGTCGTCATATGAGCGAAATATTCTCAAGCACAAAGTTAAACCCAATTTCACCTCACCTCACCTTAGAAAATGATGAGGGGAGATAATTATCTTGGTAGTATCCTGATGAGGAGCAGCAGTTATGTCCCTTGACATAGTGAAGAAAAACTTGTAATTGGATGGTATGCTTGGTGTTCCTACCACGCCGTCCTAGATCTGTGAGTGCCTTCATTACTTTTGTATACTTCCTGCAGGGGACAAACAGATAATTTCCGGATGACGTCTTCGGCACTTGGAAAACTTGAAAGCTGCATTATTGGTGCTTATGAACGTGAAGATCGGCCAATCACAACAAGTGAAGGGAAAGAAGCGTCCTGGCATTGCCACGAGGTCATAGTTACAGACACCACAGGTGGAGGAAAGTGAGTGATGCTTCTATGTAGATATACAGGCTGTTCTCACAGTGTGAGTTACGCCATATATACAAAGTGTTACACTGTTATAGGATAGGTACTGCCAAATTATAACAGAGTGAGTATAACACAGATATAACTACAGGCTGGATATAACAGAAGCGGTGGGATGGCCTTGTGGTTAAAGCTCTCGCTAAAGACTCAGGTTCGATTCCCCACATGGGTACAATGTGTGAAGTCCATGGCCATTTCTGATGTTTTCAACCGCGATATTGCTGGAATATTGCTAAAAGTGGCGTAAAACTAAACTCACTCACTCACTGGATATAACAAAGGGTGTACCGGTATACATAGTTATAAATACAGGCCAGATATAACATAGTGAATTACACAGATACTGATACATACATAGGCCAGATATAACATTTGTAACATATATGCATAATATGAGATATAACAAATTGAGTTATAAGATATAGACATGTTATAACAAAGAGTTAAACAGATACACTACAGATAGGATATGAAGAAATAGCTGAACAGATATACATACAGATGAGATATTACAAGATATATAAACCGTTATACAAGTTGTACAGATAAACATACAGTCAGACCGGATATAAACATGCACACACACACACACACACATATACATGAGTGAGTGAGTATGGTTTTACACCGCTTTTAGCAATATTCCAGCAATATCACGGTGGGGGACACCAGAAATGGGCTTCACACATTGTACCCATGTGGGGATTCGAACTCGTATCTTCGGCGTGACGAGCGGAGGCTTTACCCACCAGGCTACCCCACCGCCCCTATACATGAATGAACTTGGAGCAGCTACGGGTGTTCATGCAGTTAGAACAAATGTCGCACACAGTATTACATATTTGCTAAATATGGGACATCTCTTTGTTACAGGTTCTTCTTCCCATGCAAGTCTTGGGTACCTATAAATCGCAAATTCTCCAAGAATTCTGGCAAACAGCTTGATGTGAAGAAAGTAGAGGAGAGCCAGGTGTCAAAAACACGAGGTACAAGTTTGAATCCAATCTGTCTGATGCAGTTAACAATATTCCCTTATATGATGTAGTTATTTTAATAAAAGCATCTTAAATTACACAAATATCTTTCTTTCTTCTAAAATTTAAAAATGCCCACATATTGGAAAATTTGCCGACAGAGCACCTTGAATAATTAGGTTCCATGTAGAATGTATGGAGATAAAGAATATGTGAAAGATACATTTAAATTTTGGTGCTGGAATCTCAATTGTGAAGTATGTTTCCTCTTCAGACTTGGCGCCAGTGAAGTACGAAATCATCGTGCACACTGGCAACGTGAAGGGGTCAGGAACCAACGCTAATGTGACCATTACCATATTTGGTGAAAACGGTGATACAGGCAAGCGGCCCTTAAAACAGAAATTCAGGGATCTGTTTGAGAAGAACCAGACGGACAAGTTTGAGATTGAAGCTCTTGACCTGGGTATGATTCATTCTCTCTTCATTGTTTTCATTATAAAGAAATTGCAAGTCATTCCCTGGCATTTGATTGGCTAGCCAGACATTTTGTGGCCGTCAATAGCTGTAAGATTGCTGATTTGCCATAAAGCAATGTTTGAATCCAGGATGAGACTCAACCACTGTGTTACAATTGATGACTACTTTCCAGAGGGCATTGTGTATTAGGGTTGGGTATTGCCAAAAGTTTCGTATTGCGATTTATTACCTAAGAGGGCGAACATATTTTTTATACGATGCCCTAGGGCTAAACATCACTTTGTCATGGTGAGGTGACGTCATGAACAATGCTCTGACATCACGTTTCTTCTGTGACGTTGCGTTCTACATGCGGCGTTGGCTGGTAGCCAGCCTATGTTTGAAAGTAGATTTGGGTTTATCTTCCTCAATTTGAGGAATTGGTATTAAACAGAATATTATATTCGTGCCCATATCATACTATGTTTACGACACCCAAATATCGGTATATCACTCGCTCTCGCTCGGGAAATAACAAAATTTAGGCACTCGTGTCGTAAACATCGTATGACATGGGCCCTCATATAATATCCTCTATATATTGCGATATGTGTTGACATATTGCAATATGTATTGCATCCAGGAGTATTGCAATATATTGTGAGAGTGTAACACATGGGTTAAGGTAATGAAATTACTGTTTCCTTTCTTATGAAACGATGCCACTGGCCACTGTCATGACTCAGATGTGATTGTACAAAAGATCAATTAAAACTGTTTCCAAATTGAAGACTTCACTCTTAAGTTTGGAACTCGAGAAAAAGCATCTGCAGCGGCGTCCACCATTTTGGTTTGTTTATCCTAGCAACGAGTACCAGTACCAATCTAGTTTTTTTTGAATGGTTTAAAAGTCATGCAAATGCAATGATATGACCAATAAACATTCTCAAAATGATTAATGTATAATAATATCAAGGAAATACAAATGGTATAAGTAGTCTTGACTACATGACAAAATTACCGATCGTATCGGAGAACCGGTTCACAAAAAGTGTACCAGAATCTATCGTATTGTGACGTTCGAATTGCAATATACTGGTTAGGGCTGCGCAATATAACCGGTTTACCGGTATTTACCGGTTCAGACACGAAAACGATACGTATTGCGATATGCTGATCGAAAACCGGTATTTTGACATGCATTCTGAAAACTTCAACAGACCGGAAATCTTCGGATATTTCCATTTTTTACACTGGAAGTCATGCGTTTGTTGTAAAATGGCGACCCCCAACAACAAACAATTTATTATGATGCCAAATACTAGGGCAAAGGCTTCAGTATGGCAGCATTTTGGGTTGAACCACTGTGTTGATGTTAAATTAACTCGATTATAAGTAGTTTTTTTTTTTTTAATTTCTTACAATATATTGCAATACATATTGCAATATAAGCTTTCGCGATCGCAATATATCGCAAATATGAAAATTCTCTGCAATACCCACCCTAATAATGGTTAACTGATTAACCCCTAATACTGGTTATTATTGCCCACACCTTATTGGTTAACCGGTTTATTGCCCACCCCTATTGTTTATTCATAGCTCTAACATGGATCAGGTGGCCAAATTTGGTGACTTGGTAAAGAGTTAGAAGCTTGGACGTTGCTCAGATCAACCACTGACTTTTCAAGTTCAGATAATATATAGGCCACTGTTATACAGCAGAAATACTGTGAAACAAGCAACTAGCAGGGACAATTTCCGATACGAGTCACTTTGCCGCCCTTTGAAGTTTAACACCGCACTCAGCAGTATTCCATCTATATGGCAGCGGTCTGTAATTGAGTCTGGACCAGACAATCCAGTGATCAATAACATGGGCATTGATCTATGCAATTGGGATACAATGACATGTGTCAACCAAGTCAGCGAGACTGACCAACCAATCCCGTTGGTCGCCTCTTACGACAAGCATGGGCTGCTGAAAACAATTCTAACCCGGACCTTCACGGGTGTCATCAGGTTTAAATGTGGCTGAATTAACTACAGCCTGCTCTTGATTTAATTAAGCATTATTGAATAGTACTACTTTATGGTTAACTACTCCTTGTTTATTGCATAGAGTGGTGTTTCAATGGAGAATCTTACACCGTTATCAAGGTGATCAAACAACCTGCTCATGTTTTGTTCTCATTTATCAGGTGATCTGAAGAAGATAAGTATCGAACACGACAACACTGGCTTCAGACCCGGCTGGTTCCTCGACTACGTGCAGATTGTAAACAAAGCTATCGAAGCCACGTTCAACTTCCCCTGCGACAAATGGTTTGACAAAGACAAGGGCGATGGAGAAATATCTCGGGAAGTCTATGTCAGACATGACTAGTGCTCACTGATTCCCTAAAAACTGACTGTGATATTTTGATCAAACACTGCTTATTGTGAGACTCCTGATATTACAAGGCGTCAATAAATCGACTATTGTTACATAGACAAATAGGTTTTATCTCATAGTCATGAAATATATGATCTTATCGTTTCCTTTTGATCAGTGTAAATTAGATGTATTCATATTTTATTAGATGTAACAATGTAGTAATTCTTCCCAAGGATCTGTCATTTGGGAGATGTACTTAAAACTAATGCTTAACATGAAGTCAGGATTGATGATATTTCAGGACATATTCATGACAACTACCCATATTTACATGACATTTACAAAATATAGATAATGTCAAGTATGCAAATACTGATAGTCAATACTAGATAATGTTTGCTCCATGTTGTGATGTTTTAGGCGTGACACTTGTCATCTGTTCTCAGGAAAGTATCATGTTAGTTTGTCCATACTTTATTGTTGATCCAATTTGTTTCAAAGTGGCCTTAACCATGCAAGTGCCCAAAAAGCCATTACATAATTCATAAGGTTTTCCTCAAGACTTATTGTACAAAAATGAATTTGGTAACCATGGAAATTCACCCTATGATCCAGGGAATAGAGTTATCGAAAGATATCAAATTATTCAAAACCATGTTCAATATTTTTAATTTGGGCAGGGGTATCAGCACTGAGAGATGAAACCTTTTACAGTTGTTTAACTTGGTATGGTGTGGTGTTATGCCAGTTGTATTGCCAAGATATTGTTGCATTTAGTTAGATTTCAGGTATTCTGGCTTTCATCACACTTGTATATTTTTGTGGTTTTCAGATTCTTGCAGACCAATTTCAAAATTTCCAATTTCAGTATTTTGTGATAAATATAGTATGAAGCTGTTTTGTTGAATCTCTACATTTATAAGAAATAATGTTTTTGAAAGTGTGGGGATTGTTTATTTGGGAGTAATTTTTTTATGCATCTAAAGCTTTGTTCTCTTTGTAACATAATGGCACCGAAAAAAGATAACATTGGATGTGCTGTATGTATTATTTTTTATTTATGTTTTATTTTATTTATTTTTAAAATCTTTTTGTTATTTTCATTTTGTATCATGTTTGAAGTTTTTTTTAAATCTGTTGAAGATGGAGAAGATAAAATATCATTAAAAGTTTTAAAACTATTTTAATTTTATTTTCTGATTGGTCTTTTCAAATCTGTAAACCAGTAAATATATATAAAGTGCTGACTTACTGTCTATGTTATTGTCATGCAGAGCTTTTAACAAAGTATTTTTGATGCTGTAGGGATCAAACGTTTTTTCTATGGGACCAATTTTTGCTAGAAGTCTTTTATAGTTGTTGTATTTTATAAATGTACATTTGTACAAGGCAGCATATATATGTATCTGTGAGACGATTATTATGTACATACATACTGGTTGTGTATATATATGTATATAGTTGTTACACCTAAACCACGCGTCTTAATACACCACACCACACATTAATGTTCTCTGTGATATGATTTATAAAATGTTTCTATTTGCCTTCAGATGGATTCACATTGTGCATTAATCATCATATTCTGTTAATTCCCATGGCAGACGTGATTTTCAAGTATTTATCTCTTTCTTTTATGATGAATATTTTTGGCAGATTAATGCAATGTGGTGTATTATATTATGAAAAACAAATTCTAAAAACATTGTGGAAAGTTATTGTTATCTTTTGAAGCAAAACCATCATGGCTGTCACCTGAACTTGATTGACTGTATTGTGTACTGCTTTCCTTAAAACTACCACAAGTGAATTGGATATTGGTGAATATAACTGACGATTTTAATTCTTTTTGTAAATTTCTCACAAATAGTATTTGTGACAGAAAGGTTTTGAATAATAATGCAGCCTTGTCGTGGCTTCCCCTTGGATGAGGAATTCGGTTTTTTCCAGAAACTTATCATGATTTTGTCCCATGTACATAGAAATTCAAAGTTCCTTGTTCACATGTGATTGTTTCTGGTAATAACAATATTTACATAGGTATTACCATGATATGTTATCAGTGTTGATGTATACAATTGTACATTATTCTTTAATTTAAAATGAAACCAGTCTATGATATATTACAAGTTTTTGGTAATTATGAAGTCTTCTATCGCACAAAACCTAATTATTAATTTAGTAAGCACTGGAAGTCACTCTGTTTATTTATTTGACAATGGCCTGAGTTCATGGCCTGACCTGCATTGTCTGTGAACAAGATATGTAAATGATGCATCAGCACTTTACCCACTTATCTAATCGTATATTTTTAATAATTTTCTGTACATGCTAAAAGCGTATGCTTATTTCAGTTTGTCTTTGTAGAACCTTATATGGTCATACTTAATAATTTTTTCGATTCATGTTGCTTGGTCATTAAGTCAGAAAGCTGAAGGCAAAGTAAGAGAAGAAATATTAGATTGGCATTTAAAGTTATTTTATAAACTCTTGAAAGATAATCTGGAAATCTGGAAAACAGTGCACCTATTTTGAACACTATTTGCTCTAGGACCTACTGAAATAAAATAAACACCAGGCATTTGTTACGGATTAAGGATAAATGTCCCAAAATGTTGCAAAATATGCATACAAATGTCAGCTTCGAGCTTCAGCAATTTGAGACACAATCTGCCTTTCATGTTGAATAACTATTGTACTGTCGAGTTTGATAATTTAAATTAACACATAGAAGCAGTGGTCAGAATGAAAATATGTATAACATTGTGAAAATGTGTGTGGATACTCTAATAGGATCTAATGTTATGTGACAGAAAATATGTTTTTGAGTCTGAAGATCCAGAGTTGCTTCCCTTGCTATGTCATCTGTGAATTTTTCATACCGATATGAATGAGAGAAGTCAGTGTAATAAAACAACTAGCCTTGCTCCAAGGCTGTACTGAATGCTAGGCCCATGGATGTATAGTAATTCTATCCTTTAAAGAGGCAAGTACAAGAATACCAGTCTGTTACTCATATTTTCTTCAGAAATTTTCATTTAAACTTTTAATTACTGTAATTGTAGTTATTTTCGCATGGGATTAATTTTTGCACTGTTAGTGCAAAAAGATCATGTGTCAATAATCATACCAAGCGAAATATTCATGGTCAAGTCATGACAAATACTCAAGTAGGAACAACATGCAATTTGTTTATTCTCTCAGATAACAACATCAAAACAATATGTAAAGGAATATCGGTTGTGAAAACTTTGTGATGGATACCATCACTCACGTGTTTGAAATGCGCGAAAAAACAACTGTGCTGACAGGTCTTTTGTGAACTTTCCACGAAAATTGCAACCCGTGAAAATATATACGATTACAGTATTACCTTAGGTACTTATGCAAGTCTACCAAACAGCTTATCTTAATCCTTATTTGTGAAATTCAGGTCAACAATCAGTAAATAAAAGAGAACAATACCATTTCTATAATCAAAGAAATCTTTCCAGAAAGATTTTGATAATTGTATGATAAACTGGGTCTCTAAAATTGCCTGAAGAACAATCTCTCAAATTAGATCCTAGATGAATAACAAGGAATCTCAGGATATGTTTAGGATATCGGTCAGATCAGTTATTTCACTGACAAGTTCTCAGGGACATTTACTTTTAATCTTTTTAATAAATGTTAAATAAATGTTTGATAATCCATGTGTAGAATATGTAACACTGACACATTGACCTGATTTAACTGGTTAGACCAGTTTTGACCTGTTATCAACGGGCCTTATTGGGTCACCAACACAGACCAACATTAACTCATGATAGACATGCTTGGGTTTATTTCTGACAGTTTTCTCTGTACTTTTCCATGTACTCACTTACATGTATTTTATCCGGAAACATTTTTAGTGTTAATATCATTTGTGTTTTCATTCACAAGCAACTGTATTATGTCGTATCTTATGTAATGATGTTCATTATGCCTGTTTTAATTAAATGATTAGAGTTATATAACATAAAGTGTTCTTTTAAAAATATATTGTAAATAGTGTTCATAACAGGAAGTATGTTTATCATCAGACTGCATGTGTGAAAGTGCCTGGTAGACTGTTTATTGATATGTATACCTGTGAATAGATTATATTTAATTATGACCTTTCAAGTATTTGTTTAAATCATTCTCTTGCATTCATTTTTCTTCTATTTAAATATAATATTTTTATACCTGTGCCGTCCCTGTCTGTTATATTTATTATTAATGTTAGATAGTCATTAGTCATTATTTGCAATATTACATTAATTCCGCCACGTCAAGGTGGTTGGGTGATTTGTGTAGCAGTGTTGCACAGACAGTGTTCCAACTTCAGTTCTTGTAATGAGGTACTTGGTCCATCAAATGCACCTGTGACATGTACAATAAACGTGTCAGACAGTTTTATTTGTTTTGCTTTCAAGTGAATGAAGTCCATTGTCCATCACGATGCCTTCTCTGGACCCTTCCAGTGGTGAGGCTGACCATCCTATGCTTGTTCGCTGCAGTGGTGATGCCGAAAGATGACACCGAAGTGATCTAGACATTTGGATCTGATTTACAACATGGACGAGGTGGCAGCCATATTGAAACACAAGTGATCAGGAAATAACATATCCACCCTGGTCTGGTGCAGTTGGGAATTGTTTAGCTAACTATATCCCACATCAGTTCACTGGATACCTTTACTTCAGTTAGTGACCCCATTTCTGGTGTCCCCTGGCTCGATGTTGCTGGAATATTGCTAAAAGCGGCCTAAAAACTAAACTCAGTCAGTCAGTTAGTGATCCATAAAGATTTGGGTTAAAATTGGTCTTCAGCTACCCATGCTTGTCATAAGAGGTGACTAACGGGATAGGGTGACTGATTTTGTTGACACATGTCAATGTATCCCAGTTGCGTATATAGATGCTCATGCTGTTGATCACTGGATTGTCTGGTCCAGGCTCAATTATTTACAGACCGCCGCCATACAGCTGGAATATTGCTGAGTGCGGGGTTAAATGACAAACCAACCAACTACTTCAGTTAAGAAAAAACTAATTGCTGTACAATAGAGTTCAATATCCCAAATCATGGAAAGACACCAGATCAGAATTTTCAATAAAGATCAACATGATGTCATGAATGAAAAGAATTAAAAACCCCACAGTAATCTCCAATCATCCTAGGGGCGGTGGGGTAGCCTGGTGGTTAAAGTGTGACGGTCAGGCGGAAGACCCGGTTCGGTTCGAATCCCCACATGGGCACACTGTGTGAAGCCCATTTCTGGTGCCCCTGCCGTGATATTGCTGGAATATTGCTAGAAGCGACGTAAGACCATACTCACCCACTCACTCACTCACTCAAATCATCCTAAGGAACCAGGCCATCTGTTGACAGATTTGTATTGAAAGTTTCATCCAGAAATATTCAGTTTACCTGATGCGACCTTCAAAAGAAATGTCCGGGAATTTGCCCTGAAAAGACCTGAATTGGATGAAGGCTTGTAATTCGCGCGACTGCGTGCAGTCATGCCTCTTTGACATGCCTCATACATGACATGTCATACCATGTGAACTTTTCTGAAGGTCACTCAAATGTCAGTATACGATCAAATACGACACTAAAACCACATTACACTGTACAACGTGAAAGTATCACAGCTGGGGCCATGTTTGTTGAAATGAGTTTTCATGGAAAAACTACCGTTGGTGCAGACGCGGTGCTTAAACACTGTGCACTATGTGAGCGACTTGAGATGTATCATTTTTTTGTTTTACACCTTGAATATGCAGATGTAGCCAACTTTCCGCGACTTGGCTGACACGTGTCATCGGTTCCCAATTGCGTAGATCGATGCTCATGCTGTTGATCAGAGGATTGTGTCGTCCAGACTCAATTATTTACAGACCGCCGCCATATATAGAGAAAACTACACTCGGTCTCATTACATACGAATTATAGGAAACTCGTGTCACGAGTTTCGTATAATTTCGTATATAATGAGACCGAGTGTGGAATTTTAATTATTACCCACGTCTTACATGCATTAAATTGACAAAATAGCGTATTATCTGTTATTTTTATGTTTTCAAACCGAAACCGGTTTCCTAAAGAGGTTGCGGAAGACCACTGTAGTACACTATTTGCATGACGTCACACTGTAATGACGTCACTGCCTTGGTAACCGACGTCACGATGCATGTCAGTTGTCATCGCCTCGTACAGCCTCCTACAGTAAACTACTCCGTAGCACCTCGTTTCTTGGTTTCCAGTTGCTTCATTCGGCTAACATCACTGGGGGAAACATTGCGTTTATGTTTTTCGACGGGTATAATGTCTCAGTTTGACTCACAATTAAACAGCGACACGACAACGTTCGCAATGTTTACATTCCCACAATGCATTTAAGTTGCAGAATGAATGAATTCACGTGTTTGTTATGAATGAAAAATTGTTACGTCAGAATGTGACCTATTTGAGAAGTCATCGGTTATCCAATCACATCGTTAGAATCTCAGGTCAACGCGATACGACACTCGTGTGACGTACGAGATTAGTATGCAACTACCCATACGATGACCTCGTGGGTAATAAAACGCGATACGATACTCGTGTGGCGTACGAGATTAGTATGCAACTACCCATACGTTGACCACGTGGGTAATAAAGCTGGAATATTGTTGAGTGCGGCGTAAAACTAAACTCACTCACTCAATTTTCCGTGTCCCGTGCTGGGATCCGAACATCGGACCTTCTGATGTAAAGTCGGACGCCTTGTCCACATGACCAAAGAGGTTAACCCCGTCAGCAAAGCTGACATGGTTAACTAAGGATGTCATCTGTGAGAAGACTCCACGCCCTGCTATACAAAGACAGTGTCTAGACCATCTATACTGCAAAAGGGTTTGTGGGTTGTCGCTTTCCAGTGTTCTAGTTATCTGAGACCCGTGAAGATCCGGGGTAGAATAGGTCTTCAACAACCCATGCTTGCTACAAAAGGCGACTATGCTTGTCGTAAGAGGCGACTAACGGGATCGGGTGGTCAGGCTCGCTGACTTGGTTGACACATGTCATCGGTTCCCAATTGCGCAGATCGATGCTCATGCTGTTGATCAGTGGATTGTCTGGTCCAGACTCGATTATTTACAGACTGCCGCCATATAGCTGTAATATTGCTGAGTGCGGCGTAAAACTAAACTCACTCACTCTAGTTGTCTGACGTGTGTATAGACAGAATGTGGTGGGATAGCCCGAAGTTATGCAGGCTTTGACGTTTACCACTCTGGTGAAAAGCACGGGCACGGGTTAGGTGCTGATAAAACAGGAAACATAATTTTAACGTATCGGGATTTGACACAATCTCTGGTTTCTGACATGTCCAAGGGAGGTAACTCTGCTCAGCGAATTACGGCACCCTAGACAACTAGGCCTACTGTGCCGGCAGACTGGAATTTGAATAAGTGAGTGAGCAATTATCCAGCTATATGGCGTCTGTAAATAATCGAGCCTGGACAAGACGATCCAGTGATCAACAGCATGAGCATTGATCTACTCAGTTGGGATACGATGACATGCGTCAACCAAGTCAGTGATACTGACCACCCGATCCCGTTACTCGCCTCTTACGACACGCATGGGTTGCTGAAGACCAATTCTAACCCGGATCTTCACGGGTGGTCTGGAAATTAAACATAATCCCCCATAACTGAAAAATTCTTATGCAAAACTTCATCGCTTTAGAATGCACAGTTTTACCACTTGGGTAGCCTATGGGTTAAAGTGTTTGCTCTTCACGCCGAAGACCCGGGTTCGCTTTCCTACATGGTTACAATGTGTGAAGCCCATTTCTAAGTGTCCCTTCCTAATATTGCTGGAAACGACCGAACGTTTTAACCACTTGGCTACCCCTCCGACTCTGGTCGTATGAGCCGGATCGGGTGGTCTGGCTCTATAACTTGTTTGACTGTATGTCATCGTATCCAGGCAACGTGGGCCGTTGCTCATGACATCAATCACTTGCAATGTTTGTCTCATCCAGACCCGATTATTTAAGTCAGAGGCGACTAACGGGATCGGGTGGTCAGACTAGCTGACTTCGTTGACACCATTGATTTCAGACCGCCGCCATATAGCTGGAATATTGCTGAGTGCGACGTAAAACTAAACTCACTCACTATTTACAGTTAGACAAACGCTAAGTCTTTGAATACATATAATCTTGATAGAAACAAACAATTCCTTTAAATCGAAAAGTAGCCCAAGTGAGGAAAGAGAACTTGAATAAATCTTTAGTTGCTTTATTAAAGGCTTTAGCATTGCAGATAAGGCAAGGCGGAAGGGGAACTGTGCTGGGACTTTGAGTCAGTGTAATTTACAAATCGCTGCATCTCTAAGCTGAGATATTGTCCAATGTGGCCTTAAGCAATTAAACATCATGTTTATCATGTTTATTAATGTCATCTTTTTATGTAGCATTTATTCAGAGTATTTTAACATTTTCCTTCCATTGTTGGTACGGGTCTCTCTCAGTTCATCTCAAATCTAAAATAGACAAAATTGTTAACACTGCAAGTAAAATCGCTGGAGTCAGATTTGAATGTTTATCATCAATATATGAGCGGCAAATCGTGAATCAAGCTGTCAAAATCATATCTGACCGTACTCACTACTTAAATTCGGAATACAACCTCCTCCCTTCAGGCCGCCGCTACAAAGTTCCAATTGTGAAAACTAAGAGAGCCCGTACATCCTTTATTCCAAGCACCATATCTCTCTTAAACAAATTTGAAGATACCTAAATCAAAGAATTTATGTAAATATGTTTGGTATCTCTCTAACGTGTCAGTAGCTCTGCTGATGAACACAAATTCATGAAAAGGCATTAAAGTATTATTCTATTCTGTTCTATTCTATTCTATTCTAAACACAATCAAAGGTAACCAAATTTCATCGTGTTTTTAGGTGAATCTCCCAACTCACAGGGGCTCCTTTTCAATCGCAATGGGATTTTTTTGTTACTTTCAAATTTATCTATATTCAGACAATAAGCGTTAGTCTACATGTTTCAATATACACTGTGGCACACAAAAACAAATACAAAGGCTGTATTGTCGGATGTCATGGTTTGGTTGCATATGTTTATTCGTATATATAACATGAACAAAACGTGACTTTTTGTCACAGAAACTAATATGTATGCAACGTTGGTACAACAATAACCACCTCAGTAATAGTGCTTAGTAATTATGCTTTCAGCACCAGCTGTAACATATATCCGTCTGTGAATTTAATGTGGAGTTTATGTTTCAGTAACTTTTAAATTGATGGTGATATATTCAACTGGGCACAATGCAGTATCATACTTTAATAACGCAGGCTTGCGCCCCGGGCGAGAATTGCGAGTGTTGCCACATCCAATTGTGTGGAGAATTACAATAATATCGTAAAGTTCAGAGAGATGTGATAATTTCGGTGATAAAGCGGCCGTTAATCCTAATGTCTATTATGGACCTCTCGTTAAATCTCCATTACCGAATGTTACACAGACAAGGACAGTTTCATCTTGTCGGAACGGCAAATAACTATAATGAAAAAACGTTTCTTATTTTATAAGAAAAAATAAATGTTTATTTGTAAGAGCTATATATGATTACATCCTTAAGATGCTCTTTCCTTAAAAGCGATATTTTCGTTACATGTTACAACTGTCTGTTTGACTACTAATTAAGTGTAAAATCATATTGTCATACACAGTAAGGCAGATAGTGTCCTAAATATCATTTATCAATTCAAATTTGTAAAGTTAGTTTGTAGTTACATCTATTTGGCATAAAAAAGACGTTCTTCACATACACAGAAATATTTTTTTAAATTGTTTTAGCCTAAACCTGTTACATATCTTCACAAACGCTTTATTTGATCAAATCGAATGTTAAAATTCAAACCTGTTGTTGGTCGGCATTCAACTCAGTTAGGTAAAATCCAACAAAGTCTGAATTAGAATATTATAGGTAAGCGGCTTAAAGTTATTGCCCTTTGAAAGCCCACTGTCCTATCAGATAAGTTTAATGCTTTGCATGGGAAGCGCAAGATTGTTTCTGGCCAATGAACATCAGAGGTTAAAGGTTATCCTGCGACCTTGAACCCGCTTCACGTACTCACTTTACGGAAAGAACTTGCAAGACAGTACACGAAAAACCGGCGTCCAACATGGGTAAAATAAGCGGTAAGTACACTTAAACATTTGGGTTTGGTTGCGTATTCTAATTGATGTATATGTAGAGATGCCGTATACTATTTTGTATCGTATTTTCAGGTGGTGCTGTCGTGGAAATGATGGGAGACGAAATGACCAGGTAAGCTCAATAGTGAACGCGAAACGAGTTTGTTTAGGTATGCCTGTCAATTTGTGCAAGCAGTTTTGTGTTCTTGATAAGGGTGGGTGGTGTAAAATTAGTATCCAGGGCGATGCATATATCTACTTCTAGTTAAAATATAAATGCGACAAGAAAATATTAGTTACGATAATTCTAGAACAGGGCCCTCTGTATCATGAGTCATAATTTTTTTTTATGTTATATGTATAGGCCGAAGCAGCTAAGAACCACAGTGATTTATAGCCCATATAGTTTTGCAACTGTTGCCGATTATTTCTTTATTAGGTATGCATTTGTTAGGACTATCTTGACAACAGAAAATACCTACAAAACAGCGTGCTAGCTGCCCGTAGCTTTATATAAAGATGTTTGCCATAAATGATCATTATCGTGATACGTTGTCTAATTTACTTTATTTAGCAAATTAGCATATTTCTGTTTTTCGGTCTCATTGTAACTAGGTATGAATCATTCTAGACCAATTTTTGTCTCGTTTCATACACTAAGAAAGGGAGTAGTTGACCTGATATACAGAAGCTGTAGATAATCTGGGCCCAATATAATCCTCCTTCAGAGAGATTGTATAATTTTGAAGTAAAATAATGCATTGAAAACACAATTTGAATATCTCCATTCTACCATGAACACAAGGAGACCATCAACTTGTACTGATTTTCAGTGTTGAATATAGAACAGTATATGATATTGATGAAGCAAGAGCCAGGTTTCTAATAAGGAGTGAGTCAGCTTCTCAGCTATATATGTAACGATTTCTGCACTTTATCACTTGCTGTTTCCACCCATATTAAACAGACACGCTATGACTGTTCAGATACTGTTCAAAGCATAATTAAACCAAGACTGATGCGTTTCTGTGGTATACGTCTGAGTATGTTAACATTCACAAAACCCAGCATCAATTTTAGTCACAGATATGACTAGAATAACCTGTCTCCTTCAGCCACTAATCTGAGCCAGAGAGACCTGTAAATTAATAGTAGTTCTAGTTACTTCAACCAAATCTGTAATATATCAATTAACTCTACTGAACCAAAATTTGGATTTTTAGAATCAAAAAGTGCTTGGCAAAGGCATACATCCTAATATTATCCCCTGTTAAAAGTCAAATGAAGTCAATGGGCAATAAGCTCTAAATAAAAGAAACGGTGGTTTATGGTTTGAAACCTTGTATTTAGAATTCACCGGAAGATTTCAGTACAAAGTATCATAACTTTTGATATTTAATATAATTTAACACAGTTATTGATCATCTACTGACTATCAGAGTATGAATTAGCTCAGGTGATATGCCACAATGGGTACAATGTGTGAAGCCCGTTTCTGGTGTTCCCTGCTGTGACATTGCTGGAATTTTGCTAAAAGTGGCATACTCGCTCAGTTGATGTGATGCATTACATTCCGCCAATTGCAAGTGAACAGCTGTCTCATGTCTGTTCACTGTGTGATTACTGAATGAGCAATATGTTACCTGGCAGTGTTAATCTAAATCTAATACCACACTGGTGGATTTCTCATGATTGTTCAGGGTACGAAGAGGCGGTGGGGTAGCTTAATGGTTAAAGTGTTTACTCGTCACACAGAAGACCCGGGTTTGATTCCCCACATGGGTACAATGTGTGAAGCCCTTTTCTGGTGTCCCCTGTCGTGATGTTACTGGAATATTGCTATAACTGTATAAGCGGTGTAAAACAATACTCAGTCACTGATTCAGGGTACGAATCACACTGTTAGGTACTGCCGGCACTATTAATTACATTCTTGATGTTTAAACGTAACTCGCAAATTATTTATTTTCATACATTGTGAAAATATCATACGAAGTCTGTGACAAATGTACTTTCACACAAATAAACTGAGCCCTTATTCTCGAAATGTTCGTATCCCTAAGAATTCCTAATTTGATCGTAGCCAATGTGTTAAGAATAATAATAATAAAATGCAGATTTCTTCATGCGCCTTTTCCACGTCAGCAGATATGCTCAAGGCGCAACAATGACAGATTAAAAGAGTCTCCCACATTTATACAGCAATATGTACACTTCCAAAATAGAGTTCCTAATACATTGAAAACAGGTATGTTTTGAGTCCTGACTTGAATGTGGCAATACTATCAGAAACTTTCAGATTGTATGGGAGTGAATTCCACAAGGTTGGGGCTGCATATGAAAAAAGTCCGGTTTCCAAAAGTTTTAAGCTTGAAGTTTGGCACGAACAGAAACTCCTGATTGGATGATCGAAGGCAGCGCTTGTTTGAGTAAGGAGTAAGCAGGTCAGAGAGATATGGGGGAGCAAGTCCGTGACGGGCCATGTAGGTCAAGCAGAGGATTTTGTAGTCGCTTCTTGCCTTCATGGGGAGCCAGTGCAACAGTGCAATGGACTTAAGAAGTTCGTAGGGCTACGAACATTTCGAGAATAGCTAGCCTGATCAAATTCATGGAAAATGAACACAATTCAGTTTCTTAAGCAAACTTGGAATGATTATTTTGGAAAAGTAACTTATTGATCTGATTGAAGAGGAGTAGGGAAACTTTCGCAATTACAACCGCTTACTATCTGTGTCTTTGAATCAGCGATTCATTGTGTAGAATTCCAGTCAACAGACATATTGGAAAATTATCATTGCGGGTTCGAACCCCAAATCCACCTTGATTGTTTTGGATCTCTCAGCACCATATCCATGATTGTGTGTTTCACCAGAGTAGTAAATGTCTTAAGATCTGTATCACTTCTGCTTTCCTCCCATGTAACATATGTTATATTTGGGATTACACTTTCTTACTAAAGTACAGATTCTAGTACTTTTGTTGGGTTGAGTCCCATGTAGGATTCAAACCCACACTCTCAGAGTCAGCCACCTAACCCACTCAGCCACTTATCAGAGGGGTACACAAAGTCCACAGTGTAGACTACCAGTTGTCCGACTTCCATTTTTTCGCAGTGGCATGTTATAACATGTTATATTTGGGATTACACTTTCTTACTAAAATACAGATTCTACTACTTTTGTTGGGTGAGTCCCATGCGGGATTCAAACCCACACTCTGAGTCAGGCACCTAATCGCCAGCACACAGTCAGCCACCTAACCCGCTCAGTCACTTATCAGAGGGGTACACAAAGTCCACAGTCTAGACTACCAGTTGTCCGACTTCCATTATTTCGCGGTGGCAGAGCGGGTTAGGTGCCTGACTCTTGAGAGTGTGGGTTGGAATCCCGCATGTGACTCAGCCCAATAAAAGTACTAGAATCTGTACTTTACTAAGAAAGTGTAATCCCAAACATAACATATGTTACATTTGACCACTTTCTAAATGGCATTGTGTAATAATAGCTTTCCTCCCATGTCATGCAGACACACCGTGACACAACTAAATACTATAAGCAGACATATGTTAAACCGTACTCACTGTCCCTGTCAGCAAATATAATTTCATTGAAAATTAAGCTACACATTAAATTGCTAATGTATATGCAGTCTGTGCCAAAGGGTTTTGTGACTACAGTAGCCTGAAATTAGTTCTTGACATCATTTTCAGTTGAATTTAATATTCGGTAGACCAAAACAGAATATCGATTGACATGACCTCTGAATGAGTGGTAAAGTTACAGACTGTATGCCATCATTTCCTCTCAGTTACAGACTTACAGTTGAGGACATTAGGGGTGTCAAGATTCGGTTCAGTTCATCGAAATAGAATCGATGGATGTATGATTCGATCTCGATTTCAAATGCATCCATTTCGATTCAGTTCATAAAGTACCTACTTTCTAATACTGAGAGTTTATTTCACCTGAAATCGTAAGAAATTTAGTTGAAAATTCGCTGCTACAAGTGTGGCCAGGGAGAGGGTATTCTCCACTGCCGGAGACATTGTAAGTGCCCAGAGGCCATGTCTTTCAAGTGAAAATTCCTTGCACAGAACATGATCATTCCAAATGACTTGCAGTGACATTACAGTCCCAATGAACACTTGACACCAGAGTTCGTGACTGAAACTTAATTTCAGGATCACTTGTTCAGTGAGTATTTGTTGACAACTTGTCTTGACAGTGTTCTAATTGTGCATTGTACCAATTTTCCAAAAGTTTGCCAAATTAAACTGATATTACAACAAATTTGACTTTGTCCTCAACTTTGGTGAATTGAATCGAAATTAATCGAATCAAACGAATTGAGTCGATAATCGTATCGAATCGAAGTGAGAGTGAATCGTGAAACCCCTAGAGAACATATTTGTAGAATCTCTGTAGGATACAATACTGTAATCAATTTTGCTAAAACATTTTTATTCTTTTATTATGTCCTTGAAGCCTATAAATCCTCTATATGATGCTCCAAGCCCTCAACACTTACTGTATTGAATACGGTATATGATATTAAATTTACAAATGCAAAATGTGAAACATGATATATGTGACAGTGCATATATAACCAAAATCGATTCAGTGTCAGACCCAAGTGAAATTGGGTCCGCCAATCCAACTATTCTGAAACAGAAGATCTATCAGTTTAGCAACATAAAGCTTTATCTGTACATTGCATGGTAAATAAGTCAAGACTGGACAGCTGTTGAATTCTGCTGGGTCATCCGAGGGTTGTAGACTTTGAACTCAGCTCTTGTTGACATTGCTAGAATTGTCATGTCACTGAACTGGACCTGGTATCTTATCAAGCTTCACGTTACTCCATGTACCTGGGTCAGTGTCTGGAGTCTAGGTGATGAAAACATGAGAAAAAAGAATCAGGTCGTGGTTTTAGTATCATTCGTCATGTCGGAGAACATGCCCACATGTTGTGGAGGCAGGGTCGAAGTCTACCATGCTGGATGTCTGTAAACATGTTAAACATGAACTGACTTTTTCGTAACTTGTGATACGTCCAACTTGTCTACGCAGGGACAACTTGACCTGTAGTGGAAAATTTGGTGGAAGTTGGACCTGGAGGGGAAATTCTGAGGACAGTTTTCATGGGAATAAAATGTTTATCAGTCATTGGGTTTCATAATGAGCACTTGCATCATTTCTATGTATGCTTAGTGAAGTACCAAATCTTCCCTTGACACATACACCCTCCCTCTGTCCCTACAGAATTACCAACTGAACTACAGTAGCTGACCATAAGTGAGTCATCATAAGTGAAATTCCCATAGACTTGCATGTTAACTCTTGCAAGAATAATTTTGGGAAATCATTTCAGCTACATACACATATTTTCCATTCCATTTTCCGATGATTATGAAAGGTCACATGCAACCAAAAAATCAAATATAATTAAAACACAATTATCACTTATTCATGACATATAATATACATTGCTGATTATGAAAAAACATATAAACAAAATTATAAGCGTACAATCGCAAATCAAAAGTGCAATATTGTGTACTTGGGTTTACTTCCCTAGAAACGAAGCGTCCGGGATACCGAACCCAGTCAGAGCGGGTGGGTGTGCACTCAAGTGTAACGGCTTGTTTATTTGCCGATGCCCTCACGGCTCATTGTGTGTGTGTATGTATAGAGATTTTGGGTTTTGTAAATACATGCTCATTTTTTGTGTATAACACTTTGCAATCAACAGACATCATAACATGTCATGTGTTCAAGTATCACACCTGCCTGTACTTGTAAATATTACTAATGGACTCATATTATTAACTGTATGTCCTATTGGTGCAATAGTGTGGATGTTGGACTAATGGAAGCCGATTAAATTAGAACATATCAATAATAATTACTGGACAGCAATCAGGATATTATTACCACCTTGTCATCCATGGACCCCAAGACACATGTTACTGACTCATGGTTGATAATTAGATGCCGCGGGAGGTCAAGCAACGACTAATCAAACTGTTTCATCAGTAACATGAAGCAAACCAAAGTGCTTCGCTTATGTTAATTATTATGTTAACTATGTACATTGAAAAATGCATTAGTTGTATACTCCCCAGGGAGTTGAGATTGATAATGCGATGTGCCGTTGAGATTGACATCCAATGATCGAGGGAAAAAATACAAGCGCATTAAGCATGCACTAGTTGCGTGGACATGTACGCTATATAATATCCAATAAGAAAAATAATAATTATACTAACAACATAGTAGGATGTATTATCCTTGTTAAAATAACTGCTAAAGATGTAAATTCTTCTGATCATGTCATCATATCCCATTTGTGTATATTGATGCCCATGCTGTTGATCACTGGATTGTCTGGTCCAGACTGGATTATTTACAGACCGCCACCATATAGATGGAATGTTGTTGAGTGCAGCATTGAACAACAAACAAATAAACCCTGAAATGGAAAGACTCGTCCACTCGTACTTTGGTCCTGAGCCTGTTATTAAAAACATTTTGTCCTTGTGAATGTAACTTATCAGTAAGAGACATAATGTGTACATTAGACAGGCCCCAACATTACAAACACATGACTACTTGAGAAATGGATGTCTGTGTGTAGCAAAAAAAATATCTACACGTGTGTTTATGAAAATCAAAATCAAGTGCAGTTATCAAATGTAACTTACTGACATAATAATTAGTATTTATTATGCAATGATTAAACAAACGGCACAGTAAAATAGTGTGTTTAATGTGTGAGTTAATAATGTCTGCATTCCGTTTCTTGTATATGCAAGTATGCTTGCATAATGAAACCTAAACCCATTGTTCCTTTTATAAAAGCTTATTGACTTCATTTTACTTTTATCAAGGGTGGTGGGGTAGCCTAGTGGTTAAAGTATTCGCTCATCATGCTGAAGACCCGGGTTCGATTCCCCACATGAGTATAATGTGTGAAGCCCATTTCTGGTGTCCCCCGCCGTGATATTGCTGGAATATTGCTAACAGCGGTGTAAAACCCAACTCACTTACTTTTATCAGGGGATAATGTTAGAGACCATGTTCTTATTCAGCCTTTGCCAAGCTCTTTTGATTCTACAAGTCTAAATTTGGCTCAGTAGAGTTCGTTGATAAAATGCTTTAGTTTGTGGGATGAATATTGGGATTCAGCAGATGTGACCACAATGAGATCTGTTGCATTTCTAGGAATATGGATTCAGTAACGCATCAATACATGTAGCCAAGGAACACCTGAAATGGATCAAATCCTGCCATTATTCTTGGGTTACTATTGTGTCATGGTTATATGTGTGTAAGTCAGAATAATTCATGATTGCATGCAACATATACAGTAGAGTGTAGAAAACAAAACTAGCCTGCAGATGTTTTTCAGATGTAGTGAATGTCCTTACAGAATTCTTGTGTTTGGTTGGTGTTTGGGCGTTTGAATCAAACATGGCGCTGTCTTGTATCAACACCCTTGTTTTTCGCTGTTTTTGACAATGTTTCATTTCACTCAAACTCAACGAATATTGAATCAGTTGCTTCACTGCATGTTTCCAACATGTCGTTTATAGTGTCCATTAAGCACACAAAAAGTTGCATTTATCTTAGAGTATAAATAACCCCACCACGTTTGGGTTTATATATGACTATCCAAATTTAGGGTGTTCCCATACTTTTTGTTTGTAGTATATATCAATAGACAGCCCTAGTATATATGGACACTGCCAGTGAAGTGATCATATATTCGTATATGTGTACTCAAAGATTTTAAGTGATGGAACTAAATGTTAAAACCAAACTCTCACTGTGTACACACACTGCATACTGTATGTTTTGTTCTGTTTTTAGGATCATTTGGGATCTCATCAAGGAGAAACTCATTCTTCCATTTGTTGACCTTGAACTACATACATTTGACCTTGGAATTGAGCATCGAGATAAAACTGATGATCAAGGTAGCTTCAGTTTCAGGAAACAGAATGAACACGGGTAGTGTGTGATAGCTGGGAGATGTGCATGAAAGCTGGGACGTGTGTGTGTGTGTAATAGCTCGGACCTGTGTGTGATAGCTGGGATGTGTTGGTGATAGGTGGGAATTGGGTGTGATAGCTGGGAGATGTGCATGAAAGCTGGGACGTGTGTGTGTGTGTAATAGCTGGACCTTGTGTGTGATAGCTGGGATGTGTATGTGTGATAGCTGGTAATTGTGTGTGATAGCTGGGACTTGTGTCTGTGTGTGTGTGTGTGAGAGTGATTGCTGGGACGTGTGTGTGGTGTGATAGCTGGGACTTTGTGTGTGTGATGTGTGACTTTTGTGTGTGATAGCTGGGACTTGTGTGTGTGTAGTGTGGCTGGGACATGTGTGATAGCTGGGACATGTGTGTGTGTGGTAGCTGGGATGTGTGTGTGTGTGGTAGCGTGTGTGTGATAGCTGTGATGTGTGTGTGATAGCTGGGACTTGTGTGTGTGTGGTAGCTGGGACTTGTGTGTGATGTGTGTGTGATAGCTGACTTGTGATGTGTGTGTGATAGCTGTGATAGCTGGATGTGTGTGTGTGATAGCTGGGACGTGTGTGTGTGTGATAGCTGGGTGTGTGTGATAGCTGGGACGTGTGTGTGATAGCTGGGTCGTGTGTGATGTGATAGCTGGGACGCAGTGTGTGATAGCTGGGACGTGTGTGATAGCTGGGACGTGTGTGTGATAGCTGGGACGTGTGTGTGATAGCTGGGACTTGATGTGATAGCTGGGACGTGTGTGTGATAGCTGGGACGTTGTGTGTGATAGCTGGGTTGTTGTATGTAATAGCTGGGACGTGTATGTGTGATAATAAAGGCATGTGTGTGTTTCTTTCAGTGGACATATGTGAGATAGCTCAGATGTGTGCAAAGTGTTACAGAAATATGTATGTTGTAGATTAGACACAGGGGGATTACATATCATATCCCAGTAAAACCAAAAAATCTTCATTATGCAAACTGCGGGAAATATTGAGGTCCTGTACAAAACTAAAATGAACATGCTAAAAAATAAGTCTTCACTTGAATAATTTATGGGACTCTCATACGTCTGGTGAAGATCCTTGATATTGTTTACTAGGGTCCTCTGCACTCCATTGTTTAGGGAGTCCAGGTAAAACCCAGTGTGTGTGTGATTACTGGGACGTGTGTATGACAGCGGGGACATGTGTGAGATGGCTGTGATCCATGTGTGATAGCTGTGATGTGTGTTATAACTGTAATGTCAGTTTTATATCGGTGACGAGTGTGTTAAAGCTGTGATGTGATGTGATATGTGTTAGATGTGATTTGTATGTAATATCTATGTGTGCTATTTGTGGTTTGTGTGTGATAGATGTGTGTGCAATAGATGTGATGTGTATGTTATACCTGGTGTGTAGTGGTAGTGGTAGTGGTAGTGGTAGTGGTAGTGGTAGTAGTAGTAGTAGTAGTAGTAGTAGTAGTAGTAGTAGGTCTCACAGTCCCTGAACCACATTATTTTCCCTACAGCCTAGCCTTCCCTGTAGTGCTAAAGCCCTAAACGAAGCAAGTCTAGATTTCCCCAGGTTCAGGGAATCTCTGGTCTCCCTAGGGCTCCTTTTCAATTTAAATGGGCTTGTTTGTTACTATCAAAATTATATATATTCAGAGACTAAGCCTTAGTCTATAGTAGTAGTAGCTGGGGCATTTGTGTGATAGCCGATTAGTGTGTGATGATGGGCCATGTGTAAGATAGCTGATGTATTTCTTTAACCCAACCTTCAATACTCTACCATCTTTCCTCAGTAAAAATGTATTGAATTTTGACCTGTCCTAAACATTTCACTGAATCAATCTGGTCTCTTTAAGACCATGAAAACAAGACACAAGTCAAAGTAAATGGATAAATATTTATGAGTACTGTCTATTGTTGCTGAGAACAGGATGAAACAACAATCAGTCAGCTCCATGAATGTTGTTTCAGTGACTGTTGATTGTGCCAATGCCATCAAGAAGTACAACGTGGGCATCAAGTGTGCCACCATCACTCCTGACGAGAAGAGAGTAGAAGGTGAGACAACGCTATACAAGCTCGTGGCTTACTATTGTTGTTTGCAGGCTGTAGATGTAAAGACTTTGTTGATTAGTGCCAATTTGGGGGATATTCTGAGACTGACTGCCCATGGCAGATATATTTTTATGACCTGATTACTAGGAGTAGGGCGTAAACGTTATCAAAAGTCGTACATTATCTATAAATATAGAGAGGGATGATTGGTTGTGACAGGCATGCAACTTTAAATCAGTTGCCTTGTGGTTAAACCGTTTGCTCGTCACGCTGAAAATCTGTGTTTGATTCCCCACATTGGTACAATGTGTGAAGCCCATTTCTGGGGTCCCCTGCTGTGATATTGCTGGAATATTGCTAAAAGCGGCGTAAAACAGTACTCACTTTCTTGCATTATCTCCTCCAATAGATTTCATGATGTCTGCATTTGATCAGTAAAGAAAGGTTCTATAGAGATATACAGGTATGGAAGTAGACAGGGGATGTTGTAGACGGTTGCCCTGAACATCATTGGCAGTGAACTCTGTTGTGTAGTGACATGGTATAGTACCATACAGTCCCTACCACGAGGGGCAGTGGGGTAGCCTAGTGGTTAAAGTGTTTGCTCATCACGATGAAGGTGATGGTTTGATTTCCCACATGGGTACATTGTGTGAAGCTCATTCCTGGTGTCCCCTGTCATGATATTGCCGGAATATTGCTAAACTCACTCACTCACTCACTCACTCACTCACATACCCAAACTACCCAACTCACCCACTCACTCTCACTCACTCACTACCACTCACTCACTACCATGATCCCACATGTCAGATTCTGATGGTAAGTAACTGTTGTTGCCAGAGTTTAAACTGAAGAAGATGTGGAGGTCGCCCAATGGGACCATCCGAAACATTCTCGGTGGGACCGTTATTCAGGGAGGCCATCATCTGTAAGAACATCCCTCGCCTCGTCCCAGGGTGGACAAAGAGCATCGTCATAGGACGTCATGCGTACGGAGATCAGGTTAGTGGAACAGTATACACATTGCTATCAGGTTTGGTGTTATTTCAGGTATAGTGTCTGTTGAAGGAGCATCAGTGTCTATGATTGTCCACAATAGTGGCACCATTAGCCGGCCTGCTAATGGTTAATGTCATGACCAAGTGTTAACGTAAAGAATATCTCTGGCATTAGCTCATCAGCTTGGTCAGTAACATTGGAGTTAGTACTCGCATGCATTTGGGGCAGTGGGGTAGTCTAGTGGTGAAAGTGTTCGCTTGTCATGCCCAAGACCAAGGATGAAATAGCCACGTGTGGGTACAGTGTATGAAGTCCATTACTGGTGTGTTAACTATTATATTCCTGGAATATGGCTAAAATTGCACAAACAATATTCACTCCATCTGTAACAAAACGTTCCTTAAACCTTTGATGACAGTTATATTGTCAAAGTGGGATGGTGGTGTAGCCAAATGGTTAAAGCATCCGCTTGTCACGCTGAAGACCCGGGTTCGATTCCCCCTCATGGGTACAATGTGTGAAGCCCAATTTCTGGTGTCCCCCCACCGTGATATTCTTGGAATATTGCTGAAAGTGGCGTCACTCACTCACTTTTGTCAAAGGGGTCTACATGGTCTAAGGCACTGCAGAGTTACATCCCCTTGTTTTGCCATGATTATCTGGGTGCGGGCACAAATCCTCTATTTGCCCTCTGTGAGGGAGAATTGACTATCATTGATGCTTTTAGAATATTTTTTCAGTGTAGGCTGTATGACTGTCTATGTTTATTGAAAAGAGATCTTAACAAATGTTGACACTAGATTTGTCTGTTTCAGTACAAGGCAACTGACTTTGTGGTCCCTGGCCCAGGGAAACTGGAGATGAAGTTCACCCCAGAGAATGGCGGTGACCCAATGGAGTACACAGTGTTCGAGTTCAAAGGCACAGGGGGTGTTGCAATGGGCATGTACAACACAGATGCTGTAAGTGTAGTCACTGTTGCAGAGGGGCATTGGGGTAGCTGAAGTTTTGATTGTCATGATGAAGACCATTCTCTTCCCACAGAGGTTACTTGTCATTGTACGACCCTTTCATGGTGCGAGTGTTCAGGATTCGTGATTGGTTGCAATCAGATTTAGTTGTGCAATCAGCAACATTGTTTCAAAAGTGATCATTTGCAAGGCCTCGGTAATTTCCGTATGCTTTGAGAAAACTAGAACCTCTTCCCCTGCGAGATGCGCAAACATTTCTTCGAGACAGAACTCAGTCATGTAATGGCGGATCAATGGTGTCTCCATCAGCCCTTGTTGACAACATACAAGCTAGCCATTAAATGTCTTGTGTGTCACATCAACACAAGTCCCCTGCTGAGAAGGGATGTTTGTGGCCCCACATTTGCTTGTATCAAGCTGGATCTAAGTCAATGTAACACGTGTTCTGATTGGATAGAAAGAAGGGGGATCTTCGTGTTGCGATTTTTTGCTGCTAGGGGATTTTGTGAGAACCGGGAAATATGGCCGTATTAGAACAGAGGTTCGTAGGAAGATATGACAAGTAACTTCTGTGGGAAGAGAATGGATGAAGACCCAGGTTCGATTCCTCACATGGGTTGAGTGCATAATGACATGTGGTGTCCCTACTTGTGATATTGCTGGAATAGTGCCGAATGTCATAGACCTTTAAGTGCTCACTTGATGACACAAACACTGGTGATCCTTCAGATCTCTGTTCACTTACCCGTGAAGATCCGGGTTAGAATTAATCTTCAGTAACCCATGCTTGTCGTAGGCAGACTAACGGGATCGGGTGGTCAGGCTCGCTGACTTGGTTGACACATGTCATTGTATCCCAATTGCGTAGATCGATGATCATGCTGTTGATAGCTGGATTGTCTGGTCCAGACTCGATTATTTACAGACCGCCACCATATAGCTGGAATATTGATGATTGTGGTGTAAAACTAAACTCACTCACTCTATTCACTTAGATATTGTTCAGTCAGTCGCCACACCATGGAGGTATGAGCACCTTGTTATCTCAGTCTCCACAGTTTTCTTACAGAGTTGTGTCCCTTTGTTTTCAATTAATGGGGTTAAACAAACCAACCAAACTGTGCTGTCAAAATTCTGGATTTGTCTTGATTTGAGATAGTAGTGGTGTGGTTGAGCCAGGGTGTGGAGCCATGGCTGTTAGTGCTGTAAGCTGCTTGTAGGTTTTACCAAGGTGATATTTGTCACTCATCTGCATCACTTTAATTTTTCCTTCACAACAAGCTGGCATTCCTTAAACTATATAACACAAAATAAGGGGTGTTGGGGTAGACTAGTGGTAAAAGTGTTCGCTCGTCACGCTGAAGATCTGAGTTCGATTCCCCACATGGGCACCATGTGTGGAGCCCATTTCAGGTGTCCCCAGGATATTGCTGGAATATTGCTAAAAGCGGCGTTAAGCAATATTCACTCACTCACTCAAAATACCATACCTCAATAATTCTTGATGAAATATATCTGTAAACCAGCTGATATTTAAATGAGGTGAAAGGGTAGTCAACACAAGGAGGATCTGTTCACTTTGAGAGTCCCTCACTCCTCCTCTGCCCTCCTATATTTGTTAAGAGTGTGTATTTATAACATAATTGTTCTTTTGTCCTCAGAGTATCCGAGACTTTGCAAAGAGTTCACTCACCTTTGCCCTTCAGAAAGGCTGGCCTTTATATCTTAGGTAAGACCAAATGCTTCCTTAGACAAGACTTTATCATTCTGTACACATTCTTCTTGGTGAACCCGTGAAGATCCGCTGGTAGAATTGATCTTCAGTAACCCATGCTTGTTGTAAGAGGCGACTAACGGGATTGGGTGGTCAGGCTCGCTGAATTGGTTGACGCATGTGATCGTATCCCAATTGCGTAGATCGATGCTCATGGTGTTGATCACTAGATTGTCTGGTCCAGACTTGATTATATACAGACCACCATCATATAGCTGGAATATTGCTGAGTGCGGCGTTCAACAACAAAGAAAACGTGTTCACAGAATTTTTACCCAATTTTAAACAAGTTTTGTTGCTCTAGATTATTTTATGTTAAAGCTTTTATAGATTTTTTCCCTGAAATCATGGCTTTTGTTTTGCAGCACAAAGAACACAATCTTGAAAAAGTATGATGGCCGATTCAAGGATATATTCCAGGATATTTATGATAAGTAAGAAGACAGCTAGTCAACAAAAAGGTTTTCAATTTTAAGTGCAAATGTTAGCCCAAGTTCAGGAATAATTATTGAATCATGTTAATTCATGAAATATATGGGTAGTGGGGTAGCTTAATGGTTAAAGCGTCTGCTCGTCACGCTAAAGACCTGAGTTCGATTCCCAACATGGGTACAATGTGTGAAGGCCATTTGTGGCATTCCCCGTCGTGATATTACTGGAATGTTGCTAAAAATGGCTAAAAGTTACGTAAAACCATACTCACTCATGAAATATGTAAGTGAGTAAGGATTTATGCTGATTTTAGCAACGTTTGAGCAATATTACGACAGGGGACACTTGAAATGGGCTTCACACATTGTAACCATCTGAGAAACTATAGAAAAAAATGTTTTTCATAATCGCAAGCAGAGATCTAATCCAGGTTTACTGGAGAGACTGCACATTAAATCATTTGTTATATCTTCAGTTCTGTATTGCAGTGCATTCATAAGATGTCACAATTCATAAGATTGACAATAAATAGAATTGAACTGAGGAAATTAACTAACTAGCCAATTAGTGTGTGAAACAAACGCTAATGCTCAGTGAGAATTGCTGAAAAAAAATTCTATTATTTCTGTGTTTAATGCCCTACCATGTTATACTCTCAATAGGGAGTACAAGACCAAGTATGAAGCCAAGGGCATCTGGTATGAGCACAGGCTGATAGACGATATGGTGGCCTACGCCATGAAGTCTGAAGGAGGCTTTGTGTGGGCGTGTAAGAACTATGATGGCGATGTCCAGTCTGATTCTGTAGCTCAAGGTGAGTGATCTGGACAGGACTCGTATGAAATAGTTGGGGGAACTAGATATTACTCTCATGAAATAGTTGGGGAACTAGATGTTACTCTTATGAAATAGTGGGGGGACTAGTTGTTCCTCTCTTATGAAATAGTGGGGAACTAGATCTGACTTTCTTATGAAATAGTTGGGGAAGTAGATATGACTCTTATGATATGACTTTCTTATGAAATGGTTTGGGAACTACAGTCCATTTGAGTAAGAAACGGACCGATGAATTGCAAATTTTATCATTGTACAAAATTGCCACATAAATATAAATAGTACACATGTTTATCATTTACTAATACCCAACAGCTTTCTTATATTTGAAAATTGTCCGGACTCCACCAAAAAAGTTCTTTAAAGGTCACATGCAACCAAACAATCAAACATAATTAAAACACAATTATCACTTCTTCATGACATATAATATGCATTGCTGATTATGAAAAAACAAATAAACAAAATTATAACCGTATAATCGCAGATCAAAAGTGCAATATTTTGTACTTTGGTTTACCTCCTTCGAAACGAAGCAGCCGGGATACCGAACCCAGTCAGAGCGGGTGGGTGTGCACTCAAGTGTAACGGCTGGTTCATTTGTAGATGCCACCCTCGCAGCTCATTGTGTGTGTATATATAGAGATGTTGGGTTTTGTAAATACATGCTCATTTTTTGTGTATAACATTTTGCAATCAACAGACATCATAACATGTCATGTGTTCAAGTATCACACCTGCCTGTCTGTGTAATTACATAATGTAACAGAGACCGAACTCGGGCCATAAATCAATGCATTTTGTTTATGGTGTATAGCCTGATTGGTGTTAAGTTCAAATTGCATGTGGTCAGTGATAGCAGCTGTGTATTGAATATTGTCATTAGCAGACAGGCAGGCAGACACATAGGTGTCAATAAAACAAGACATTGAGTTTTGTCTGTGACAACGACATATCTATATCACAGATAGAAATTCTGTCAACGCTAAATAATGACATTGCTTTTAAGTATCGAACTGAGAAAGTGACTCGGTAAGAAAAACGTGTGGTGAAATTGACAAATGAAATTATATAAACAGTTAATTTACTGTCATAACATATAAAAGCTCGCGCTGTGAGATATCAACAAAACATTAGCAAAATAGCTCATACCAAAGCCTTCACCGGACAGCCCGCTTCCAAGTTGCGCGAACCTATTTCACTGCGCGACGTGCTATGAGCGCAGCCCAGCTGTTGAAACCCGTTTTCCCCAGACTTTTCTGGGGAAAATTAGTGAAAACGTTTGAACTCGATTTCGCGCGGTTTTTTCATCGTTATTTTTCAAATTTATAAGTTGAATTTGCATTTTTGACGATTTGTTTCGGTATGTTCATACCGAAAGGTATCAGAATCTGCAAAGTTGTGTTTTACGTTGCATGTGACCTTTAAGAAACTATCATCATTGAAAACGCTAAAGTTGTTATCTGTCGCGGCGGGGTGAAACCGCAGAAACGGAACAGCCACTATCTCATCATGCACGGGATACACGTGCCTGATGAAAAATGAAGTTGAATGCTGACGTGAAACAGTTGATGATTAAAGTGTACGATATTTTCTGTGCTGAAGCCAAAAGGGCCATTTTATGCCATTAATAAATTCCGTAAGCTGGCAGCAAAAGCTTTAGGAGTATCAGCAAGGGTACTGACAAATGTTCTGGAACACAAACATTGTTAGGGTGATGCGAAGCAGGTAGGGGTCGTGTCAAAATCACACAAATTAAAACATTCGGACAACTTTCAAAAGAACCTTGTAAGGCAGTCTATCAACAAGCTCTATTCTGAAAACAAATACATGTCGCTGAAAATTTTTAAAAAGCATTTAAAGCAAGAACACAACCTCAGAGTATCAAAGTACACACTCTGGCGACTCTTACACTCTTTCGGGTATCGGTATAAGAAAATTTCGGGGGAGAATAGGTCAGTACTCTGTGAACGCCCTGATATCGTTCGCTTGAGAAATAATTTTCTCAGGGTTATAAAGAGGAAGGGTTCGAGCCAGTGTACTTGGACGAGACCTGGGTCAATGCCTTGCACACTGCCAGCAGTCAGTGGGTACCCGATGGGGGTGATAAGGGGTCACGTAGAAAGCTGCCTCTAGGGAAAGGAGAGAGACTAATCATTCTCCATGCTGGTTGCTCCAGCAAAGGCTTTCTCCCAGGCTGCGACTAGGTATTCAGGGCAAAGTCCACAGATAACAGAGGCTAACATTCCGAGATGAATGGTGCGGTTTTCCTCGATTGGGTTAAAAACAAGTTGGTACCAGCTCTACCAGAGAAGTCTTTTATTCTAATGAACAATGCCCCATACCACAGCGTGCAGGACCCCGACAGTAAAGCCCCGACATCGAACAGTCGGAAAGGTGATATGATATCATGGCTCGACAAATTTCAGATCGCACAGCCTTCAAAGGCAATGAAGCCTCAGCTATATGAGATCATAAAAACCCACAAAGGTGAACCTTTCTACAAAGTTGACAGTTACATAAAAAGTAAGGGTCATGATATTCTGCGACTTCCACCCTATCACTGTGACGTTAACCCCATTGAAATGATATGGGGTATTGTCAAAGGAGATGTTGCCAGATCAAACACAACTTTTAGCTTACGTGACGTAGAGGTTTTGGTTAAGGAATCCCTTAACAAAATCACGACTGAAACTTGGCAAAACTGTCAACAAGGTAGCTAACATAATTGAACAAGGTTACTGGTCCCGGGATGGCTTACAACAGGCAACTGTGGCACCACTTGTCATCCCTTTAAGTCGTGACTATGACACTACGACAGACGAGGAACCGACAGGTCTCCCGGAATAGATTTTGAGATGTCCCCCGCCATGACTGGCTGTTCGGTTTCTGCAGTTTCACCCGGCCGCGACAGATAACAACTTTAGCGTTTTCAATGATGATAGTTTGTTAAAGAACTTTTTTGGTGGAGTCCGGACAATTTTCAAATATAAGAAAGCTGTCGGGTATTAGTAAATGATAAACATGTGTACTATTTATATTTATGTGGCAATTTTGTACAATTATAAAATTTGCAATTCATCGGTCCGTTTCTGACTCAAAGTTCAAACGGACTGTAGTTGTTACTCTCTTATGAAATAGTTGGAGAACTAGTTGTTACTCACTTGTGAGTGAGTGAGTTTAGTTTTATGCCGCTCTCAGCAATATTCCAGCTATATGGCGGCGGTCTGCAAATAATCGAGTGGGAACTAGTTGTTATTCTCTTATGAATAGAAGGGGAACTAGATATGACATGAAATAATTGGGGAACTACATGCGACATTGTTGTGAAATAGTTGGGGAACTAGTTATGACTCTTATGTTGGGGGACTAGATGTTATATGAAAAGAAATGACAAAGATGCAGGGTGTTATTAGTTGAAGTTACACCCCTAAACTTATTTGAATACACAAGGCCTTTTTAGAAAGTGGTCAGTTGCTGCAAATGTTAACACTTCCTTATTACATTACAAATTCTATTTCATGTATTTGTTTGACTTCCAGGGTTTGGCTCCTTGGGGATGATGACCAGTGTGCTGATCTGCCCTGATGGCAAGACGGTGGAGGCAGAGGCGGCCCACGGCACAGTCACACGGCACTACCGCTTCCATCAGCAGGGCAAGGAGACCTCCACAAACTCTATAGGTAGGTACCGGCATTTAGGAGAAATATCTGTAGACTGGCCTTGTCATTTGAGCCTTTGCAATTCCCTTAGAGTTAGGGGCGGTTGGGTAGCCTAGTGGTTAAAGCGTCCACTTGTCATGCTAAAGACCTGGGTTCGATTCCCCACATGGGTACAGTGTGTGAAGCCCATTTCTGGTGTTCCATTCTGTGATATTACTGGAATATTGCTGATAGTCGTAAAACCATACTCACTCCCACTCACTCCCTTAGAGTTGCATCCCTCAGGCATGTGGGAAGACTTTGATCCGTGGTTTGAATGATAGGTTTGCAAAGTCTTGCTCACTTACTCTTCTTGCATACCTGTTAAGATCCAGGTTAGAATTGATCTTCAGTAAGCCATGCTTGTTGTAAGAGGCGAGTTAACGGATCGGGTGGTCAGGCACGCTGACTTGGTTGACACATGTCATTGTATCCCAGTTGTGCAGATCGATGCTCGTGGTGTTGATCACTGGATTTTCGGGTCCTGATTCGATTATCTACAGACTGCCGCCATATAGCTGGAATATTGTTAAGTGCAGCGTAAAACTAAACTCAATCACTCTCTCTGCTTGCAGCCTCCATCTTCGCCTGGACTCGAGGTCTGGCACACCGAGCAAAGTTGGACAGCAACGAGGCCCTTGGGAAGTTTGCCTCTAGCCTGGAAGAAGTCTGCATTGAGACCATCGAGGCTGGGCAGATGACCAAGGACCTGGCCATCTGTATAAAGGGCATGAGCGCGTGAGTCCTTATCTCCCTTTCATACTTCTCTGGACAGTAGCCTTGTGGTTAAAGTGATTGTTTGTCCTGCTTATGATCAGGATTGGATTCTGGACCGCTCTGTTTTGTAAAATGGGGCAGTGGGGTCGTCTAATGGTGAAAGTGTCTGGTCGTCGTGTTGAAAACCCGGGTTAGATTCCCCACATGGGCACAAAGTGTGAAGCCCATTTCTGGTGTTCCCCAGCTTGATATAGCTGGAATATTGCTAAATGAGGCATAAAACCATACTCACTCACTGTTTTGTAAAATGATCTCTGACATTCAAATAGACTCATGCTGAAAATTGGCTCACAATAGTCTGTTCATTCTTGTGAGCTAAGCACACACGCATACACGCGCATGCACGTCGTCATATGAGCGAAATATTCTCAAGCACGACGTTAAACCCAATCTCACCTCACCTTGTTTTGATAGGTCAGGTGAAACGGGGTTTAACGTCGCAGTTAAGAATATTTTGCTCCTGTGACGATGTGCATGCGTGGCTGCTTGTATGTGTATGATTGGCTGCTTGTACTAGCCCAGGCTTAAGCTGGTTTTATAGTGCTAGCCCACTGAGATACCATAAGCATGAATACCCCACTCAGACACATTATATTGACTCCGAGCCGACCAGTCCTTGTTGTACCCATTAATGCTGAACGCCAGGTAGGGACCAACAAGTACCATAATTGAACGTCTTTTGGTATGACATGGCCCGGGAATTGAACCAACAACCTTCCGCTCTCTGGTGGACTCTCTAACCACTACACCATGGAGGCAGTTTTGTTTTGATAAGTTAGCTGCTTGGAAATAACTGTATCATATGGCATACACTCATTTCACAAAGAACACCATTTGTCTTTCAGAGTCAAACGTGAGGACTACTTGAATACGTTTGAATTCATCGATAAGATTGCCGAGAACTTGGTAAAGAAGATGAGCAGTTGACTGAAGCCGACAGCAGGGACGACCAGGAGCTCACTGTAACAGCAACGACGGGGACCTGAATGTCTAAAAACATCGAATAACTAGAAGAAAAAGAGTTTACAAAATATATATCATTGTCACCATTTGTATCTGTGATTTGAAGGGTATGAGGAAAGTAGACAATTAGTTGTGGTAGTTGACATTACACTGTAGGAGTAATCTCCCTTCAATTGGAGCTGTTTTCCCTGAGGGAGTTGTCTCCCTTTACATAGCATAAGCTCCATATTGACTTTATTTCAGTAACAAGTTGCTATATTTATCAGAACATTCCACATTTACAGTGAGGCTATTCTTGTAGAGAAATATAAAGGATGTTGAGGCTATTTGTGTAACAAATTATAAGGATGTTGGGCTTTCTTTATTAATGTGAATCATTTTACTTTTTTTTATTGCTCACTTGTTGAAGAATCATTAGTAGAACACCACGTTATAAGTGTCTTACCATATTTGTTGTATTAAGAATACACAGTGTACTAAGAGTATCCAGTAGCAGGATATAGATTAATCTAATTAGATTATCTTTGGTAATCCACTGTATATCACCACATGGTATACAATATTACACTGTTGGTTCAGGATTAAAACAAGCGTTAAGCCCAATAGTCCTCAATACCTTGTGCAGTGGAGTAGCAAACAGACTTAAAAACACATCTCAATACTCAGGAAAATAATTTTGTTAGTTTAACTATCATTGTAACACTATTCTAAAAATATTGAGAGTTTGTTTGATTTTGAATGTAGCTGTTTACCAAAGTCATGTTAAGCAGAAATAATCCACTGAATGTTTAGTGATTGGGCACATTACTTCGTTAAATATCTCAATGAAAAAAACATATATTTTGTTTTCAGAACATGTGGGAAGTGTTTGTGAGGAATTTAGTGAGTCAAATATGGTACCGAATAAATCTTTATAGGTGTTTTGAAGTATTATAATAGAAATCCATCCATTCCTGCGAACCAAAATTTGTGCCTACATTTAATGCCTTTTATACGTTCTCCACATGCCTAAACCACATCACTGTCCATGCTAACATTATTTGTTGAGGTGAAGCACAAGTGGATATTGTACATCAAGTCTTGCAACAGCTTATTTAAACACGCAATTATTTGTTTGACAATTTCATTTATTCAGTCTGTTATATTTTATTGTAAACTGACATTTTATGACTGGTTTAAAGTAACCCATATAACCGGCTGTTTCAGTATTATCTGATTTGTTACAGTAACCATCACGATATGATGACTACATGTATGTATTCAAGTGTTACTAATAACCTGTGATAAAGAGAATCTCTCCATATGTTGGGATTCTGATTTAATTGTGGTCAGCAAGCTATACCTTGTTACAAAACAACGGAAATATTTCACTATTGGCTTTACATAATTATTTTTGTGCCATTGGAAATGTAATGAATCTTGAACTGATTTGCTGTTTTCTAAAACATAATAACTGTTCTTATTTAAATTCAGTTTTCATATTAGTTATAAATATGGATTTTTGTCAAATCTAATTCCTGTGAAGTATATGTTAAACTCTTTGGTATCTATATCTAAATTGGGGATATATTTTGTGAGTTATCTGCTGCTGGTATGTATACAGCCCATCTTTTGATGGACATTTTGACATATGGCATGCCATTCAACTTAAGTGATCAGTTTTTCGGGGTGAAAATCATACATATCTGAAACCGAAAGCTATTTAGGGCGGTGGGGTAGCCTTGTGGTTAAAGTGTTCGTTCACCACACTGAACACTCTGGTTTGATTCCCTTCGTGGGTACAATGTGTGGAGCCCATTTCTGATGCCCTCTGCTGTGATATTACTGAAATATTGCTGAAAGCAGCATAAAACTAAACTCACTAACTCACTGAAGGATATTCAAGGGTGGTATTTATTAACCTCTGGAAGCAGGTCAGTGGAATGCAGGGATCACGAAGATCTGCATTCATTGATTGCTTCAGGCTTTCCAAGTGAAATACTGTGATGTAACTGAAATACTGCAGCTGGCTGATGCAGATTAACCAGATTCTTTCTATCTTGAAGTTTCTTCACTTCTGTCCATGTTTGTCATTGTGATCAGAATTCCACCAATATTTTGTCAAGGAGAGAGAACCATCAAGGGGAGACAACCAGTCCTCTGTACTGTTGATTCATCCTTTTTGTTCATGTCCCACTCAATTGTTAACAGAACTGTGCATCTTACAGCTGACATTGTCTTTTACAGGTATTGTTCGATGCCATTGTTCATTGCCAAAATGGTATTTTGTACCACAGTGTAATCGTTCAGACAATGTAGATATTGCCAGTACTGTATAGAATGATCCACACTTGCTTAAGAACTCTTGGATATACAAATGTGATGTTTGTGTTCTTGTGGTACCTCCTCTATATAACATGATAAAAACTTGACTAGATATTAAGGAAACTGAAATGTCTGTAAGAACAGTGCTTAAGTCAGTTCCACATTATCTTGTGGAAAAAAAATATCCACCGAGTTTGTCGCTTATATGATAGTGTTTCTGTATTAGTTGTTGCTTGTATTTTCAATATATTCTGTTTACAAATGTCTAATCAGCTACTTATCCATATTAATCAGATTTACAAAATATCCATGGTTATATGTAACAGGTTTTAGTTACCTGATATACTATAGAAACAGTTTACCATGTTTCCTCTATTAAGAGCCCTGGAACTTTGTTTCCTTTTATTACAGCAAAGCTTATATAATATGACCTTGCGTGTATTTGATGGTGAGCATGTGCACATTTCAAGAAATTATGATATGATTCAAGTTGGGGGAGATTATTATTATTAATATTAGTTGCAGCTGGACTGACCCTGGATCTTATAAGAAACTGGCTCTTGATAAAGAAAATATGGTACATTGTATCTATGAAACTACAAGCATAGCAGCATGGAGAATATAGTATTTAAGACTTTATATCGGAAATATTTGCATTGGTTTTGCAAATCTGTTTGTTTTATTTAAAATCCTCAGAACTTTCATTAACCAACCACTAGTCCTAACACCTCAGTGATGTTCACTGTCATCCATTCTACAACAGATTCCTTGTATACATCTCATTAAAATCAATTTGATAATGACAGCATGTTTTGTGATCAGATCAGTGTCATGTTTGAGCATCAACCTCTCTGGACATTAGAAAGTTTACCTGATCTAAGGTAACCAGGGAGTTCTGTATGTATCCTGGTTGGTTTAACGCCGTAGTCTGGACCAGATCCAGTGATCAACAGCATGAGCTACAATGACGTTTCAACCAAGTCAGCGAGCCTGACCACCCGATCCCGTTAACTTGCCTCTTATGACAAGCATGGGTTGCTGAAGACCAACAAAATTATCATGACTATTATGTTTATTTCATATACACTTATTCCAAGAAATACTGTACATTGGGGCCAGTCTCTAAACAAGGCATAACAGATAGCAAAAGCAGATTGAGTCACAAGCAAAAAAAAATGAATGCCATTCAGGCACTGCATTATATACTACATATACATAAGTCTATATACATATCATAACAGCACAATGTTTGGTCATATAACTGACTTAACAGCCTCTGTCAAGAGGAACATTATTTCAGTGTGTGACAACTTGGAGTGGGATTGATTATGATACAGGTCCCAGAACCCACAGTGATGCTGATGTATGTGGGAGAGTGCTTTTTTAGCAATATCATGGTTAGGGGGGACACCAGAAATGGGCTTCATACATTGTACCCATATAGGGAATACTCCGAATAGAACCCGGGTCTTCAGGCGTGACAAGCGAACGCTTTAACCACTAAGCTACCCCCACTGCCCCCTTGGGATTTCGACCCAGGATCATTAGATCCTGCTGTAACAAAGGATGACGGGTCCCCAGTGAATTATCAGTTACCTTAAATGCTAATAAAGTCTAACAACCTGCAACATGGAACTGGTATGGTAAAAAGACCTTAATCTTTGCTTTTTACTTCGAACTCTAATGAGTTATGGGGTAATGACGGTGGCCCAAGAATGGTCACAAGAGTTTAAGATTCCAATGGATGTAGCAGTGTGGTTACGACAGGCCCCTGGACCACACATAATACTTGGTTAATCTGCGTAGCCCTTAAGTACTTGTAAATTTATCATTGTAGCTTCCATGTAAACCCTTTGCATTACAGCATACACGTAAACACTTCGCATTTGGTCTTGCACATAAATGCAACTCATTGTAACACACGTAAATGCGACTCACCGTAACATAACTGCTAATTTGTAACTTTCAATTAAATAACATACATAGTAGCTAAGGCAGGATGGGGATAAAAATCAAAGTAATATTCCTTTTAAATACTAAAAAGTATTTTACTTTTGGCCATTTAAGATGTGTATATGAGGCAAAAACAATCTAAACATTTTTGTTTGTTTGTAAGTTTACATTTTCGGCCAATAAAAACATTAGGATTTTATTTTTTGAGTGGATTTTAAAAAAAATAATTTAATTCTTGACAAAAAAAATATACGATCAGCGGATCCGTAAGACAAGATATAAAATTGGCCTGGCCTGATGTGTAAATGCTACAGATTGTAGCATGTGTTGTATGTAAACATCATAAGCATCATAGCTCCAGTACTTTGATTTGTGATTCCTTAAAACAAAGGTGTTCATGACCTTGTGACCAACCACACAGTGTTACTGGTATTTCATGTACCACATACAGCATGTTTCTAAATAAAATATATACATCTCACTACACAGCATACATAACTTACACATCCTCCATCACACAAGTGTAACACTTCGGAACTGTTTCTTGACTATTCAGAGACATTTAACAAGAGAACGCCCGTTCTAAAGCATCTTTAACTGACCACAGAATATTGTCTGTGTATGTTATCCTTGAAGTGACAGAAATACCAGCATCACAAAAAAATATTCTACAAAGTTTTCAAAATGGGTAAGCTTGAGACATACATAAACTTCTACAAGCCGTGACAGTAACCATGGTAACAATGTTTGGAAATAGTCAATAGAAAAATAAGAAATATCATCATCACTCATTTATATATACCAAGTTTACGTCACAACAAACTGATTCCTTGTTCTGACAGGAGCAGAATTTTGACCTCAATGTAAAGAAAAGTACATCAGTGCAGACTATTTAATTTGTTTCACGAGACTCAAGTAATTATCGTTTGCAAAATTCTCAAAGCAATCCGCCATCCTCTGAAGACAACAATAACCTAAAATTTTGCAAACAATTAATTAATTTGTTGTGGCCTAATTAACAACAGATGATCACATGACCAATGTATGATCCTTGTATAACTACAATAACAAGTATGGAAAACCAGACACTCAAGTCTGAAACCAGCATCTGTAACCATTGACAACCAGTGGCAAAAATTCAGGATTGGAGAAGAACAAGCCTCTTTACACAAGTGTTTAAAACAGGATTGGAGAAGAACAAGCCTGATACGTTCAATAACTGTTAACCCAAGAGGAACGAAAACATAGAAAACTATAAATATAATCTTAATATATGTATTCAGATTTGTGTTCGACTAGCTTTCAAGTTTTAGGTCATCATGTAAACATTGAACTTGAAAGCCTTATCAAAGGATTATCAAAACATTTGCGTAACTTTCACCACCTCCTAAACTGAATTTGGTTTTATTTTGGTTTCTTAAAGTTACTAGTAAAACAAGGAACAAAATATGAGAGCATTTTCATATACTGTAATCGTATATATTTTCACGGGGTGCAATTTTCGCGGAAAGTTCACAAAAAGCCTGTTAGCACAGTTGTTTTTTTCCGCGCATTTCAAACGCTTTAGTGATGGTATCCATCACAAAGTTTTCACAACCGATAGACATGCAATGATCAAAGCTTGCCGCCATAATTGAATCGTGTTTACTAAAACAATCAGAGAGAGGTGGGATTATACTTGTGTCAACATTGTGATTTGTGACTGACGTTGTATCGCTTTGCGAGAAAGACCATACAAGAGAAGACCAAAGACGTCGAATTTGCAATTGAACATCGCTAGAAAAGATTATTTACCTATTCAGTTCACCATGAGTATTTTGCTTGGTATGGTTATTCGTGCACAATCTTTTTACGCTAAAAGCGCGAAAATTAATCCCACACAAAAATAACTACGATTACAGTAACTTGAATGTCAACTAGTTTAAACCATTTAATTGACAATCATTTTGTCCTGACTGTCCTTGATGGTCTTAATTCAGTTTAATCATTTAAAACTAAACACACTGATGATTGAAATACAATATCAGCTCAACTGTCTAAGATAACAGTTGTATCATTGAAAAGGCCAATGATAAGTTGAGCTAATATCAGATCAGTGAGCTTCTAGCCGAGAAATAACATGACACGAGAAGCATCTGGAAAATCACCAACATATACCGTAACATTCAACAAGGACACAGGCTACCATCCACACAGTGTCAGAGAGTAGGACCAATTAACCCATGTCAAACACATCCTCCAGTAAGCACCATGAGCATATAACATTGAGGCGTCATTTTGTTCTTTGGGTTTTGACAAGCACAGTGTGGTTGCAATAGCTGTACAAGGGCCGTCCATTGAATGGAGAGTGTGAGCAGGTTTTAATGCTGCGCCGAAAAATATGTCGCTGATTCAGCTTGATGTGGGAGAATAGTGATGCAATTTTTCAAAACCACAGAAAAACCTTAAAACAATCAGGTTGTACCAGCATTCAACCCCACTGTCACAGGATTCTGGCAGCCAAGGGTAGGTAACTCTGTACAGCAAATTCTGTTGCCTGAGGTCCTAAGCTTCTCTAATGAATGTACATCCTTTGAACATCAAAACCATCCTGTCACTGACTTTCATAAAGGGAGGTAAATGCTGTTTGCCAGAAACCAACCCTACAATTATTTGCCATTTTGAACATGATAATATAAAAGCAGGTAAATATTGCCATGGCGCCAGAAGATTGTCAATTCTATTTTTTAAAACATAATAAATTCTTGAACAGACCCTCAAGATTTTGAAGGTGTAATGATAAATTGTGCGCCGGAGACACATAGGCTGGTTGTGAACTGACACAAAATGATACAAGTTTATGTAACAGTGACATTAAAAATTTGATGAAAATAAATTGCAAAATACTTTAAGTGAAGGTATGTACAGTAGGTCTAGAGAAACATTTTCAATAATCCAATCAAATCTAATGAACTTGTCTTGGTTGACCATATATTCGTTCTGTCTGATGATGCGGCGTCTGAGCGAGTGTGACGTATCCCTACCATCGCGTACCATCATTACACCGCCGGATTCAGCAGCAGATATTCACTTCCTATACTACAGCGAGTTATTTATTCATTGCAATGCACTAAACTGACAATTTTGTTGACCCAAGTTAGTACTGCACAAAGATTGATTGATTGTTGTTAAACTCTGCACTCGACAATATTGCAGCTATATGGTGGCGGTCTGTAAATAATTGAGTCTGGACCAGACAATCCACTGATCAACAGCATGAGCATCGATCTACGCAATTGGGAACCGATGACACGTGTCAACCAAGTCAGCGAGCCTGGCCACCCGATCCCGTACTGCAGTGAAGAGGTTTGTTTAGAATAGTTGTACACATTTTCGTGTTTATATTTCTCAAACTTTCTCACAATACACCTGAAGTTCAGAGTTCTACACGATTATATTTCAGCATTATAACAGTGGTTCAAACAGGAAACAGGTTTCATTTATTGTCACCAATGGGGAATAAACCAAGCAGCTAACCTGAAACACTGAAAATACTTCATGTACTTTGCTCCTCCATCACGTCAATACATATGGTTGCTACGGTGACACTAGGTGAGGTGGAACTGAGAGTAAAGTCATGTTAAAGACTGCACTTATATATTTGTGTGTGATGAGTGAGTGTGTGTGTGCATGTGTGTGATGAGTAAGTGTGTGTGTGTGTGTGTGTGTGTGTGTGTGTGTGATGAGAGATGAGTGTGTGTGTGTAGGATGAGTGCGTGTGCGTATGCTTGTACTTGTTCGTACTAATGCCAGCGTTAGCCCTGTATATTACTTACAGTTTAAACATTAATACCCTCCTTGGATATAATATACTGAGTTGACCAGTCCTGGTTTATCCCCTTAAAGCCGAGCAACAGACTGAGTAGTAATAAATGTCTTCCCCAAACACACACTGTCTCTCCCATAACAACTGTAGTGTATCTAGATCAGGTGCTCTACCGCCTTAACACACCTTAGAGTTACCTCCCCTCCATCGATACAAATATACCCATGGATTTGAATCCAAACATTACTTTATTTGGGGCAACTGCATCACCAACATCAAACATCGCTGAATGCGACCTTAAACATAAAACAACCAATTTGAAACACACCTCACTTTCACGCCACCCAATAATTGTGTGTATTCACAGATGACTGAAAAATGTAGGAATATAAAGACCTGATGAATGAACAATGTATGAATGATGTATTAACACTCTCCGAGTAAACCACCTTCTTATCCTACCACAGACCTCAAATAACTTAAGTGTAAAAAAAATCACCTACAAATGATGCTTCCTATTACATTAATAAGTCGCAGTATGAAAATAAAAGACATTTAAAGTATTCGGTGAATAACTGGGTTCCTTTTTCACAGTCTTCCTAAGCAATAACCTCAAGCCGGGTTCTCTATCTAAAGGAATCCTGTTATTCAAGGGTATGATTACCATAGCTGCATATTTAAGTCTTATTTAACATTCAAACCATACTTGTCTTAACTTTGGTAATGACGGCTGACAATTATCACAATTAAAAAGGTTAAACTTAAAAGATGGTTGGTTGGTGTTTAACGCCACACTCAGCAATATTCCAGCTATATGGCGGTGGTCTGTAAATAATCGAGTCTGGACCAGACAATCCAGTGATCAACAGCATGAGCATCGATGTGCGCAATTGGGAACCGATGCCATGTGTCAACCAAGTCAGCGAGCCTGACCACCCGATCCCGTTAGTCGCCTCTTACGACAAGCATAGTTGCCTTTTGTGGCAAGCGTGGGTTCCTGCAATTGGGATACCATTAATTGCATCAACCAGGCCAGCGAGCCTGACCACCCGATCCTGTTAGTCGCCTCTTACGACAAGCATGGGTTACTGAAGATCCGTCTCTTCACGGGTTCCAACTTGAAAGAGCACAAGATACACTGTATTCCACAACACATTTTGTCTGTCAAAAAGTGGAAAACTGTAAAAATATACAAACTGAAGACACATGGCACGTACAAGTATATGATTGTATTAAACTACAAGAACATGTCAATGTGCATCAACACGATGCTGTTTATATACATGGTCTAGCTAATAAATAGGATCCTTAGCTAACAGTTATGGTTTGACGTAGTACACAGTATCACATCTCTAAACTATGAACCCAGACAGAAAACAAATTAGAAATAACATACAATTAGGTACAAATTAAAAAGTAAAAATCTTAACTCAATTTCATGGCTCATGAAACAGCATGAAACCTCTAGATTATAATAAGCAAACAGTGTGGATTTCTCAGTGAACTCATGTTAATATGAGTACTATCAAGGGATGGATATTATTAAAATCATTAAGTCAATGCATCCTGGGATTCCAGGGTAGATTAAGTCGTACTGTGAGTGTGGTCAAGAGCAGCCCCAGGTTCTGTAGCTCACCGTCAATGTTTAATCAGAGGGTGTGAGTGAGTTTGTTTTTTTCACAGCTTTTAGCAAAATTCCAGCAATATCACAGCAGGGGACACCAGAAATGGGCTTCACTTATTGTTCCGATTTAGGGAATTGAACCCAGGTCTTCGGCATGACAAGTGAACGCTTTAACCCCTAGCTTTCCCCACTGCCCCTTCCAGCCTGTAACAATCAATCCCTCACCCCAAGTAACTCTTGCTGTTTATATAATTCAAACGAACAAATGAAGCAATTACAAATTGTCATCAAGAATAATAAATTTTTACAATAGCGGTCAAGACTATTAGCATTTCTTACCAAAGGTTCAGATGTGAACAAACCAACCATAATATTTTATTACTCTAACTCCTCAAAACATGCAACATATTGAATTCACATGCAATAAACTTTTATTCAAAACTGATGACTACAGAGTTGAGTAAACATGTGATAGTTACTCCAGCTGGGTCAAGGTTATTTTCAAAATTTACACCATATTTCACTCAAATGTATTTATAGAATTTGCTGCAAAACATTGGAATCTTTCTGCCAACATGATGTATCCTCTTTGTGATTGGCCAAGCAATTTCAGGATACCTGTTGTGGCAAGTCCAATCAAGGGAAGTAACTCTGTATTACTGAATTTGTAACTTCCAGAGTTACCATTCTTTCTTTGGAATATTTCAAATAGCTAGTTATTCTGTGAAATTATTGAATTTTATGTACTGTCTTCATTATCGGTTTGAGATGAAGGCTTTGTATTGTTTATTGTAAGTTAATAAAGATTGGAATTGAGTGACGTTAGTTTTTCAAAACTTATACTCATTTGATGAGAGTTTCAGACAAGCTAGCCATAACATAAGCTCACTAGACTTGAAATCAGGTGAGCTAACTTGGGCACTGGCAACCGAAATCGCTGTGTAGTGTGGATGGTCACCTGGCCTGTCGAGTGGTCATTCACACTGTGGTGATACAGCCTATTATTCCCTCCTCCATATCAACCTCCTTGTTTAACCTTCTTGCAATCAGATAGAGATTCCTTCTAATGTCATTGCACACAATCATGAAAAATTATTTGATCAGAAACATTTAAAAACTTTCAAAATAATCTGATTTCCACTGTAACTGTGGCCGTGTAATAAAAACAAGCTTGAACTAATTTGTTGCTTCTTAATGTCAGCCATAAGCTGTTTGCTCTCATTACATATTGAGATTGAAATGTGAGTTTAATCCAGCCTAACAATTATCAATACCAACAAAGACAACAAGATTCAATGTTATTTTCACAAACACAAAATATTAAATAGTTACAGTCCAACAAGGGTTTTACTAAAACAGGATTCGTTCCTTAACAATTAGACTGACTGACTGACTGACTGAGTTTGGTTTTACGCCGCTTTTAGCAATATTCCAGCAACATCACGGCAGGGGACACCAGAAATGGGCTTCACACATTGTACCCATGTGGGGATTCGAACCCGGGTCTTCGGCGTGCGAGCCAACGCTTTAACCACTAGGCTACCCCACCGCCCCCTTAACAATTAGAAGTAACATTAATATTTTCTTGATCTGATTCAGAATCAAGCTGAAAAACCCTCTAACTAAAAAGATGAGCACTAGTGTTTGCAGTATTCACCGTCAACTCATTGAAATTTCATTGAAAGGTGCATTATAAGTTCACATTTATTATTATTATTATTCAGTTGAAATTCTCATAATAAATTAAGTAAATAGATCAATTGAGAGCTTAATCAAATCATTTGACCTTTACCAAGTGCTGACAATGAAGTATTCAGTACTTAAAATTATTATCACCACTGAAATTGGAATTACAATAATTTTCCAATTTTGCTTTTGTCTAAAAGTTGGCTAATTCATAAACAACAATAAGTTCAGTAACAATAAGTAATTAAATAGATATCACAAACTGTCTTAATTTATCAACCAAGCATTACTTTTCGGATAGCACTTTCATTAGTTAAAACAAACAGCTCAATATTAAATAAATACTCAAACATGTTATTCTTCTAAAAATATAGCAGTCAACAATGAGAAAATGTCAAATAACAAATTTTGTTCCTCAAAACTCATTACCTGACGATTCCAACGTGTCCTTATTGAATGCATACTCTACCAAAAAAATTATCAGCTTAGTTTTTCCCCAGCATGTTTGCTTCAGCAGTCCGTCTAAAGTAACAAACCCTAAAATGTAAAAAAATTGAAAAACCTAGAAAAAACATAATCAGGGTAAATCTAAATTCATCGATTTCTGGCACACTAAAAGAGCTGCAAGTCCATCACCATGGAAACCTGAACAAGTGATGAGAAACACGACATTTAATCGTTAGATTCTCATCGTTTCCGATGACAGACACTTGGACTGATTATTATCAACATGAATATATCCCACAAAGCTTCATGTTTTTAATATTCTGTAAAGTTTAAGGAACATCAATTTTACACATAACCACTCATACTGATACCTTGTGTACAGAGTCGCCTAGTAACCGCCTTCATATATGGAGCTATTCAGTATCCATGACAACACACATTCACAAGGGAGAACATTGACAAATGGCCACAAGTCCAAGTACACAACTGGACAATCTTGGATCACTCGTTCATCACATTGTATTCAACAATATATTCCGGATACGCCTGGTTGCTGTCAAAAATCACAAAGATCTTAGGGTCCCATATATTGTCTACACATGAATCATAGCACTTCCCGTAAGGTTCGGCCGAGTAGAAGGGTGGGGGTCGTCGATGGCCTGTATTCCCGCCTGTGTATTTCCCAACAAGCACCTTGGCGAGGAACATTTTCCTTGTCTGTGACGACGTAATGTCTGCCATCGGTACGACCCTGACCTTGGCATCTTTTGTGGATTTCTGGGAGTTGTTCTGTCTCAGTGGAGAGGGCTCGGAACCCTGACGCAGGAAGTTGGCTTGTTGGGGGAACGTTGTATTGTTATTGCTGGTGTTGAACGCAGAACATCGGCCGGCGTTGGTCAAAGGAAACCCTCGAGTCATGCCTGCCGAGGAAGATGGATGGTTGGACTCCGGCACCGGCATGTTCTGGTTCGAGTTTATTACAGGATTAGAATTGTTGGTTGGCATAGGCCCTGAGAAGATGTTTGATATTACTGTGAGATTGCTCCGAGACGAGGACTGAGGCTGGGGAGGGGGTGGCGCGGCGGTGCTGGGAGGGGTGAGCTGTCCATGGATACCAGAGATTAGTGACGACCCCAGAGGCATGTGGGCGGAAGGGGGGAGGAAGTTGTGAGGTATCAACTGGTTCACTTGCATCTGGTTGAACGGTCCGATGAGAACACTCCCCGGGGGCTGGCGGAACACGGCCGACGAGCTCGACGTTCGACTGGAGGATGTAAGTGCACTTAAGGTGCGAATGGCCATCATCCGAGATCGGTGGCCACTGACCTTCTCCGTGTACTGGTGAGAGTAGGAAGCCGCCTTCGCGAAGTACGACCCTGAAATACCAAACAAACATCACACAAATATGACCACTGGGTAATGATACATTTTTTGGGTATTTTTGTTCCAGTAAAGTATCAGTCATGTCCATTTAACAAAAGTACTCATTCACAACCTCTTCATTCACTCCCACGGCACTTCCAAAAAGTGCATCGCTCCATATCTCTGTCATTTCCTAACACCCAGCTTCTAGTACCTGACCTGTCTCTGAGTGAGTTTGGTTTTACGCCACTTTTAGCAATATTCCTGCAATATCATGGCAGGGGACACCAGAAATGGGTTTCACACATTGTACCCATCTGGGGAATCAAACCCGGGACTTCGGTGTGATGAGCTAACGCTTTAACCACCAAGCTAACTCACAGCCCCTGCTCAGTTATAGGAGGAAATCCTGATATTATTTATTAACTTGAACCATAATTCCCCCTAAACACTCTATCTTGCAGACAAAGGAATTTTGTCATTTCCAAACTGCTACCACAATGGGGACACCAACAAAGAAGGTATGATGCAAAGCAATCTGTTGTCTTTGGGGAAAACCTAATCCTGGCGTGACCAAGGGACATAACTTTGAGTGAGCTATACGGCGGGGGTCTGAAAATTATCGTCTGGACCAGACAATCCAGTGATCAACAGTATGAGCATCGATCTACGCAAATGGGATGCGATGACGTGTCAACCAAGCGAATGAGCCTGACCACCCGATCCCGTTAGTCATGGACACAGACTTGGAGAAATAAAGTGCTATGATTCAATCCTCATTAAAATCAATCCACATACCTTGTCCATACACACTTCCATGTTTCCCACAGACACGCCAGTCAAAACCTTTCTTGCAGATGGCCTCGATGACGGAACTGTTTGTGCCGTGAAACAGCTGGCGTTCATCTACCTGGTGTCCATCATTTTCATGAATCATCTCTGTGCGCTTCCTGCAAAAAACAACATTAACTAGATTCTATTTCTCTTCAATTTTGCTAGTAATAAACCGGAATGTGAGCTCCTAGTAATAGCATTTGTTTGATTAGTGTGTTCTTTGCCACACGCAACAACATTCAAGCTGTTACTCATATTAATATACGTGTTGGGCCAGAGCAAGCGAGTGAGTGAATGGGTGAGAGAGTGAGTGTCACTCTAAACACAACTTCAGTCACTTGATGGATTGTTACGACTGTTACGATCATTGAAGTTTACCCCATAGGTAAAATCTACCACCAAATCTCACTCTCAGATTCAGGCAGCCACCCGTCATGATCACATTGGAATAATACAGGTCTCCAGAGCTGAACATGTCAAATGAGTGAGGGAGTTGTTACATACTTAAATATCGTGGCTGGATGACAAAAATTGGGCTTGTTCATCATGCACACACACTGAGTGAGTGAGTCAGTGAGCGGTTTTTAAGGTGCACTCAGCAATATCCAGCTATATGGCAGTGGTCTATAAATAATCGAGCCAATCCAGTAATCAACAACATGAGCATCGATCAATGCAATTGGGATATAATGACAAGCCTGACCACCCGATCCCGTTAGTCTCGTCTTATGACAAGCATGGGTTACTGAAGATCGATTCTAACCCGGATCTTCACGGGCCACACACACACAGCCCGCATACACACAGAATTCTTCTGACCAATTAACAAGGAGTATCATCAAACAGATTCGACCAACTTACAGCTGATAGTATTTCCAGAGAATTGGGTTTTGGACTCGTGATATTTTGACGATGTCTGCCGAGGGGAAAGCCAGCGTGCTGTAGAAATTGACAGCCACTTCCACGTACTCATCAGATTCAGGTTCCAGTGCCATAATTGCAAGGTTCTGAAACATCGAACAGCATGTAATCAATGTACACCTCAACACCAAAATCAAATCTATAACATTTAACCAACAAACAACTGTCTTAATGCAGAACTACTGGACTTTGCAACATTATATTTTAGTTAAAGTTACAAATACAATTAACATAATCATTTTCTCATCATTGAGACTTCTGGATAGACCTTAAATGTCAAGACGACAACGACAAAGACTGAATAATGTTGAAAACCATAGTGCAATATAAATGAATTCATTATTAATATATGATATTCAACACCAATATCCAGCTCAGCTGCTCAAAGGCGCTTTGTTTTTCCCTGTATCATTGGATGTGAAATTCAAAACACAAATCATACTTTTTCAATTTTTGGCCTACCTTTAGAATACAGCACCACAAACTTTAAAAATACGTCATTATACCCTTTTACGTAATGTAATGTGATTTTGTTCGAAAGCACGTTCTCGAAACAATGCCCTATGACGCCTCCAGCTGGGTGGACTGGGACACAGTCACAGAACTTTGTCCAAGTTCACTGCACATTGCTGTACCTGCAACTAGGTGCTTGCACATATTCATGTGGCCACCATCTGGTCATATACCAACGGATTCGTGGGTTCTTTTAAGTGCACCCGGTTGCGTACTGTACACTAGGGGTTGTGACAACACTGAAAGAGTCTGAGAACAAACTCGAAGGTTTTTACACCCAGTCACAGGTGGGCTCGATCCCGGCACCTTAAGCTCACTGGATCACTAGCCTGGTCTCTTAGATCGCTAGCCGACCGCACACACCCCCCCCAAATCTATGTGGCACCTGATGGCCAAGTTCCATTGTTTATAATGGGGAAAATGTATGGATGTCAACACACGCACGGTTGTCATGTACAAAATCAGTGAGTTACACATGATATTTATTGCTGATTATTTTTAGGTACAAAATTGCTGACCTCCCCAGAACAAAATGGGTGGACCCCCACCCCCCAATTCATCGCACACACAAATTATGAACAGTCCTTAAATGCCATTCATTATTCAAAGTCATGAGAATGTTTATATTTTATATTTTACTGATTCCAATACAACACTTTAAGTATTTGACAGAAAAGCTAAAGTGATACAAAAACCATGAACGTACTGATGCACGTGCAGCCAAGCAGGATGACATGTCAATTCTTGAAATACAAACACACTCTAATCTAAACGAAATGAAATCCCATATAACATACCACCATTTTATCCATTGGGTCCCATTTTTGAGGTTTATCTTCCTCCGGAGATTTCAGTTTCTCGTCCTCATCCGGCGAGGACTGAACCTCTTTTAACGGTTCAAACAGGCTCAGAACATCCTCATCAAACTTCTGCTTTTTGCCTGCCGAAGCCTCATCGGCTTTGGTGCCTGTTTTCCCTGATTTGGCAGCAGTGGCAGTCCCAGACTGGTCATCGGCGCCAGTGTCCGGTAGCAGCATGTCACACACAAAGTTGATGTGCTCCTTGTGGAGCTTATCCTCCAGAATCTCCACAACCATGGAGGGAAGGGTGTACTTCAGCTCACCTGTAACCATGGCAACATCAAAAATAAGTCCTCGACCCCAGCAAGTGAATGAGTGAGTATGGTTTTACGTCGCTTTTAGCAATATTCCAGCAATGTCACAGCAGGGTACCCATGTGAGGAATCGAACCCAGGTCTTCAGCATGATGAGCAGATCCTTAACAATTAGGCTACCTCAACTCCCCTAACCCCAGCAAGATCAACACTCCTCAACCACACAAACACCAATGTTACAGGCGGATAGAGGTTTCCTCAGCAATGACAGTTCAATTTTCAGAACTTCAGCTGTGTGAGTCACAGACCCAACTTCTAGATTCCTCCCCAGCTTCCAATGTTTACCTTGTCCACGCAGGACCAAGCGAAGCCACTATAAGTTGTATGCTTCTCTCGAGGGTAATACGGTCTGATGTACGCCTCTTTGTAGAAGTGTCACCTGAGCCGGTAGCAGGTACAGTGGCACATGTAAAATCACTTACCCTGATAATTTTTCCACTATACTGGCTGATTTTCTTATTGATTTTTTAAATAAACAACATAATTAACATTGGAAAGTCAACTGAACACTGGGTACAGCGTGATATACAAATTTGATTGCCGGAGAGAAAAATACACTGGACTGGGACATTGGGCAATGGGTTATTTCCACCCCTGATTGTGTTGGGAGAAACACCAGCAATAAGGATCTGACAGTTCAGTATCAGATGAGCAGGAAATAGACACACAAGGAGGAAGGGAGTGACTGAGTTTAGTTTTACGCTGCACTCAGCAATATTCCAGCTAAATGGCGGCGGTCTGTAATAATTGAGTCTGGACCAGACAATCCAGTGATCAAGAGCATCGATCTGGGCAAGTTGGAACCGATGACATGTGTCAACCAAGTCAGCGAGCCTGACCCCCCGATCCCGTTAGTCGCCTCCTACGACAAGCATGGGTGGGTTACTGAAGATCAATTCTAACCCGGACCTTCACGGGTGGGACACACAAGGAAAATGATTACATAAACTTCAACATGTTCAGACTGGCTCTAGACCTGTTTATCTAATGCAAAATGTTTTCCTTCAACATGCTCATTTATACTGACTTTGTTTAGAGAAGCCTATCTTAACTCGTAAATCATAAACTGAATTTTTTCAAACCCTGCTGAAAAATAAAATTCAAATCAACTTTCAATGAGTTTCATCACTAAATATATGGTATACTCAAGCTATAACACTATGTAATATATATTGTCTTTACAGCCCCACTGTACTAAAAGTTTACCTATTGCCAAATGAATGAAACATTCCTAACAAAAGTTTCTGAAAACACAACAACAACAAAACATGATATTAAGTATGTTTTCATTAAATTCTACTTTTATATATAACCAAGATAACTTGTATAACAGAGGAGCTCAGAGATGATGTTTCTAGACCTGGTATAGCATCAGCAAACCTACATCCAACATGTGCATGACTAACTAAGGGGACAGTCACAGCTCGCACCCAGCCCACCTTAAGTGTGCATGACTTACCGTATATTACCGTCTATAAGCCGACCCCAAAACTTGACCCTTAATATCAGTGTCAAAATGGTATGTTTCGTACATAAGCCGATCCCCCGCGATGGGGTCCTAATCCTGGCAAACTCAGACCACAGACAACTGGCAGTTACCAATAATTATAACTTTGGTCCACATTATTCAAAGAGTTCACAATCATATTGGGTCTACTCACGCATCGAAATGAAGTGTAGTTGACAGAAAATGAATAATATATTTTGTTTCGTTAAATATCATACTTATTGTAGTTGAACGATCACATGTCAACAAACTGGCTTGCTTATTTTACCCCATTCAACAATCATGAACTGATTACCGCCTCGTTTTCCATGGACTGCTAGTTTACAGAAACATCGGTAAAAATGTGTGATATGCAGTCTAAGTGAACTTAGGCTCAGCATCATCCGTTACACTGCTATACTGAGTCTAACAAACCCTACTGGTAGGTCGCGTCAGCTAACCTTTTGAATTGACAAATCCTAACACAGCTTACCAAATTGCGAAAGTTAACGTTCGCACATACAGTTTGAACATTTACCTCAACCGATTCTGAATGGTATTTTCCGCATGTTCTCTTTCAAGTGATGCATATGGCGGACGCCATTATTCACAACAGAGAGTAAATAGTCGCTGAAAATAGCGGTTTTGTCAATATTCCAAGATGTCATCTTGTGGAAATATAAGCTAATAGTAACCATGTCATCAGAGTCCCACCGAACCCTAAATAGTAGCTGTCTGATTGTTTAAACCCCTACCCACCCAACATATGCATGACTTACTCATGGGGTAGTAACTGCCACAGCTCACCATGATACACTTCAGCGAACCCTGAAACAAAAGTCAATCTTTTATTTCAAGTATTAAGTTCACTCATTCTTTATTTAATTTTCACTTTCACAGATTTCTTCAATGAACCATGTCAACCTTCGACACTGATGAAAAGAAACCTCAACCTGATGCCAAGCACCAGTTACTAATCAGCTCAAATCTGCTTACAATAAATTTCTTTTTATAACCTTAGGCCAGACCAATTTTATATCTTTTTTACGGATCCACCGGTCATATTTTTTCAAGAATAGGAGACAAATTTTTTTAAAAATTCCACGCTCCAAAAATAAAAACCTCATGTTTTTATTGGCCAAAAATGTAATCTTACAAAAAAAATAATATTTGATTGTTTTTTTGCCCCATATACACTTCATAACTTGCCAAACATAAAACACTTTTAGTATGCAAAAGGAATATTACTTCGATTTAAAAAAAAAAAAAAAAAATTCCCCCTCCTGCCTTTAGGTTTTCTGAGGACAAAATCTGTAAAACAAGAAATAAAATTGGTCTGGCCTTAAGGGTGAAAATGTTCACTGGACATGTCAATTGCTGATTTTTTTTTCAAGATCAAGTCTTCATATTTCAAACTTACTGTTGAGAAATGTATTATATTTCAATTTATTAAACAATCAGACATGAATCGAATGATTCTTTGATTGTATTGTGTAGCAACAAAAATTGCATTGCTACAGCCAAAGTGTTAATCCATGACAGCATGATTTTCCAGTGAATTTCATATTCATTCATTGAAAACCCTGAACTCAAGTGCTACTACAGCTTCATTCAGCCCGCCAGTTATCTGGTGACGTCACATCCAAACGTTGTGGTGGTATATAGGTCAAGGGTGTTGTTCATAATAAACTGACTTAAAGAACCCTGGCAATCAAAGATGCCAGGGTTTGACACTAAGACATGTAGATATTTAATGAATGCTGTTTCAAATCACTGTGTTTGCTTATTTTCATTTTTAAAAATCTTGCACAGCGTCATCTATAATGACGAGTATTATAGAGACTGTTATTAAGCTTATTTAACTGTAAAAAGACCATGAAAGCTACTCTTCATGATAAACATTCTACAGAAAAAGCAAAAGTTAAGGTAAACAGTATTCATAATGGAGATAAGAAAACAACAGTTATCACACAGTTATGTGTTTAATATAGTTTGTTCTTCCAGTATGCACTATAAACCTGCTGATAACAAATATATCCTTGTTTTGTCTTTGAACAGTCTAGCGGACATTAGTTCAGGTCTAGTCAATCATTCTTATGATCCACATGTCCACTGGTATAGCAGTAACAAATGTTAATGTCGAAACCTGGATGCTGTCTTAAATCATGAGTAAACAGAGACGTAATTAAGGATGGTTTGCGCTCCTCTAAGCGATTGTAGTGCTACGACAGTCGTAAGTCTATGTTAAATTACGGGAGTTCGATCGCTTTGAGGAACGGGGCATTGTTTGTTACAGTCTTGCAAGTTTGTGATTGTCTCACCTGGCCATGATCAAGTCACCCGTTGATGATGGACTAACCTGTTTGTCACCAATGTACCTGTTTGGGTAGACTGACCTGTTTGAAAGTGAGTCTCACCAGTTTGTGACCGTCTTGCCTGTCAATGACTAACTCACCTGTCAATGACAGACTCAACTGTTTTGAACTCACCTGTTTGTCTGTGAGAATGAGCTTGACCTGGTCCTCAAGGCAGGTGGAGCAGGCTGGATGACCTTGAGTACACCGCGACACCTTCAGGTCATGCAGGATGCTCTTACAATTCACACACGCATCATCAGACTTGGACGACGATGATGTCGGAGTCAACATCACAGTATCCGGTCGCACCCGTTTTCTCGGAGGGAGACTAAGCTGAGACAGTCTGGACGTCCCCGTCGTCCATGACTGACTGTTTCCTGATCGTATCCCAGTTCCACAAGCAGGAACTGAGTTTGAACCTAAACTGGAATCTGAATTCAAGTTTGAACCAGTAGTAACGTCAGAAGTTAATCCTGAATTGGAACTCAAATCTGTCCTAGACGTGGATGGACCCGCAGAGCTTTGAACAGTAGACACACATGTCGGTTTGGGCAAAATTGTGACTTTTGAGACTGGAGAAGTTGGTGAGGGTGCGATGTTCAAAGACAGGGTTGTATGTACAAGGTCTGTGAACTGACACACAGTGTTTGCTGAAGAACTGGTTTTAGGTAACGGATCCTGACTAGAGGAATATCTGTGGCATGTGGTTGTTCCCGATCGCAGGAGAGATTTTGAAGTTGGTGATATCATTGAGCTTGTTCCGATGCATGGGAGTTGCTTACTACTAGCTGAAAGACTCGTGGGCGAGGAAGAAAGTGTGGTATCACAGCTGTTGGGGTGAATATGTGTGGGCACTGCACCGACTGGCTGGGTGGTGACTGATATAGAGGGCGACGGTGGCGCCCCTATAGACATACACGACTGATTGTCTGTTGACTGGGATGAAGGGTAGTCGTATTTTCGCAACAGTTCCAGAAAGTTCAGATCATCAATGCATGGTGACCCTGCTTTTCCTTGGGGAAGGACAAGGTCTGTGGGCCCACCAACCACACTGTTTGTTTTCACACCTGACGTCGAAGGTTGGGGGCTCCATTTTAACGGGGGTGTTGCTGGCAAGGACACTGATGAGTTGCTGCTGTTGCTGTCAACGGAGGGAGATCCTGGTCCAACAAAGGAATTGTCTAGACTTGACCCACCAACACTGTCCAAGAGGTCATCTGTTAAACTCTGCTGTGAATCTGTCTCCTCTAAATCAACTAAGGTCTCTTTATCGGACAGCTTGACACTCGTGGCTGCAGCCGTGGTGGGATCCACACCATCGTCGCCATCCCTCTCTGTATGTTTGGACAGGTCCAGTGGACCTGTCAAGTTCAGGGAAACATCAAATGAAGATGTGAGACTGAGGCTTCGGGTCAAGTCTTTGGAAGAGGATGGCTCTGTTTTTGGTCCCAGGGCAGTATTGTCTTTACTTTTAGTAATGCTCGTGGATGATGAAGATGACAGCATCATCGTCATCGTCATCATCATCTGCTGGAATTGGCACCTTTTCTTCCTTCAGAACAACTATATCATCATCGTCTTCGTCTTCTTCTGCAAATAGACAGATCATGATTAGAACAGTACTCACTGGGAAACATTAAACCAGAAATACAATAACTGAATAAGTTCAACACCACTTTGGAGAATACTTCATAAATCCCGAAAAATCAAGTGTTCATAGAGTTAAAACCTTAGTGAAACCAATAAGCAAAGGTGTCTTGCCAATAGTGAATCCTGTCACAACTAAGGGCTACAACTCCATATAACAAACTATACCCCTAAAGAATGAGAACACCACCGCTATGTGCTGCTCCATATCAAGTTGCATGTGAAATAGGAAGTTCACATTAGCCATGCCATTTTCTTGTCATTGTCTCCACTCATAATCTCCAGGTATCATGTTACACACTTAACCCAAGACACCGATATAATCTTTTAGCTATCCAACCCAAAACTGGCATCAATACTTCAAAATAGTGATTATTTCAAAATTCAATGCAACTCAATACTTCTTTGTCTCCTTTTAAGCTTTTCTGTTCTCTTGGGGTTTATAATATTTATAGGTATTTTCTGTTGAGTATACATCAGCTATGGTAACTGTTTTGTACAATCTCATTAAAATTCTTTATATTCACCCTGACATAATACCCTTCTGCACAAAGATCCGTGGACACCTTTAAAGAAGTGGGCAAACACTGAAAGCCCCATCTTATAGACTAGCAGTTTCTGATTTGTTAGAGAGTTGAATACACAATACCATTTAGAAAGTGTTCAAATGTAACAAATGTTATATTTATGATTACACTTTCTCAGTAAAGTACAGCTTTTACATCATTTTAGTACTTTTGTTGGGTTGAATACCATCCTGGATTCGAACCCACACCCTCAGAGTCAGGCACCTAATTGCCAGCATACAAAGTCAGTAAGGTTGTGGTCGCATGACGGAATGGCACATATTTGAACAAAAGACACCAGTCAAACAGATCTGTATTGATAGTTATTAACCTTTAGGGTGTTGATGTCATGGGGCTCAGATGTTTGTTTTGCTTGTTTGTTTTTTAATACCACTCAGCAATATTCCAGCTATATGGCGCCGGTCTGTAAATAATCGAGTCTGGGCCAGACAATCCAGTGGGCAATCTGCACATATGGGATACGATGACGTGTCAACCACTAGGCTACCACACCACCCCTCCAGTGCTTGACTGACTGACTGAGTTTCGTTTTACGCCGCTTTTAGCAATATTCCAGCAACATCACGGCGGGGGACACCAGAAATGGGCTTCACACATTGTACCCATGTGGGGATTCGAACCCGGGTCTTCGGCGTGACGAGCCAACGCTTTAACCACTAGGCTACCCCACCACCCTCCAGTGCTTGACATCATGGGCATCAAGCTGCACAAATGCCGTCATGCCGTCAAGCAAAATCTGGGAGCCTGACCATATGATCCTGTTAGTCACCTCTTACAAAAAACTATGGGATGCTGAAGATCAATTCTAACCCGGATCTTCATGGGTCAGGTCTGATGTAATGGACTTGATGACAGCATGAAGTTTTAAGTAAACATCAGGTTTATCTCACTATAACGACGGATGGAAACAGAGCTTGCTCAGGATGACTGAGGTAAGCTTAAAGTAAACTTCAACAGTAATGCAGCAACATGAACTTCAAACACGGGATGTCAAAAGCCAAAAATGATCAACAATGTAAGTTTTAATGTACTGGTAGAAACCTGCATGGAAGGGCCAAATGTAATTCAAATCCATGTGCAGATCCTTGTGAACTAAGGGAAGCAACTCAGGCAGTCATCATGGTCATGGGCCCCCAAATCACTTGGCAACCCATTGCTTTGCAAATATCACACTGTCAAATTGAATACAAAACACACACAATGTCAAACACAGCTTGGTGCATGAGTGGTTAATAATTCCATGTTTCCAATCAGGATTGATGACATGACATGTTTTCTGTGAACTTTAAATCAATCACAAACTGAAATAGCCCTCAGCGCCCACCAGATTCCAATCAGCAGGATTCAGTATCTTCAGCTTCATCAATGTTTGAATGACACCACAATAATATGGGACACTATTGTCGCAACGGCATGAACGAATGTCTTCGTGAATATCCATGCAATTGGTGAGGCATATCCCTCTTATCTAGATCTAATCCCTGGACACAATACATTTACATTGTATAATAAGTTTAACGCATGAGACAACTATATATAGCCCACCCAGTTCCTGTTTCATTGGTCATGTCTGAGTTGGTGCCAGCTGAGTATGGTTAATGCAGGTCCTGTTAATATAGCCCCAAGTCATCAGCTCAGCTGGTACCATAATTATAGGAAAACAACGCTGGGGACATTCGCTGTTTGGGGAAACACAGAAGTGATTAATGTGCTGGGATCATTTTAACAGGCTGATGCACGTCTGCCACAAGCTCCAATACGCATCAGCTTCCAATAACGTGCAGATGCATCAGAATCATATAATTCTTGAAAACAAACTATTTTAAAATGTTCTCAAAATGAGGCTGGATGCATATTGTTTTTGTTTTCTTATCTTTTATCACCCATCTTATAAATGAACAGAATTATGACATTGATTACTTTGCCTTTGTGTGAAACTGTATGGAATCAAAGAATTATATAAAATAAGTTGTAGCACTGTTATGAGGGGTATACAGGATTCTATGTGTCCCATGTCAGGGTTTAAATCTCTCATCATGTAAATATAACATTAAAACAAACTGAAATTCAATCATATATTTTACTAGTTCATGGTTTACTGACTGCCGTAGATGCATTCTTTTTCCAAGGGCAGGTATAAATGATTTATTCTCCTATGCAAAGATTTATACCCCCCCCAACCATGGGCACCACAGCTGTGCACGGGCATACATGGACATTTGTTTACGGTCACGTGAACCAATAAGAGATTCTTACATGATAACTACTGTTATTCTCTTTGAAGCCATCCCATCCCTTAACAAGTAACCTTTGATACCCTTCACATGACCACATTATACGTTCTGACACATAATGCCCTAACTTCTGACCCCCAACACATAATGCCCTAACCTCTCACCCACTCCTTCCCATTATGCCTGAACCTAGGACTCCTTTATGTATAGTAGTCTGAAATTTGGAACATTATCAACAATGATAATTCTTTTACTACCAGTACCACTTCTAACACCTAATGGCCTTTTACCTGAAACTTGTTTATGAATCCACAGGAATAGCTTAAATGAAGGTCCATGGATTTGTTTTGTCTTTCTTCCTAGTGGTCCTCCAAGCACTTTCCACAGGAGTTATCTCCCCTAATAAAAGTGCAGGGTACCGTAACATTTTTCTGTGCCAATGTGTTTACTGGTTTACTGATAACTTTTGTCAAGAAATATTTTCTAAGGTTTTGCTTCTTATTTGTTTATTTAATGTCAATTATCTGTCAATCTGAGGGCTCTACAAAAACATAAAGGCAATCAAGCTTTAGAGGGACATATTCTAAAGAATCATGCCATGATCTATCTTGCATTGACATATTGGGATTTACAAGGAATAAAATTAATGTGCATTATGAGTAATAAATACTGCTATAGGATAACTACGACTGAAACAAAATTCCATTAACTAATCATACGTAATACCCAACACTGTTGACTTTTTTTGTAATTATATACCTTCGATCTTGTTTCAGTAAAATAATCATCTATTAGATCCAGGGATGAGAATTGGTATGAGTGAAAAAAGAGGAAAATGAACCAGGGGTCTTGGGGGCTGCAGGTTTAGACGATTCACAAGAATGACCCCAGCACTACCAAACCCGCGGAATTCCACTATGTCAAGTACGGTATGCAGCTTTTGACATTTATCAACGAACCAAACAATTAAGACCTGAGAATCCCATGCAAGATAAGCAAAGTCTGTTTGTAAGTTTGTTTGTTTGTGGTATGGTTGCTTACAAGCTAAGTAAAACCCAAATACACATGATATTCATTCTAAACAATATCTCATATTATTTCACTAATCTTCAAACATTCCATAACAGCAGCAAATGTCCATTTTGTTGTTATTATGCACTGATCGTGGCTGGTGCACAGGACACAGGGGGAAATAACTTGAGTTGTACTTGGAACAAAGCATGACAATATACCAGTACTGTAACTTCAGTGTATTGTTCAGCGCTATTGTTCAGGACACATTGTTGAAGGAAGGCTGATATCTCATACCAGGCTGATCTTCCTATTCAACATGGAACAAACGCTGACAAGATCAAAGACCACTTGGCAAATGTCTTTCTACACAAACAGACCTTTATCAGCACAGACGACATTCGATAAGGAATAGCACTTCATGAGGAAAGTAGGATATTAAAGGCACTCCAGGTGTCCTCCCATTTGTGAGAACTCCCAGTTGTGAGACACATTAATTAATGGTTCAGTGCACATAGGTGGTGTTTCCACATCCCTACAATGAAAGTGGGACAGCCCAGTTGTTGAGTACCCACAGGAGGCAATAGATTATCAAAGATTTTATTTACAAAGAAGAAATAGTTCATTAAATATTTTATTTATTCAGAAGAATATGTAATTATGATAACAGCTGGTTTTGTTTTACCATTGACTATTATGACTCGAGTTTGAATTAGTCATTTATTTTAACGTCTTTTGGTATGGCGGTCGGGGATCGAACCAGCGACCTTCCGCTATTATCATTATCAGAAAATGTTTAATTTTTATTGACTTTATGAAGTTTGAAAGTCATTTTGTTTAAACACATTTCAAAGTGGAATTTTTAAGTATGTTGTTAATCAATTTATCTTATTAAGTTTCATTAAGTTACCTCCAAAAATTCAGTTACATAGCAAATCAGTAATTAGCTAGGGTTAATCCATTCTATCAGACAGGGGAGTATGGTGTGTTTTCTTTGTTAATAACCTACTCCAGTCTCATAACTGGGAGTCTCACAATTGGGAGTTCTCACAAATGGGAGTAGACCCTATGCCACACCACACTTCTCTAGAAATAAATAATGCATTTATCT